TCTGCTGAAGAACTTCCTGTAAACCTACAGTCCTGGCAAAAAGCTAAGACACTCCCAGAAAATTAAGGTAGTTCCAAATTATATAGCCCCCGTCCCCCCCGACCCGCATCAATGTTGTTATTAGTCAGAGTAGTTTAGCCCGCGTTCATCCCCAGTTATTGTCCGTATTGACGTCGGAGGGAAGGGGGTGTGGCATGTTATATAAAGATAAGACATTTGACTTCACTTTTCGATAACAAGTCTCAGCTATTTTTTGTCAAGATTGTAGCTACGGCCCAGGGTACATGAACTCAAGCTGAGGATGAAAAGTTGAGATGGTGGGAGAGTGATGCAATGCAAGCACTCTTGATAGATGGAAAAGCGCAGGAAAGAAGGTATGGGTTGTACGATCAAATTCTACACCAGCTGAGAAAGCTTTTCAGGGGCATGAAAAGCGCATTTTAAATGAACAGCAAGCTGTTTTGGAGGAAGCAGTGGAGGCATCTGTAATGTTAAGCAGTTGTATGCATATGACACAGTTTGTTTTTGAATGAATAAATTTTGTACGAGTCTGATGTTGATGCATTCTAACATATTTAAATATTATGTCTCAATAATATTATACTTTAATCAATTTGTTTGCTTTTTTTGAAAATCAATTCTATAAATAGCTTTAAAGTAATCGAGAATAAGCAAGAGTTTATTCAAAAAACAGGCAACTTTTAAGCAACTTCTTTATATTCTACAGGCAACTTTTCATGAAATTTTGAGTAACTTGTGGATAGCGCTTATATTAACAATGAACAATACATGGTCTTAATCTGAAAATACCTAGCCTTTATTTGAAAAGCCCTAGCTTTATCTGAAAAACACTAGTCTTCATCTGGAAAACCTTGGTCTTTATATGAAAATGAATATGATTGATGCGATCATTTGTTTTCTTTAAGATTTCTTTCTTGAAGCTAGTAACTGTAGGTAATTAAATTTTTCTTTCCCAAGTTGTAAAATTCCTGTTTTATTGATACGTTTGTAATTCAGAAGATGAATCTCATACATTTTCCAAGAGAAATCTTTTTATAGCTTTCCATGCATGCTCCTGTGCCGCAAAATGCTCGATTACATTCCCTCCCCATAACATATAAACTTTATCATATGGGTAGTAGGAAATGCGACACATTGGCATAAAAGGAACTTCGATTAAGTGCCCGGTGCCTGGATAACGAAGAATAGTTGCAGACTCTCTGCCATGTTCATTTAGCCTCCTCTGCATTCTCCTTGCACCATCAGACAAATTAGGACACATGTCATCATCTCCTATGACCAGCATGATCTTCCCTTCGACTTTTTCAATTGGATTCTTGCAGTTTCGAAATTCAACAGGGTCCAGTTTGTCAACGTCTATAGAAACAACTTCATTCTTTTCATTTATATGGGCATGTTCCGGTTTGAATCCTCCATTTAAGCCTCTTACTTCACCCTTGTATTTAAGTGGAATTATCAAAATGTCAGCCGTAGAAATACCAACAACGGCCCTCACCAGAGAACATTCTGCACCAACATTCAAAGCAATCTGACCGCCAGCTGAAAAACCTATATATCCAATGCCAGATGAATAAACCCTTTCATGACTTGCAAACCATTTAACAGCCTCGATGAAATACTCCAAATCAATGTTGTTCAGGGTTTTAGGCAGATCTTTGTATCCAAAATAGGCCAATGCAAACGTGACAAATCCATGAGATGCCAAAATGGCTGCCCTAGACTCAATCAGACCTCCATGACCACCAAACATGTCAATGACACCTGTTGTGGGAAGAGAAAGATTAAAGTTTTTATGGCCATGGCCAACGCTCAGGCTGATTTATCGAAGCATTCTTCTAGTCACCGTTAGCAAAGGCTTTAGGAGGAAATAAAAGAATCCAAAAACGGACCCATATGACAAAATGATTTGAACTTTGGAGCATTATATTCCATGTTATGGTCTATCATTGTCCACAACAATAATCAGGACCATTGCTAAAGGGGGGTATGGTGGAGGGGGTGTGAAACCACCTTGGAAGAATATTTTATTGTAAAAACAAAAACTTTTAGGCCATTTTGCTTCGTCTAGTCATCAAGTTTTTAGATATGGCGGCAAATAAAGGATAGCTCTAGTACTTTATCGGTAAATGGGATGTGACGGGATGTGCAGAAAAGCTAGCGACGACCCAATCTATATTCCTTAGCATTTGACAGAAACCCCAGCGCATTAACAGTCAAAATATCGCATATATTGGCCTGACTTCAAAAGAATAAATTGAAAACATACCTGGTAATTTTCTGCGTCCTTTAGGAGCAAACAATGTCCCCCTTATGCGGCCAACACTTATCTCCTTGCGTTCCACATGATCAGCCAGATATGTTCGTAAAATTTTCGTTTTTGCTAGAGGCTCAGGAAGCTTTTCCACCGCTTGCTTCGGGCTACCTGCATTCCCTTGAGACATAACGTGCCTGTCAAACAAGAAAACCCTAAATTCCATCGGTTTAGTGACATCTCCTGCAATAAACCTGGCCCCTTTTCGTTGGCCTGGTACTGCTAACATGCTCCAAAATAAACCCATGTTGTCAATGCCTTTGTAGGTACCTCCAAAAGAAGAATCTCGTGACAAATTCAGCTCGCCATCTCTGTCTGCGATGTAGTGTCCATATGATTCAAAAAGCTCCGATTTGTCAGAACTGAGCTCAACTCGCAAGGTTACACTTTGAAATGGGATCAAATTTTTCACTTTAATCTGAATCCTTTGATCCACGAGCACTGGACATTTCGGTGCAATTATTGTCGGTAACATTCTTACTTTCAATTTATCGACCCTACGTAAGGAATTACCCATCACTTGCCGTTAGACCCACTGCCACACGGTTTCGGATATTTTTAAGAACGGAATTATTGTTATCCGTTTGAAAATTCAAATGAATATGCATCAACAACATGAGCGTTTTCAAAAATATAACCGTCCTCACAGAAACGCAAAAAAGACGTTTGAAATTCCGCTATGAGCATGCGCAAATTTCTTGGCACCTGAAATCATCTGAAATGAACTGAAACCACCTAAAACCTAGCTTTGTGCCAGCAAAATTAAAGTAATCAAAAAGCTTCTTATCATATAAAGATAAACATTCATAATAAAAGATAGAGGATATTCTTAATGCTATGAAAGGCTATGGAAAGGCTATCCTAAAATCTTTGATCTCCATATAAATTTAAAGAAAGTCGACGAAACTAGCAGGGGTATTTAAAAAAAATAAAGTATTTAAAAAGCTCCTGACACCATAAAGATAAACATGAATACATCGAAAGATAGAGAACAATCTGAATGCTATAAAGAGCTAGCCAAAAATCTCTGCTCTCCATATGGTTTTAAACTAACAGGAACGAAACGTACAAATGAGTGTACCAGCAAAATTAAAGTAATAAAAATCTCCTAACAATATAAAGTTAAACATTCATGCATTAAAAGATAGAGTACACTCTGAATGCTATAAAGAGCTAGCCTAAAACCTGTTTTCTCCATATGATTTGATAGAAAATCGACGAAACTAGCAGGGGTTAAACGCACAAACGAGTGTAGCTCTGAGTCAGAAAAATAAAAATAAAAATGCTTCTGACAGTATAAAAACAAACATTCATAGATAAAAAGATAGAGTACATTCTGAAAGCTCCAAGGGAATAGCCAATAACCTTTGCTGTCCATATGATTTCATTTTCTGGTAATCATTCTCGTTATTTGCATGACCAACCTTGAAACATTGTAATCTGGGATTTGGTTCTCACTTGTTTGAGTCTGCCAATGAATCGTTAAAAGTTTAACGTGTCGAGGTGCGATGAGGATCAAATCGGAAAAGCTACTGTCATTCGTTGCTGTCAGTTAAAACAAGAGAGGGGGAGGAAATATAAACAATAGTGGCCATACCAAAGAGGTAGGATAACTGGCACTTCTATGGCCGTGTAAGCAGGGCCGTACTTCCCACTGGGCCAACAAACAAATAGGATCCCGAGAAATATTCGGGAGTTTTATACGGTGTCATAGGGTTCTCTTACACGAGTCAAATGTTTTCGAAGAGAATTGTCTCCGCAAGGCAGACAAAATATCTACGTACAGTTTTTAGAATGATTCATGGGATGGTCAGTCCCAATTAGTTCATCGGAATCCAACGCATGGTTTCTCAAGGATGCAAATTAATAGAGAACGCAAAGCATAACTATTTTATGAAAATTGGTCAAACCCTTTCGAATGCTGATACTGGTCAAAAAACCTATTGGTCACTAATAAACAAAGTTCTGAATAAAGCTGAGATTCCGGTAATACCCCCTTTTTGGGAAATGACATTTTTGTGCTGGATTTTAAAACAAAGGCACAAATCTTTAATGAATACTTCATTCTTTAGTGTACTACTATCGATATAGGCAGTGAAATTCCTAACATTGCTAGAAGTAATGCCCCTGCATTGGTCAATATCCATATCTCCGAGGAGAAAATACTAAAAATCATTCGTTCTTTAAACCCTAACAAGACAAATGGTTGGGGTGAAATCTCAGTACGTATGATAAAGATTAGTGATGATGTTTTGGTGGCTCCACTAAAAATGATATTTGAAATTTTGTATCCAAAATGGCATTTTCCCAGAAATCTGGAAAATGGCCAATATCGTCCCTGTCCATAAAAAAACAGTAAAAATTTAAAACAAAATTATCGCCCGATATCCCTTCTTCCAATCTTCGGGAAAATTTTTGAGAAAATGATTTATGATACCCTTTACGAGCACCTAACTGCTAATTAGTTACTAAACCTAAATCAATCGGGTTTTCGTCCAAATGGCTCTACGATAAACCAATCCATCCCTAGTTCGGTCCGTCTATCTTGACATATCCAAAGTATTTGATAGGGTTTGGCATTTATAGACTTATTTAAAAACTTCATCGTTGTAGTGTTTCTGGAAACTTACTTTCACTCATCAAAGACTTCCTTGCAAATCGAAAACAGCGCACAGTTTTGAATGGTAAAACGTCTGAATGGGGTTCAGTCACCGCCGGCGTCCCTCAAGGCTCTATCTTAGGCCCACTTTTCTTCCTTGTGTACATCAACAACCTGACGGGATAATCTTAAAGACTCGTTGCTAACAATGAGCCATTGCGCTACGTAAGCATCCCATAATGCATTTTTAGACTGTCTAAAATCAATTTTGGTTTATCTGTAAAAAATTAATGTCGTTGTTTGGACCGTCGCCACGCTCGCAAAGGCCCATTGTTAGCAATGAGTCTTTAAATGTAATGTCAAACTCTTTACTGATGATACCTCACTCTTCACCATTGTTCATAATCCTGATCAGCCTGCTTCAGACATGAATCATGATCTTGACATTATCAAAAGCTGGGCACATAATTGGCGTATGATTTTAATCCCGATCCAACTAAACAAGCAGTTGAGGTGACTTTTCAATAAAGAAAATTTCATCCGATCATCCACCAGTTATATTCAATGACATCCCAGTCATCAAAATGAATGAACATAGACATCTTGGCATCATGCTTGATTCTTGTGCGTAATAATAGCACATTGCTTCTAAATTGGCTGGCTAGATAGTCTTAATTATTTCTAAAGGGGTCTGGCTAGGCCCATCGTTTCTCAATACGAGCATCAACGCTAAAATCTACTCCCTAATCAACAAAAGCGCAGCTTAATTCAACTCAGCATGCTAAAATATTAACTGTCAATCAAACGTAAAACAATAGTTCTTCTCACTTTCCGTGACAATTCTAAATTGTCTTGTATAAATTGTATGTGCGGCCACACTTAGATATCGGTGATGTCATTTACCACATCCCACCCAAAAAATGCGATTTCAGTCAAGATACCTCACTGAAAAATCATATGGAAAAACTTGAGTCAGTTCAATATTCTGCTGCACTAGCAGTGACTGGAGCATGGAAAGGAAGATCTCGTGAAAACTTTACGACAAATTTGGTTGGGAATCCCTAAGCCTATGACGTTGGAGCAGACGCCTCGTTCTTTTTTACAAGATTGTCAACGATATTACCCCTGACTACACAAGATACCCTATTCCACAATTACCACAAGCTGTGTATTCTTTTCGTAATGCAGATGTAGTTGGGCAGGTAAGGGCAAGAACAACAAGATTCAAGAACAGTTTTTATCCGGACTTTTTCTCTGAATGGAACACGCTTGACCCAGAGATTAGGTTATCACCCTCACTAAATATTTTTCAAACAAAATTATCGAAACTTATCCGACCCACTCCTTAACTAGTATACGGTATTCATGATCCAAAAGGTCTAGATATTCTTACTCAGTTACGGGTAGGACTGAGCAAACTAAATTATCATAAATATAGACATAACTTTAGAGATACATTCAACCCTTTGTGTCCCGCAAACGATGGGGTAGAGGACACGGAGCATTTCCTGCTGCTCTGTCATTCGTATAACCGGCCTAAATCTGATCTTCTCAATAGTGTGAACGCAATATGGCTCCCTCGTGGTTTTTCGTCTCTTTCAAATAAAGTTTTACTCAAATTCATTTTATATGGTGACGAGCAATTAACCATTGACACAAATAAGAAGCTACTTCAGGCAACAATTCATTCATGATTTAATTGCTGCACATTCCTATACATTCTCTATGAAAAACTTTGGTCCGGGGCTAGAAGGCACTTTCTTAAAATTTAGGGCTTTTTTGCTACCAAAAGCCCCTTATTGGCATGCATTCTTCTTTTTTCAAAACTATTTTATAAGAACACGAGCCTTAAAACTGGCCAAAAGTTAAGAACAAACCAAATTAAGAACAAGCTGAGAGTTAAGAACAAATTGAGAACAAGCTGAGTCTGAGCTACTGTAAAATGCAATTTTGAACAACGTTTTATTTAAAAAACGAGGATTTTTAGCCATATGTGGGTGCTCTTTCGGTGAATATTCAAATTTTTCGGCTAATGCGAGCAATTAAAGGTTGTCTCACTCACTTTGTTGACAAATAAGACCTTCTTATCCCCCTTTTCAAAGTAGATGGCTTTTGGTATCTCGTGACCTTTTGCGAGGCCCTATAAGAGGGGACAACATTATCTCATAATTCATGATGATATCTTACAATTAATTCATATTTCAAATTACCAAAGCGAAGTATTTCGAAATTGTCAAATGTTCCATTCTACCCCCAAAGTAGAAAGTTTTTAAGGAGATGTCAGGACACATTGGACCGACTCACATAAAAAATGGACTGAGTCTTCAAAACCAAACTTTGCAGATAAAAATATTGAAAATGTATTAAGAATATGTTCAGGAATAGCCAAAGTGCCCCGTACTTAGATAAAAATAGGGAATTGATTCTCTTTGGAACTGTGGCGATCCTTTGGCGCTTTTGATGGGAATCTAAGGACACTGGATGAGAAATGAATCTTTGTTTTGCTCAACTTGTTTTGGGGAGCAACTAAAGAAACTCGAAAAACACACATGTATCAAAACTGATAGTCTGAAGTCTTGCGTGGAGGGTACAATCTGAAGAGACCAGTTATAGACATGCCTGGGAGAGGCAATGAGCCTGAAGGATTCTTGAACTTCAAATTTTAGGACATCTTCTTTGTCTCTCCTAGCCGCCAAGAGCCCTAATATAACAACCAGTTAATTCAGTTGTTTAATCGATTCTTCATACTACAGTAATGCGTTTATTTCTAGTCACTTACAGTCTTAGATGCAAGAGATAGCAAGAAATAAAGCTAAAATAAAGTTCGTGCGAAGCCAAAACTAAACGATATCCACTCTTTCGATTTTCTCAAGAAGAAATCGTTATAAATACTAGAGATTGAGTACATGTTTCTAAAGAGTAGATAATTAAGGGGTACTCATCGAGTGTGAAAAAACAGGAGCTGTAGTGGGCCAAATTTTCTTTACGGTTGCGTTCACGTGGCTTTTCATAATATTTCCTTGTTTGATAATCCGGTTATAACGTACTTTAAGGGACCGGCGGATTTAGAAAGTTATATCCGAAGTCCGTTATAACCGGGGTTTAGAAGAATTCGACTAAAAAATCAAGTTACAAACAAATTAACTATTTATCATCCATACTTTCAAGAAAACTATTAGCTAGAGGTTACATGGTTTGAAAAAGTCTGTAACGCGTTTCTGGATAGTTTTTTTTACCCAAATATTGTTGATTTCAGCATCAATTTTGCTCAGCATCTTCAATGCTTCATCTGCATAAGGCAAATCCGAAAACTCGAAAAACCGTTGTAAAAGTTGAACGGCATTCGCCCCATCAATAGCTGAAGAAACTGGATCAGTGCCATCTTCAGTTGGCGGAGATTGTCTTTGATCTTTAATTTCTTTTGCAATCTCAGAGCTGCTCAAAATTGGAGAGGTCCGTGAAGTCATTTACGATATGGTTGTCATAGGCACTGAAATACTGGAGATCGGCAAGGTGCTGAAAAAGGTTACCCAGATTCGTTTCCTGTGTATCTGCCGTCTCAGATTCATCTTGGCCTCCACTTAGTTCCTTCTGAAAACCTGCCTTTTTAAAGCAGTTGGCAATCGTTTTTTGGGTGAACCTATTCTCCCAGACTGACTTTGACCAGCGCAAGCACTCCAAAACATTCACAGTGAGTTTTTTTCTTCAATTGCTCTGATGAGTTTTGACAGTAGGCGCTTGTGATAGAAAACTTTAAGGTTTTTGATGATGCCCATGTCATATGGCTGTAGTCGGCTGGTACAGTTTGGGGGCAAATACTCCAATTAGATTGACTTGAGTTTTGTGGCAATGTGTTGGTCGTGTGCACTTCAATTGTCGACAATAAGAAGCACCTTTCTTCCGTCCTTTTAAAATTTTCTGTCGAGGTGCAGGACCCATTCTATAAATATAGCAGATGTCATCCATGCTTTTCTGTTGGATTTGTACTCAACTGGAAGATGTCTTAAATTCTTGAAGCAACGTGGCTTAGCTGATTTACCAATTGCTAGCAGAGGTAGCTTTTCCGAGCCATCATCAGAGTTATTCGCTCCTCACTTCTCTTACCACCATGACAATTATCGCCTTTGGAGATATGATAATTTACGAGTTGCGAGTTGCGAGTTGCCAGTTGCGAATTGAAATTTGACAAAGAGTCAAATTATAGGGAATCTAAGCATAAATGAACATTTGATGAAAACAGCCATGCAAAGACACTGGCCTGTGACATGTGCCACGCCATATTTGGGTAATCTTATCAGGGTCAACAGGAAGCACTGATATGTGATTGTGATTGGCTAGAGCAGCAAGTGGCTTGAGCCAAACTTGAATTTTGGAACAAAATGTGAATGAGGAGCAGGATGTCAATCATTTTGCAAATGAAAATTCCCTCAGACAACTTCAAATTAATTGCCATGTTCAGTTTTCACAAAGTGCTCAAAATGACAATACAGCATCTCAGAGAATAGTTCAGCCTTTCAACTAAACTGTGATACAAAGCATCTGATTTCAGATGCCCCCTCGATTTTACCATTAAGAAGTACCCTTTTTATTTCAAGAAGCTTCAATTTTGAGCTTACCGTAAATCCTCGAATAAGCCCCCGGGGGCTTACTTGCAAAAATGAATTTTGGGTGGGGGCTTATTCGAGGGGGGGCTTATTCGAGGTGGGGGAGCTTATTTCAAAGTTTTGTATTTTCCTCAAAGGTCGATATAAAAACGACATTATTTTTCTAATCTTTCTAATTTCATCTTGAATCAAGATGTTTGATGTTTTTTGTCCCAGTCAACCCAACCCATTAAATATATTTGATGAAATATCCACTCATTATTTTCATTGTTGAAAGTTACAAATTTACATCTGGTAATCTCTAAGATGAGCTGTTTCAGTGATTGATGTTAAGCCAAAGAATGTAATTAGAAAATAGCTACAAATGTTGGGACAACAGAAGCAAATTGCATATGAGTACTCACTTTCAGCAAAATGTGTCAATCTCAGAATTAGTTTCCTGTAGAAAAATAAAACATATATGCACCAGATGTCCAAATATGATATGAATTCTCAGCTTTTCCTGGATCATATACTGTAATGATCAGTCATAAGAATAAGTTTGTAGCACAAAAATCAACTCATATGTTAACTCATTCCACTAGCATCTGCTAAGTACAATTACAGTACAGGTTAGTTTGTTATGGGATTTGTTTCTTGACTTACTTCAAAAATATAATTTTGCCAAGTGCTTTTTCAAAACAAATGGCACCAAAAAGCGGTGTTAAACCAGATACCTAATTGTAACACTTTTTATTGATTTAAATTACCTACATAAACTTCTTATACTGCAAACTATGAATATATGCCCTTTCAAGTAATCTTTTTTTAACAATATAGGAATTCTACATTACTCTCAGCTGTTGAGCAATTTATGTTGTTTTTCTTTTCTTTTGTAAAAACTTTTCATTCAAAGATACCTATAGGGGGACCATTATGGAAACAAGATTGCACTGATCTTTTAATTCCATCCCTGCCATTTAAAACTGGGGGAGTTTTCAAATTACATTTTTTAACTTTTATATTTGTATTAGATTGAACATTTATCATTACACTTTTTACCTTATTCTTTGATACATCTATTCTTTGAATGTATGGCAAAATTTTAGAACATCATTTAAACCTGCTAAAAATTTTATTTAAATGAGATTTTCCCCTTGAAAGAACTGAAAAATCCAACTGCAAAGTGTTTTGAAAATACACTTCAGCGCAACTGATTAATCATTTCCTATTTCTAAGCAGATTATATAGAAAGCAAACTAGGTTCTTAAACAAATATTTCAACTTCTTACCTTTCCGCAGCCAGCCTCCATTTTGAATGTTGCTAGGAGAAAAACAGGCACGTGGGCGCGGAAAGTGGCCTGGGGGAAGCTCTTGGAGCAGGGGACGGTCGGGGCTCAATGGATGTCCTTTTGCAAAAAACGCTTTAATGTCCAAGGACAACATATTTTTACTAACTGAAATTCTTTGCGCACAATGAGGTATAGCTGTTATACTTTGGGGTAAAAAGAATGAACTGACATGATGAAAAACCAACTCGCAACTGACAACTGACAACTCGCAACTGACAACTCACAACTCGCAACTGGCAACTGGCAACTCGCAACTGGCAACTCGCAACTAGCAACTCGCAACTCGCAAAATATAGTCCCGAGGGGCAAATCACTCCAAGAAAATCTCGTACACTTTTTGGGAAAATCCTATTGTTTGATCTGAAAGTCCCAGGAAATCCTTTTATTTTCGGGAAAATCTCGTACGCTATTTGCAAGAGTGAATTACCCCTCGGGTCCTATCAGAAAGCAGCTTAAAAAAGAGTCCTATTTCATCTGCATTAAATACATCCTTTGGGTCATATTCTTCCAGCAGACTGGGTAGTTTGTTGCAAAGCCAATCATCAACAATGTCTTTGGATACTGAGTTTGCTTCACCACTAACTATACAAAATGTAATTGCTCTTCTTTTTTTGAATCGGTCAAGCCAACCATCGCTGCATTGGAAACCCTGGTGGTCAAGTTCTGTGGCTAATTCATCACCTATTTTACCCTATCATTTAACGACGAATTCGGTAGAAAATAGGTCAAGATTGAACATTTCAAAGTTTTCTGACAAAAATTTCATTTGGAGGGGGCCGTAGACGCAAATTTACAAAAGTATCACGTGACCGCATGACGTAGAAGTTGGCAAGCGGAGACAGGCCTACGCTTGAAATGCATAGGCTTGTCGCTACTCGCGCGCAAAAAGTTGATTTATTTTGCAAAAATGAGTAATTTCGAAATAGATTTTGTCACTGGATGTTGTTTTGGGATGTCGTACATTATAGTTTTGAACCAAAAAACGGAAAACGCAGCACATGAAATAATTTAACAACGAATTCATCAAAGGAAGAAAATGGACGTAGTGGTTGGGAAAACGGGATGAAGTTAGAGCAAAGGGAATTGAGATACTGAGTGGGAAGTTTTTTACTCGTTAAATGGAGAAAAGATTAGATTTATGAGTTATTTGCGGCTTTCCACTCTCTGTCCTTCATCCTTTTTCGGTTGAAATTTGGTTTGGGTTGGAAGGTTGCTTGAGCAATTTTTTGTTTTTTGCTTTGTTTTTATCGTCTTATGGGCTAGTGAAACCTGAGAATAGAAATTTTTTTTACAAAAGTTTTTTTTTTCAGCCAAGGAGAATTAGAGTTGCCTACCCGCTAAATGATTAAATATTCGACTACCACAACGTCCCATATACCAGTAACATAACTGATTCTTTTCAACTCACTTAAAGTAATTTACTAAGAAAACACATATTTCAGACGGCAGCTACTTTTTTGAGATACACTCATTCCCTGTTCGACCATTTGGCTGTGCTCAGGCCTACGATCTTCCGACAAGACAACATTTTGGATGGGCTTCCCTTTACGCCACATTGAACATTTGTCAAATATCCACCGAAAGCCCGAATTTTCCTACGCGAAAGCCTTAGCCCCCTGATACCAATAATTTCCTCCAATGAAGATAACAATTTTGAGGCCCTTTAAGAGGTGTTTGAAATATGAAATAATTGAGATCTTCGGAATGCAAATATAAATATTTAGAGTTTTAAGTCTTGAAATATGAAATAACTTTGGTTCCCAGTATGAAATATGAAACAACAAAATAACTGAATACCTCTTAAAATGTTGTGTGAGAATTATATACTTGATAACAGCATTGACTTTTTATACATTCTAAGAAGTTACCCAACAAGTTACTGTAATACCTTAACTACACGCTACTTTACATACACTACAAAGACGATACCCCGGGGAGCATTAACTCTGTCTACCCCGGGGCCATAACATAGAGAGGAAAAAGATGCACGTTTGTAATTACGAATATTTGAAGATATTTTATCTCAAGCATCGAGACTATTGATCTCAAGCATTGACTCAAGTGACTATTGATCTGTAGACCTGTTAAGATACCAACCCTATTACACCTGGGTTGTTCTTTAATCTTTTCAATCTTTCTAGGGGTTTAAAAGGCTTTTCATACTTTACGTATAGGAAAAATACCAATAGCATAAAATATACCGCAAATACTTTTGGCTTATATTATCTCATCGAAATAGACGAGAACATCAAATAATATCATAAACATGTTTTTATCTATTGCTTGTTCCACATATACTTATTAGGAATTCTTCCTAAGACCACTAAACCACTTTTTTGTAAGCCATTTAAGATTTGACTTGCTGATAATAATATTCAGAAAAATGTTGTTCATTCTTCAATTTTTTTATCTAGAGCTAACATGTTCACCGAAATGTTATTCTTATCTTGAAAATGTTGTTTCTGACCATATCTGAATTTTAGTATGGCGCCAAGAAGTAATGCTAAAAAGAATTATAATTTACGCAAAAAGATAAAATAATAAGGCAATATTATGAAAAGCCACAAATACGCAACCGCAAAAGGGAATTTGGTCCACTCCAACTGTTTTTTTTTCAAACTCGATGGAAGTTTAAATCATAAAAATAAAGGCCACTGATCATTTTAAGCCTTGCAAACATTCTGGTAATTGACCAGAAGTCGCTTAACTGGAAGCATGAACAATGCACGGTCAGCAAAATTGCAACATTCGAATTTTTCAAATCTGATGATACCATCAAAAAAGCTTGTAACGTGGACATGACTTCCCGTCTTCTGCCAGAAGGTTCCCAAGGTTTAGCTTCGCATTAACATTATTTTAGCATTATTTCTTTCTATTGAATGCACCTAAGACTAGAAATATAGTGACTAGAATTAACAGTATGACTGTAATATGAAAAATCCATTAAACAACTGAATTTACTGGTTTTAAGGGCCTTGGTGGCTAGTAGAGCCAAAGAAGATGTTCTTAAACTCAAAGTTCAAAAATCCTCCAAGTTAATTGTATCTTCCAGGCATGTGTAGAAAACTAGCCCCTTCAGGTTGTACCCTCCACGCAAAAGACTTAAAGACTATCAGTTTTGGTACACGTATGTTTTTCGAGTTTCTTTTTTAGTTGTTCCCAAAATATAAGTTGAGCAAAACAGAGATAGATATTTCATCCAGTGTCCTTGGATTCCTCTTTAAAGTACCAAATGATTCCACAGTTCAAAGAGAATGAATTCTATATTTTTACCCAACTACGAAATCCATTTGATGTGTTCTGCACCTATTCTTTATACATTTTCAATATTCGTAGCTGCAAAGATTGGTTTTTAAGACTCGGTCAATTTTGTATGTGAGTCGGTCCAACTTTTCGTGACACCTGAAGGCAGAATGGAACACTCGACAATTTCGAAGTACTTTGCTTTGTTAATTTTGAAATATGAAACAATCCCATCTCCCCTTATAGGGCCTCTTTTGCTATCGCAGCCGCGTCTTCGCACTGAATTTCATTGTGGATTGCGGCACGGTTTTGCGGCTTTTGGTCCCCCTATTATAGGCCCCCTTTCGAAATTTCCCATTTATGGATGATGATGGTAATAATATTATTGCTGGAACTGCTGAAGATCTTCCTGTCAACCTAGCTTCGGTCTAGGGTACATAAATTCAAGCTAAGGATGAAAAGCTGAAATGGTGGGAAAGAGATACAAGCATTCTTGATAGATGGAAAAGCGCAGTAAAGAAAATACGGGTTGTGCGATAAAATTCTACACCAGCTGAGAAAGCTTTTCAAGGGCACGAAAAGCGCATTTTAAATGAACAGCAAGCTGTTTTGGAGGAAGCAGTAGATGCATCTGTAATGTAAAGCAGTTGTATGCTTATGACACAGTTTGTTTTTGAATAAATAAATTTTGTACGAGTCTGATGTTGATGCATTCTTACATATTTAAATATTATGTTTTAATAATATTATGCTTTAAACAATTTGTTTGCTTTTTTTGAAAATCCATTCTATGAAAAGTTTTAAAGTAATCGAGCAAGAGTTTATTCCAAAACAGGCAACTTTTAAGCAACGTCTTTATATTCTATAGGCAACTTTTCATGAAATTTTAAGTAACTTGTGGATAGCGCTTATATTAACAATGAACAATACATGGTCTTAATCTGAAAAATACCTAGCCTTTATTTGAAAAGCCCTAGCTTGATCTGAAAAACAATAGTCTTTCTCTGAAAAAATCTTGTCTTCATCTGAAAAACCTTAGTCTTCCCTAACCATACTCCGAAACTCAGTCATTCCACACAAAAAGAAAAGTATTGGTCTGTCACAGTAATAACGGGAAAATACACCAGAGGAGGAAATATCAAAAAACGCGATCATTTGTTTTCTTTAAGATGTCTTTCTTGAAGCTAGTGACTGTAGGTAATTAAATTTTTCTTTCCCAAGTTGTACTTTTCCTGTTTTATTGATACGATTGTAATTCAGAAGATGAATCTCATACATTTTCCAAGAGAAATCTTCTGATAGCTTTCCATGCATGCTCCTGTGCCGCAGAATGCTCAATTACATTCCCTCCCCATAAAATATAAACTTTATGATATGCATAGTAAGCAATACGACACATTGGCATAAAAGGAACTTCGATTAAATGCCCGGTGCCTGGATAATGAAGAATAGTTGCAGACTCTCTCCCATGTTCATTTAGCCCCCTCTGCATTCTTCTTGCACAGTCTGACGAATTAGGACACATGTCATCATCAACTGTGACCAGCATGATCTTCCCTTCGACTTTTTCGACTGGAATCTCGATATTGCGAAGTTCGACAGAGTTGAAGTCGATAGAAACAACTTCATTCTTTTCATTCATATGGCAATGCTCCGGTTTGAATCCCCCAACAAGGCCCCTAATTTCCCCCTTATACCTAAGTGGAATTACCATAATGTCAGATGTAGAAATAGCAACAACTGCCCTCACCAAGGGACATTCTGCACCAATCTGCAAAGCAATCTGACCGCCAGTTGAAACACCTATATATCCAATGCCAGATGAATTAACCCTGTCATGACTTGCAAACCACTTAACAGCTTCGATGAAATACTCCAAATCAAAGTTGTTTGGGCTTTTAGGCAGATCTTTGTATCCAAAATAGGCCAATGCAAACGTGACAAATCCATGAGATGCCAAAATGGCTGCCCTAGACTCAATCAGATCCCCATGAGAACCAAACATGTCAATGACACCTGTCATGGGAAAAGAAAGATTAAAGTTTTTATGGCCATGGCCAACGCTCAGGCTGATTTATCGAAGCATTCTTCTAGTCACCGTTAGCAAAGGCTTTAGGAGGAAATAAAAAGAATCCAAAAACGGACCTATATGACAAAATGATTCGAGCTATGAAGCATTATGTTTCCATGTTATTGTCTATTATTGTCCACATATTCAGGACCATTGCTACAGGGGGGGGGGGGCAGGCACAGATCCAGACCAGTTCCACAGGTTTCAGAAAACGGGGTAATTTCTCAGTGAATCCTAAATTTTTCTCTAAAATTTCAATTGCAACATTACTGCTCTTGTCACAGGCTGACCAAAGTTCCTTTGTTTACAGACTGAATTACACACAATTCCTAATTTCGTAAGAACAGCTCTCCCTTGTTGCAAAGATTCCGACAGAGTTTCCTAAAACATCTGTTATCCCAAAGTATCCAAGGAATTCACAATCGAAGAAATTAGTGGCCACTCGGAGCGACAGTTTGGAGTATGCTATCTATGCTCAAATATTGAAACCGGTGGCTATTGTTCTCTTAAACCCTGTGAGCACCAGTGCCCATATATTTTCCTTATGCGAAAAATCCCGGTGGCTAAAAAGGACATTTTATATCGATATCCATAGCTCGAAAGTGTGGACGCTCGGTAATCATCTGTGGCAAATACAAAATGAAGTTGGAATGAAAATGAGAATCTGAGGTCTTGTATTAAGGGACTAAACTTTCTTTTTCGAAAAAATTCATGGAAATTCAAATCGAAGTTGCAAGAAGTGGATCAAAGGGCATACTGAAAAAATTTCGACATTTTAGGGAGCAGTCTTAAAGTAACTGCTATATGTGGGTGGACGATATTTGCAAAAGGCCATGAAAAATTCTGCCAAACCTGTATGGGGATATGAAAAAAGTCGTGCCCATTTTGCAGAACTATTAAAATTTAATTGTAAGGAATAATAGTTTCCAAATATACAATTGAATATTGCGGACTGATGCTAACAATTGGCATCCTATGATAGCAAGAGGTTTTTTGCAATTTTGCTTCGTCTCGTCATCAACTTTTAAGATCTGTCGGCAAATAAGGATGGTTTACCCTCTTTATCGGCAAATGGGATGTGATGGGATGTGCACAAAAGCTAGCGACAACCCAATCTATATTCCTTAGCATTCGACAGAAACACCAGCGCATTAACAGTCAAAATATCGCATATATTGGCCTGACTTCAAAAGTATAAATTGAAAACGTACCTGGTAATTTTCTGCTTCCTTTTGGAACAAACAATGTCCCCCTTATGCGGCCAACACTTATCTCCTTGCGTTCCACATGACCAGCCAGATATGTTCGTAAAATTTTCGCTTCTGCTAGAGCCTCAGGAAGCTTTTCCACCGCTTGCTTCGGGTTATCTGCATTCCCTTGAGACATAACGTGCCTGTCAAACAAGAAAACCCTAAATTCCATCGGTTTAGTAACATCTCCTGCAATAAACCTGGCCCCTTTTCGTTGGCCTGGTACTGCTAACATGCTCCAAAATAAACCCATGTTGTCAATGCCTTTGTAGGTACCTCCAAAAGAAGAATCTCGTGACAAATTCAGCTCACCATCTTTGTCTGCGATGTAGTGTCCATATGATTCAAAAAGCTCCGATTTGTCAGAATTGAGCTCAACTCGCAAGGTTACACTTTGAAATGGTTTCAAATTTTTCACTTTCATCTGAATCCTTTGATCCACGAGCACTGGACATTTCGGTGCAATTATTGTTGGTAACATTTTTACTTTCAATTTATCAACCCTGCGTAAAGAATTGCCCATCACTTGCCTTTAGACCTAGTCCACATCCACACGGTTCCAGATATTTTTAGGAACGGAGTTATTGTTATCCGTTTGAAAAAAATTCAAATGAATATATGCATAAACACCATGAGCGGTTTCAAAAATACATCCAACCACACAGAAACGTAAAAAAAGACGTTTGAAATTCCGCTGAGCATGCGCAAACCACTTGGCACCTGAAATCATCTGAAATGAACTGAAACCACCAAAAACAGTCATACATTAAAAGATAGAGTACATTCTGAATGCTTTGAAGGGCTATCCTTAAGCCTCTGCTCTCCATATAATTTTAAAGAAAGTCGACGAAACTAGCAGGGGCGAAACGTGCAAAAGAGTTTCGCTTTGTACCAGAAAAATTGAGGTAATTAGAAAGCTCCTTGACATATAAAGATAAACATTCATACATTGAAAGATAGAGTACACTCTGAATGCTATGAAGGACTAGCCTTAAGCCTCTGCTCTCCCTGAAACTAGCAGGGGCGAGAAAAAGAAAAGTGTGTCGCTTTGGATCAGAAAAGAAAGAAAAAAAAATGCTCCTGACAGTATAAAGACAAACATTCATAGAGAAAAAGAAAGAGTACATTCTGAAAGCTCCAAGGGAACAGCCAATAACCTTTGCTGTCCATATGATTTCATTTTTGGTTCTCACTTGTTTGAGTCTGCCAATGAATCGTTAAAAGTTTAACTTGTCGAGGTGCGTAGAGGATCAAATCGAAATGAAAAGAATCAGAAATACCATCGACTATCATTGATTTTTCACTTTTTTCCATTACTGAGCATGGAGAGTAACCATAAAAAATGCCGAATCTACCGGGTAAAGAACAGATTCATAACTCATCCTTGTTATTCGCGTGGCCAACCTTGAAATATCGTAATATTAATGTAATATGAAACATTGCTTTTTGGTGAATAATCAAACTTTTCAGTAAATGAAGGTTGTCCCACTCACTTTGTTGGCCAATGAGGCCTGAACACTTCTCTTGAGTGAAAAAGCTAAAAATTACACTGCTTACACCCTATTAATTTGAGCACAAATTAACGACAATCCAGCCTCTGGTTTTCCAAAAAATAGTCAGCCTGAACTTAAATTTATTGGTTCTCACAAAAAATAGTACACTGCTATGGACATAGGTTAAAGAGGTTATTGCTGAAACAGTAAATGTTGTCTGGCAAGCAGGTGATGCTTCTTTTGAAAAAAGGTTTTCAAAAATGACCTGCTTCATTTCAGTCCACCTAGAAATGTTTGTTGATGAGTTTGACTCTAGGCAAGATAACCATCGCATCAAACTACATTAAGACTTTACTGCAAGTTTAAACTAAATTTGATTCTCTTTTTTGCTAAACAGTATCTCAAGATACTACACCTGGTATGGGGTACACTGGGTAGGTCCAGGGGCGTCAATTCAACTGATTTAAAAATTTTTGCCTGAATTCTTTATTGGCTGTGCACAAACCTCTGCAATGCATTTTGCCAATCTAGCTCTGTATATAATTCGCAACTTTCTTTTTAATTTGATAATAACGGAATTTTCCTAGTAGTTTTGCCAAATCTCTATATCAGAACAGACAAAGGATATAGTTACTACCCGAGGCGGCACCATGGTTGCCGCCGAAGGAGCAGGAAATTTTCAAAATTTTGATGCTTCTATTTTTCTGGCAAATGCACTCTTTCAAGCACATTTCACTTAAGCAATCCTCCTAATCTTATTGAAAATAATTTTTTTACAAACAAATTGAACAGCAGATTAACACAACTGGTACAATTTCGCCGTGGTCTTGAGAAATACCATGTTGTCAGTTACTTCTGAAGCTAGGTAACAAGCAACATGGTTGTCAATTTAGATCCCTCCTTCCTTCTTAGCATGCCTTTTGAATGTTAAAAAAATTTGGAGCTCATAGTGAATTGCAGTTGACGCTTCTACGACACAATTTTACCTAAAGAGGGCCTGGATTTTTCGATCTAGGGCCAACAAGAAATCTTCAAATCTTCAAATCATTAGTTTGTTTACCTTAATTCATACCAAGGAATATCATATTTAACCAACGGAGCAACTACCTTTGCTTGATCCGCTATTGATTTTGTGACATGAAGGTCTCTAAAATACCTAAACCGCTTCTTCCACCAAGCGGGTTTTACCTGAAATTTCCTATTGAGATACTATTGGGGGGGTGTGACACCCCTACACCCCTCGGTCGCGATGCCCCTGGGTAGGCCCCACACCAAGCTCCATTGATATACTCCAAAGAAAGTAATATCTTTGTTAGAAGGCTCCGATTATCCGATACAAATATCTAAAAACATACATTCATATAATGAACTTATAGGCAACTTTACATTCTACTAAACCACACACAAAGGAAAAGATAGCTTTGGGCCCTCTGACTTAAAGCTGACCCCCTACTAGCCCCTTCCCCAAACTTTTAAGGCTATATTCGCCATTTTTAGCTAGAATCAATTTTTGAGGATGGAACAAAAGGAGTCATTCACGGGAAATTATTAAAAAGTTTTGAATTTAGCTATTCTTAGGTTGGATCGTTTGGATGCTATCCTAAAAAATAAAAATGGAAGTACCTAATTTGTGGAGTTAGAAATTTGAAGAAAAAAACGACACTGGAAAATGTTAGGAGACTAGAAACAAAATGAGCCGTTGTAGATATTTAGAAACTTAATAAACTTACTTTACACAGGGATCCTTAATGCCCAGATTGCATTCGCATCCAATATCATTTGCACGAACTTGATTACTCCCGCCATTTTGTGGTGTTCACAAGAAAAGTCAAATCGAGGCCAAATTAAACTTTTTCTAACGCCGGGGTTGGGCGGGAGGAGGGGGGAGGGGGTGCAGGCATTGGGCTGCAGGCAAATTTTAAGTTCTCTAGCTCTCTGACTATAATAGATGTTGAATTGAAAACTCTCAACTGTCACTTGAACTTGAATCAACTATAAATACACGCAAAGTCATGCATAAAGTTTTGAAATTATTTGCCTTTTTCAGGCTCGGATTCAGATTCTCCCACTTTGCAGCTGTTTTAAAATTTCCTTTTCATGGATGATGATGGTAATATTAATATTGCTGGATCTGCTGAAGAACCTCCTGTAAACTTACAGTCCTGGCAAAAAGATAAGACACTCGCAGAAAATTAAGGTAGTTCCAAATTATACAGCCCCCGTCCCCACCCCCCACCTACCCACCCACCCCTTTTCAATGTGGTTATTAGTAGTTTAGCACGCTTCATATAAAGATAAGACATTTGACTTCATTTTTCGGTAACAAGTTTCAGCTATTTTTTGTCAAGATTGTAGCTTCGGCCCAGGGTACATAAACTCAAGCTGAGGATGAAAAGTTGAGATGGTGGGAAAGTGATGCAATGCAAGCACTCTTGATGGATGGAAAAGCGCATGAAAGAAGGTATGGGTTGTACGATTAAATTCTACATCAGCTGAGAAAGCTTTTCAGGGGCATGAAAAGCGCATTTTAAATGAACAGCAAGCTGTTTTGGAGGAAGCAGTAGAGGCATCTGTAATGTTGAGCAGTTGTATGCATATGACACAGTTTGTTTTTGAATGAATAAATTTTGTACGAGTCTGATGTTAATGCATTCTTACATATTTAATTATTATGTCTCAATAATATTATACTTTAAACAATGTGTTTGCTTTTTTGAAAATCAATTCTATGAATAGCTTTAAAGTAATCGAGCAAGAGTTTATTCAAAAACAGGCAACTTTTAAGCAACGTCTCTATATTCTACGGGCAACTTTCATGAAATTTTAAGTAACTTGTGGATAGCGCTTATATTAACAATGAACAATACATGGTCTTAATCTGAAAATACCTAGCCTTTATTTGAAAAGCCCTAGCTTTATCTGAAAAACACTAGTATTTCTCTGAAAAACTCTTGTCTTCATCTTAAAAACCTTAGTCTTCCCTAACCATACTCCGAAACTCAGTCATTCCACACAAAAATAAAAGTATTGGTCTGTCACAGTATTAACGGGAAAATACACCAGAGGCGGAAATATCAATAAACGCGATCATTTGCTTTCTTTAAGAGGTCTTTCTTGAAGCTAGTAACTGTAGGTAATTAAATTTTTCTTTCCCAAGTTGTATCATTTCAGTTTTATTGATACGACTGTAATTCAGAAGATGAATCTCATACATTTTCCAAGAGAAATCTTCTGATAGCTCTCCATGCATGCTCATGTGCCGCAGATTGCTCAGTTACACTCCCTCCCCATAAAATATAAACTTCATGATATGGAAAGTAAGCAATACGACATGTTGGCATAAAAGGAACATCGATTAAATGTCCGGTGCCTGGATAATGAAGAATAGTTGCAGACTCTCTGCCATGTTCATTTAGCCTCCTCTGCATTCTCAGTGCACAATCAGACATATTAGGACACATGTCATCATCTCCTGTGACCAGCATGATCTTCCCTTCGAATTTTTCAACTGGATTCTTGCTGTTTCGAAATTCAACAGGGTCCAGTTTGTCAACGTCTATAGAAAGAACTTCATTCTTTTCATTTATATGGCAATGTTCCGGTTTGAATCCCCCATTTAAGCCCCTAACTTCCCCCTTATATTTAAGTGTAATTGCCAAAATGTCAGCCGTAGAAATACCAACAACAGCCCTAACCAGAGAACATTCTGTGCCAACATTCAAAGCAATCTGACCGCCAGCGGAAGAACCTATATATCCAATGCCAGATGGATAAACCCTTTCATGACTTGCAAACCATTTAACAGCCTCGATGAAATACTGCAAATCAATGTTGTTTGGGCTTTTAGGCAGATCTTTGTATCCAAAATAGGCCAATGCAAACGTGACAAATCCATGAGATGCCAAAATGGCTGCCCTAGACTCAATCAGATCCCCATCAGCACCAAACATGTCAATGACACCTGTTATGGGAAAAGAAAAAAAGAAGTTTTTATGGCCATGGCCAACGGTCAGGCTGATTTATCGAAGCATTCTCCTAGTCACCGTTAGCAAAGGCTTTGGGAGGAAATAAAAGAATCCATAAACGGACCCATATGACAATATGATTTGAACTTTGAAGCATTATATTCCATGTTATTTTCTATCATTGTCCACAACTATAATCAGGGCCATTGCTAAAGGGGGGTATGGTGGAGGGGGTGTGAAACTCCCTTGAAAGAACATTTTATTGTAAAAACAAAAACTTTTCGGCTATTTTGCTTCGTCTAGTCATCAAATTTTAAGATCTGGCGGGAAATAAAGGATATCTCTACTACTTTATCGGTAAATGGGATGTGATGGGATGTGCACAAAAGCTAGCGATGACCATGACCCAATCTATATTCGAAAGAAACCCCAGCGCATAAACAGTCAAAATATCGCATTCATTGGCCTGACTTTGAAAGAATAAATTGAAAACGTACCTGGTAATTTTCTGCTTCCTTTTGGAACAAACAATGTCCCTCTTATGCGGCCAACACTTATCTCCTTGCGTTCCACATGATCAGCCAGATATGTTCGTAAAATTTTCGTTTTTGCTAGAGGCTCAGGAAGCTTTTCAACGGCTTGCTTCGGGTTATCTACATTCCCTTGAGACATAACGTGCCTGTCAAACAAGAAAACCCTAAATTCCATCGGTTTAGTGACATCTCTTGCAAGAAACCTGACCCCTTTTCGTTGCCCTGGTACTAACAACATGCTCCAAAATAAACCCATGTTGTCAATGCCTTTGTAGGTACCTCCAAAAGAAGAATCTCGTGACAAATTCAGCTCACCATCTTTGTCTGCGATGTAGTGTCCATATGATTCAAAAAGCTCCGATTTGTCAGAATTGAGCTCAACTCGCAAGGTTACACTTTGAAATGGGCTCAAATTTTTCACTTTAATCTGAATCCTTTGATCCACGAGCACTGGACATTTCGGTGCAATTATTGTCGGTAACATTCTTACTTTCAATTTATCAACTCTACGTAAAGAATTGCCCATCACTTGTCTAGACCCAGTCCACATAAACACGGTGCCGGATATTTTTGAGAACGCAATTACTTTTATCCGTTTTTCAATTCAAAAGAATATGCATCCACTCTGTGAGCGTTTTCAAAAAATATGTCCGTCCTTACTTCTATAACAGACGTACGTCATCAGCAGATCAAGGGGACAAGTTTGAGGCCAACAAATATTACTTTTCCTAATTCAAGATTTTCTCCATTGAAATGCTAATTCTGCAAAAATGCCACAGAGACCTGATAACATCGCTGTAATCTTTAAGTGTAACTCACTACTCACAAGATTAAAATACTCTTGAATTCCACATTAGATGCACGGAACCACATAAATCGCTTTAGGCCTATTGCTGTTGGTGCTAAAGCCAGCGTTGTAATTTCCGATGATAGAATTCTGTTGCCAGTCAATTAAATGCCTGTTGGTGTTGGCTAATCTAATATTCATCCCTTACTCGTAGCATTTGGCTGTGAAATGTAATGTATGCTGCCTCTCTTTCCCTTCTCAGGCGAAATTGACAAGAAACTATTGGAAACTGTTCTTCAAATGCTCTTGCTGACTCACTGAACTATAGCAATCAAAAAGGATTAGGAACGAAAGGTCTTCTGGGCATTTTATTTCCCAAAAATTGAACATGTTCAACTTTTAAAATGGAAACTTCGGAAAGTTGATAATTTGAAAATGTATGGCAATAATTAGGCAACCTCTACGAATACACTAGGCATTTTATTGCGAGTCAATTAAATGCCTAGTGTATTCCAGCCTTAACGATTTAAAGTTTTGAAACAACCATAAGCATTCCTTGATTCGTAAAAAAATCTATTTGGTCTGTTCGACAATGGCATATAATATATCTTCCAGCACTTCATTTCTGGCACCAGTTTATTTCTTGCAATATTTAAATGTCATTATTTCTCACCATCGTTCTCGCCTTCGTCCTCAGCCTTGTTTTCGCTTTCGCTTTCGTTTTCGTCCTCGTCCTTATACTCGTCTAAGTCTTCGTCTTCGCCCTTGTCTTGGTCCTCCCCTTCATCCTTGTCCTTGTCTTCTTCCTCGTCTCAATACTAATCCTCGTCTTCTTCTTTGTTGTCCGTTTATACCTCGTCATTTTCTTTCGCTTTCGCTTTCGCTTTGGCTTTCGTTTTCGTCCTTATACTCGTCTTAGTCTTCGTCGTCGTCCTTATCTTCGGCCTCCCCTTCATCCTTGTCCTTGTCTTCTTCCTCGTCTCAATACTAATCCTCGTCTTCTTCTTTGTTGTCCGTTTATACCTCGTCATTTTCTTTCGCTTTCGCTTTCGTTTCCGTCCTCGTCCTTATACTCGTCCAAGTCTTCGTCTTCGCCCTTGTCTTGGTCCTCCTCTTCATCCTTGTCCTTGTCTTCTTCCTCGCCTCAATAGTAATCCTCGTCTTTTTCTTCGTCTGTCCGTTTCTACCTCGTCATTTTCTTTCGTTTTCGCCTTCATCTCTGTCTTCTTCCTCTTCGTAATCGTCATTGCAGCTGCCGGCATCAGTGGCGGATTTAAGGGAGGGGGGGCAGTTGCCCCTCCCTCGACGAGTTGAAGCAAGTCTGGCGCCCCTTTTTTGGAAATTGTACGCCCCTTTTGAAGAATGGGAATCAGGGGAAAAAGTTTCTGAGACCCATAGGTTAATTTACTTCAAGGATTACTTGAAAGTTATGTTGTTTATTCTGAAAATGGATCTGAAATTGTTGTATACAGCGTACTCTCGTCACCAATTTTTTTTTCGGCGTAAATACCTGAAAACAATATCTATAAAGCATTGCATCAAATAAAACTACAAAACTGCCAAAGTGAAAGCCCTATCAAATGTTCCTGACAGTAGACCGCTACTGTCAAACCGCTACTGTGTAGACAAAAGGAGTTTCACCTTAGGACTCCACTGGTAACATTCTCAATAGGCAAGCGGCACTGATTGGTCAACCTCAACAGTCATGTGCTCGTGTTTCTGATTGGCCTATTTCGATCCACAACTGGGTATATATATTTCCTAGCGTAGAGTTTTCGGTCTATGTTCTGACGCTTTAAACTCTAAAGAGTGTCAGACTAAAGAAGTCTCTCTTTAAAAGAAACAAAACGTGTTCGGTTTGCAGGAAACTGACGATTCAGCACGCAAAAACTTTATTGAGTTCGAATTTGAGCTTATTGCAAAGATTCTCCTTGCTATGGCGATGGATATTCAAAGAAGAGTTGAAAATTTTATTAAATCGCAAGACCATGCAGCTTTGAAGGAACTTTTTGTGGACGAGCTGTCGAAGCTTCGCAAAAGTATGCCTAGTTTCATTTGTCAACAATTTTATCTGGCTAAAGATCATTGTGCGGAGATCCTCTTGCCTGACTATGTCAAGGTCAAAAGTTGATCATTTGGATTCCCTGCCAGATAGCTTATCTTTTATTAAACATTTTGGTTTTTAACCCGTAGGTTTAACAATTTAACTCAAAGCCACAAAAGCATACAAAAAATGTCTTCTTGCACTTAATTGTTGTATATACTTGGAATAATGCAAGAAATTATCCCTGTTGAAAATGTATAGCTGTTTTTGAATTGCACTTCTTTTTTAAACTTGTTTCAAAAATGTTTTTTTTTACTTTTGTGGTAGAAAATGCGTATAACAAAACAGTGTTGGTTTTCTTTCACTTGCTGATTGTTATCCTCAAAGATTGCTATCTCAACAGTGATCAAGAAACTAACCTTATCAGTCTGTGTTGTTTGTACTCTGGTTATTAGGTTTAATGTAGTCTACTGTCAGGAACTTTTCTAACCTCTAAAATGATTATTTACATGCTAGTTAACATTATTACATCTTAATTATCTCAAAATTCTCTGAATGTTCTTATATGTTTTTGCATAACTTGATAAATTTGTTCAACTGCTAAAGCTTTATTTCTTGAAAATTGAAACATTGAACCTGAAAACAAGATAACTTAAAAGGATCATATTTCCTAAGAAAGCCAAGGTCTCAAGTTTGTTTAAATTTTTTTTTAAACTACCTTTTATGCATAAAAAGATGTTGTAAAACCATATAAACAACTTCTTCTATTGTTACGCAGAACAGTTAAACAACTTTTTTTGCAAAAAATACAGTTAATTCCAACGTTGAATTTTATGTTTAGTTCATGAACACTGACAGTTCTTCTACTTTGAATTTTTGAGTAAATTTGAGCTTTTCTGTGCTGTCTGTGTTTTATTTGAGTCTTGTAATTTGGACATAATACATACTATGTATTCATCTGAAAGCGTTTTGAGTGTAATGTAAATATCCCTTCATGCATAATCAAATCTGATGGGAACTGTCTGTACACTGCAACATCTTTGTTATACTTGCATTGCAATTTCTATGCCTCAAATCAGCATTTTTCTTCCATTTTTGCACAAGGACAGAAAAGCAGTCTCTTAAAGACAGTGTTTTCTTCTTTTCTAACCTATGTACCTTCTAATGTTGTTCACACAAGCTAGAAGATTATTCTGATTTTACTGGGCAGGAGGCTCTTAATGATTGCCAGGATGACAAATGGAGACCATTTATTTGCATTCTTGCTTTTTCAAGTGTATTAGGCATACCAATTTACTCTTATTTTGCAAACATTGCAAAAGGCACTGTTGCATATGATTTATGTAACACATATATTGGGCCAAGAGAGGATACTGACCCTGCTAAGACACCAATTCATCTCTTCTCTCTCTCTAGGTACCATGCCCACCATTTTTTGCAGCATGTAGCATGTCATTTGTTGTCATGATATAATTTTCTGTCATGGATGGTAACATCATTTGTCTCTGCCTTTCTCTCGCTTTCTTGCCTTGAAATCATCTCTCGTGGTCATCAAATAACCCTGAAAATGATCTCTTTCAGCCATTTATTCAAGCCACATTGCTCAAGCTTTTTTCAAGAACAAAAAATCTGTATCTGTACCATAAAAAATGAAGCAGTCAACAACTTATTTTCAAGTAGTTTCTAGCAGGGTGGTTAATAATAAAGCAGACTCAATTATTTCGATCAAGAAACCTGAAGATCTTGTCAGTACAGCTGATGATTCTCTTTCTGTCATTGATAATTGCCAGTATTGTTTTATGATAAAACAACAGGAGCAGTGACAGCATTGCGCTAAAAGTGACCATATTTTCGGCATAAAAGCTATACCTGTATCTGTATGCTGAGACTGGGAATTTCCGAAAGACTAGGAGTTCATTTTCATCTTAGGACTCCATTGGTAAAATTTATAATAGGCAAGCAGCACTGTTTGGGCAACCTCAACAGTCATGTGCTCGCGTTTCTGATTCACAAATTTACACAAATTGTATGATTTCTGTTCTATTGAAAAAAATTATAATCATAATTTACTAGATACATCTTCAACATTTTCCAAGAGAAATCTTTTTATAGCTTTCCATGCATGCTCCTGTGCTGCAGAATGCTCAATTACACTCCCTCCCCACAAACAATGAAGTTTATAACTTGGAAAATAAGTAATACGACACATAGGCATAAAAGGAACTTCGATTAAATGCCCCGTGCCTGGATAATGAAGGATAGTTGCAGACTCTCTGCCATGTTCATTTAGCCTTCTTTGCATTTTTCTTGCACAATCAGACGTATTAGGACACATGTCATCATCCCCTGTGACCAGCATGATCTTCCCTTCGACTTTCTCAACTGGAATCTTGCTGTTTCGAATTTCAACAGGGTCGAGTTTGTTAAGGTCCACAGAGACAACTTCATTCTTTTCATTTATATGGCAATGCTCTCCTCTGATCTCCCTAACAAGGCCTCTAATTTCCCCCCTATACCTAAGTGGAATTATCATAATGTCAGCCGTAGAAATACCAACAACAGCCCTCACCAAGGAACATTCTGCACCAACATTCAAAGCAATCTGGCCACCAACTGAAACACCTATATATCCAATGCCAGATGAATAAACCCTTTCATGACTTGCAAACCATTTAACAGCCTCGATGAAATACTCCAAATCAAAGTTGTTTGGGCTTTTAGGCAGATCTTTGTATCCAAAATAGGCCAATGCAAATGTGACAAATCCATTAGATGCCAAAATGGCGGCCCTAAACTCAATCAGACCTCCATGACCACCAAACATGTCAATGACACCTGTTATGGGAAAAGAAAGATTAAAGTTTTTATGGCCATGGCCAACGCTCAGGCTGATTTATCGAAGCATTCTTCTAGTCACCGTTAGCAAAGGCTTTAGGAGGAAATAAAAGAATCCAAAAACGGACCCATATGACAAAATGATTTGAACTTTGAAGCATTATATTCCATTTTATGGTCTATCATTGTCTACAACTATAATCAGGGTCATTGCTAAAGGGGGGTGTGGTGGAGGGGTCGTGACACCCCCTTGAAGAAAATTTTAATGCAAAAACAAAAACTTTTAGGCCATTTTTAGTCATCAAATTTTTAGATATGGCCGCTAATAAAGGTAGGCTCAACCTCTTTATTGGCAAATAGCATGTGAGGAGTTGTGCACAAAAGCTAGCCGTCCAGTCAATATTCCTTAGCATTAGACAGAGACTCTCTCCTTTCTCTCATTTACAAAAACAATTTACCAAATTTTTCCTTCAAACTTTTATTTTATTTGTTTGCCACTGATACAAATATTTACTTGAAGGGTGAAAATTCTGATGTGCTTCAAGAGTAGTTAAGAAAAAATCAAAAAAAGATAGATAACGCATTGCTTGATGTGAACAAGCTATCATTAAACTGCAAATTATTTTGCCAATGTGTTCATAGAGAAAACTAACATTGTTGTTTTTAATTCTCTAAGACATTCCTCTGAAAATGTAACCATTAAAGTTTGAAGGCAACCCACAAGACAAACTAAGAATGTCAAATTCCTTGGTATAAGATTTAGATGAACATCTTAATTGGAAATATCATTTGCTTGAACTTTCCAAAAAACTATCTAGAACTTATGGCACCTCCTTAAAAAATTGAGAGGGCTTCTCCTTAAGAAATTCACTGTATGCTATAAGTTAACTATATTTTTTCTTACATTCCTTTTATTGTTTGTTGTCATATTAATTTACAATTAATTAGCTTATTTTGAAAATGTTTGTATTTAGTGGAATTTTAAAATTATAAGCTGAACTGAACTGAACTGAACAAGACACCGTAGCGCATTAACAGTCAAATAATCAGTCATCGCATATATTGGCCTAACTTCAAAAGTTTAAATTGAAAACGTACCTGGTAATTTTCTGCTTCCTTTTGGAACAAACAATGTCCCCCTTATGCGGCCAACACTTATCTCCTTGCGTTCTACATGATCAGCCAGATATGTTCGTAAAATTTTCGTTTTTGCTAGAGGCTCAGGAAGCTTTTCCACGGCTTGCTTCGGGTTATCTGCATTCCCTTGAGACATAACGTGCCTGTCAAACAAGAAAACCCTAAATTCCATCGGTTTAGTGACATCTTCTGCAATAAACCTGACCCCTTTTCGTTGGCCTGGTACTGCTAACATGCTCCAAAATAAACCCATGTTGTCAATGCCTTTGTAGGTACCTCCAAAAGAAGAATCTCGTGACAAATTCAGCTCACCATCTTTGTCTGCGATGTAGTGTCCATATGATTCAAAAAGCTCCGATTTGTCAGAATTGAGCTCAACTCGCAAGGTTACACTTTGAAATGGGCTCAAATTTTTCACTTTCATCTGAATCCTTTGATCCACGAGCACTGGACATTTCGGTGCAATTATTGTCGATAACATTCTTACTTTCAATTTATCAACCCTACGTAAGGAATTACCCATCACTTGCCGTAAGTCTTAGTGCATTATTATGTCAAATCACCACAGTTGTTCACCTATAAAATTTGCAACATAAAAGCTTGGAATACGTTCTAGACTGTGGTCAATGCTGTAGGGTCAATAAGGTATCGGCACCAGCAACAGCAACAGCAACAGCAACAACAACAGCATTTGACCTTTAAAGGCAGTAGGAGGTGTTAGATATATTAGGATACGCGGGGGAACTTTGTAGGGTAAAAGGGCATGTAAAATATTACATTACCGGAAAATATGAAAAACTAACACGCGACAAACTAATATGTTCTAAACAAAGAGAAGCATAAACAAATATAGGCATAAACGCAAGACTGACCTAAAATAAAATAAGTTCCTATATTACATATTGACAAAAAATAATAATCATAATTTACTAGATACATTTTGAACATTTTCCAAGAGAAATCCTTTTATAGCTCTCCATGCATGCTCCTGTGCCGCAGAATGCTCAATTACATTCCCTCCCCATAAAAAATGAAGTTTAAAACGTGGATAGTAAGAAATGCGACACATTGGCATAAAAGGAACTTCGATTAAATGCCCCGTGCCAGGATAATGAAGAATAGTTGCCGGCTTCCTGCCATGTTCATTTAGCCTTCTCTGCATTTTCTTTGCACTATCAGACGTATTAGGACACATGTCATCATTCCCTGTGACCAACATGATACTCCCTTTGACTTCTTCAACTGGAATCTCGTTTTTGTGACATTCTGCAGGGTCGACGACTATAGAAACAACTTCATTATTTTCATTTATAAGGAAATGCTCCAGTTTGAGTCCCCCAACCACGCCTCTAATTTCCCCTTGATACTGAAGTGGAATTACCATAATGTCAGATGTAGAAATACCAACAACAGCCCTCACCAGGGAACATTCTGCGCCAATCTGCAAAGCAATCTGACCACCAGCTGAAACACCTATATATCCAATGCCAGATGAATTAACCCTGTCATGACTTGCAAACCATTTAACAGCCTCGATGAAATACTCCAAATCAATGTTGTTTGGGCTTTTAGGAAGATCTTTGTATCCAAAGTAGGCCAATGCAAATGTGACAAATCCATGAGATGCCAAAATAGCTGCCCTAAACTCAATCAGATCCCCATGAGTCCCAAACATGTCAATGACACCTGTTATGAGGAAAAAATATTACAATATTTAATTCTACCACAAATAGCTTGTTGGAGAGACGAACTAGCATTTGTCTGAAGGTTATAAGCAAGTATCAGATCGAAAGACGAACAACGTTTATAGAAAAGTTTTTCATGAGAAGTGTAAGAATGAAACTCTGGCATATTTGAGTTTACTTTGATATAATAAAACTTTGAATAAATGCTGTGAGGTGCTACAAGGTGTAAAATCTGTCCATAAACCTTCACCCTAATGAGCAAGTGCATATGATTCACTCACAGCATAGGGCTGAAATCTTGATTGGCTGAGAGCTTGCGCTAAATCACGTGACCTCCCTCGCCGCTAAGCCAATCACAGCCCCGGAAAGTGTAAACATACTTTGACCCTAGTTCAAATCGAAAACGCGGAAAATGCGGAATTCTCATTCCTTTACAAATAAGGTCTTATATTTCAATTCTTGAAAGAGCACTTTTTCTTTGTTTATGCATTTCTATTCCAGAAGCTTAAAGCAAAATTTCACTCTTCTGCGTGTTCCGCGTTTTCGACCTGGCCGATATATGACTGACTTAACAGAAATTTATGATATGTAACTTAACCTTGGAAATCTAAATGTAAGACCTGTACTACTAAAACAATATCATCATCTGACTTAAATTGATGTTGCAGTTGTCATTGGTTTCTGGTCATTTCATCATTTAACATTTCATGATTCATGCTGGAATTATATTTTACCACTTATTTTCATTTAAATTAGAGGTAAAAAGGTGATCTGGAATCACCTCAATTTATTTTGATGTTTTGATGATTTATTTCGTCAAAAAACTGTTAGGTTTGAATGGCGTTAGTTGCTCTTGCAGCCACAAAATCTGTGCTAAACTTTATAAAAGGCTTAAAAACTCATTTTATACCTCTCTTGTCATCAAATTAGCAAAGATAATTGGTTATTAAAGGTTTCCGCGTTTTCCGCGTTTTCGATTTTCACCCTCGTTCGAAATCGAAAACGCAGAAAACGCGGAAATCGGTCCCAGCCGATTTCCCGAGGGGTTTTCCTACACAATTTTGTCTGTGCTTGATAAGAAAACAAATCGGGGACATTTCATCATTACATTACTGGTCTAACCGGTGAAAAGATGGAAGATTTGTGCCAACATAAGAGATGTTTATGACAAACTGCGTTGTTGCTCTTCCAGCCACAAAATCTGTGCTAAACTTAATCAAAGGCTTAATAACTCATTATATACCTCTCTTGCCACCAAATAAGCAAATATAATTGGTTATTAAATGTTTCCGCATTTTCCGCGTTTTCCGCGTTTTCGATTTTCACCCTCGTTAGAAATCGAAAACACAGAAAACGCGGAATTCTCATTCCTTCAAAAATAAGGTCTTATATCTCAATTCTTGAAAGAGCTTTGTTGCTTTGTTTATGTCTTTTCATTCCAGAAGCTTCAAGCAAAATTTCACTTTTTCGCGTGTTCCGCGTGTTCCGCGCTTTCCGCGTTTTCGACCTGGCCCCTTTTTCTTTGTGTCTCTGTCCTAGCTTTCCTGAAATTTCAGTCTCCCTTTCTCAGAGATTATGCAGACGCCAAGTGTTTATCCAGTTTTACAGAAACTGTGACTTTGAAAGCATAAATTGAAAACGTACCTGGTAATTTTCTGCGTCCTTTAGGAGCAAACAATGTCCCCCTTATGCGGCCAACACTTATCTCCGTGCGTTCCACATGATCAGCCAGATATGTTCGTAAAATTTTCGTTTTTGCTAGAGGCTCAGGAAGCTTTTCCACGGCTTGCTTCGGGTTATCTGCATTCCCTTGAGACATAACGTGCCTGTCAAACAAGAAAACCCTAAATTCCATCGGTTTAGTGACATCTCTTGCAAGAAACCTGACCCCTTTTCGTTGCCCTGGTACTAACAACATGCTCCAAAATAAACCCATGTTGTCAATGCCTTTGTAGGTACCTCCAAAAGAAGAATCTCGTGACAAATTCAGCTCTCCATCTTTGTCTGCGATGTAGTGTCCATATGATTCAAAAAGCTCTGATTTATCAGAATTGAGCTCAACTCGCAAGGTTACACTTTGAAACGGGCTCAAATTTTTCACTTTAATCTGAATCCTTTGATCCACGAGCACTGGACATTTCGGTGCAATTATTGTCGGTAACATTCTTACTTTCAATTTATCAACCCTACGTAAGGAATTACCCATCACTTGCGTTAGGTCTTCGTGCATTACGATGTCAAATCACCGCAGTTGTTTACCTATAACGTTTGCAACGTCAAAGCTACGAATACGCAGGCTGCTTCTTTTTGCTGCTTCCAAGAGAAATCAATAACGTCTCAGCGTAATCAATAGGCCGATTGACCTTTGTCTGTGCCTTTGTCTTAAAACCCTTAATATTTGTACAATAACTGAATAATCCGTTTGCAGGACTCATAGATCAAATTCTATTTCTAAGCGGGTCCTGCGGATAGACAGGGAAATTTGCATAACCACCTAGCAACCTGCCTAACTGGATTTTAAAGTTTAAATTATTACAAGAACAAGCCCAGTGCGAACCTACGATGAAGGGGGGCAGGGGGCCATTGCTCCCCACATTTTGCAAAACAATAGAGCTTGCAAAACAAGTCTTTTGTTATGATTGTAATGTTTTCCATTGCCCTCCCCCCCTCCCCACTATCCAACCTGCATCGGAGCCCATGGAGTGCTCAATCATACAAGAACTTCCTCTTTATGCTCAAACGATTTCCCGAAAAAATCTTTATATTTTTTCAAAATTCCTTCTAAAAAAACGAAATATTTTGGTAAAAAAATTCACTCGCACTCCTGTGTAAAAAGGGGGTAGAGGCTCCCCTTAAAATCACTTAGTCAAGTTATACAAGTCCTTAGTCATGCCAATTCCTCTCTACAACTTTGGCACTTGGGGATTAACAAAGAAAGAAGAAGAAAGTTTAAACTCTTTTCATAGACAACAACTAAGGAGGGTACTTAATGTTAAATACCCTGCACACATAGGCAAGGAACAGGTGTACAGGCAAACTGGCGAAGATGTCTTATCCCTGGAAGTGCTACGAAATAAATGGAAATTATTTGGACATGTTCTACGATCACATCCAGAAACACAAGCGCAAAAAGCAATGAACTATTATTTTGAAAAATCAAATGCAAAGACGTTTCGCAGAAGACCAGTAATTACATTGCAAGTTTTATTACGCAACGACATAATTATGCTTAAGAGCAGTGGTGTAGTGCTATCAAAATAACAAGGGGGGCTTTTGCACAAATGTTGCAAAAAAATAATTGCAAAAGTAGAAATTTGCCAATTTTCAGCATTAACAAGGGGGGCTCAGCCCCCCTAGCTCTACATCCCTGCTTAAGAGACATAACACGTTCAAAAATAGATATAGCACCATAACCCAGTTCAAATCGAAAAATGATCTCGAAAGCCTAAGAACACTAGCGCAAGAGAGACAAACTTGGACAGCATTTGTTAACGACATTCATGTTGCTGCTTAAGCAGATAAGAACTAATTATAGTTTTTCTATGCGGATATAGCTATTACATATATATATATGTACTTGCAATATAGATTTGATCGCAGAAATAACACTTTGTTGGTACCGGTTTCATCTGATCGTGCAGAATCTCAGATGAAACCGGTACCAACAAAGTGTTATTTCTGCGATCAAATCTATATTGCAAGTATCTATCAACTGCTTTTTGCGGAATATCAACATAAATCTATATATATATATATATGTATATGTATTCAAAAGCTCTAGACTGTAATGTTTTTTAAAAATTTAAATAGATGATCAGTAAAAAAACAACTTGATTAACGTTTCGCAATATGCTTCTTCAGAATAACCTTCACTTACATTTGGAGCGTAAAATGAGGAATACAAAACAATAGGACAAAAGAATACATTTTACAAGCAAGGACAATAATGGCTAATTATACGACACAAGTAAACTTTCTAAGGCCCAGCTGAAGGTGAGAAAAGCGGAATAAATACAATAGATTAAAGAACAAAAGAGAGGCGCGAAGGCAGATGGTTAAATACCCAGGAATGCACAAAAACGAGAAAGGGTGAATGCTGTCTGTCCCTACCATGAAGATTAGAAAATAATATTATGTGGAAATAATAAATAGCTGTGAAAAGAAGAAAATAATCCAAGAGATATATATATATGTACATTTTGATTTCCGATGGGCGTTAGCCTAAAATAACCCCATAAAATTGGCACTTGGAAAATATGTTTTTCTGCCATAATTTGAGACAGGTATGTCTAATTCATCAAAGTAATAATACAACATTCGACTTTTCGTGAGTAAAGCTTTCGATTGATGTACATTAAATAACATTTTCACAATGTCGGCAAATAATGTTATGACGTCACTTGTTTGAACGCAAAAACAATATATTGATCATACTGCACTGATATTATCTAAATCAAAGACATGTTATGTGGCAAAGTCACTGTCTTAATAGAAATAATTAAAAAGCATAATCCCAAATGATTTTAACTGTATCAGATGTGTCCGTAATGTGAAGAAACATGTTTTTCAATGTCCTGTCAATTAGTCAATCCGTTTTTAGTCATCAAAAGTATCAGTTGCACCATCTGGTTCTGAGTTACTGTCCGAAAGCAATTCGGACTCTGATTCGGATTCATATGTGATGTTACCAACATCTTGTAATAGCTAATACTATCTATTAATATTAGCTATAATTATCCTTATTTGTAAAATATGTTATCTTTTGTCCTTTTGTTTTTTATTTCTTATTTTGAGCTCCGAATGTAAGTCTAAGTTATTCTGGAGAAGCATGTCGCGAAACGTTAATCAAGTTGTTTTTTTACTGATCATCTATTTAAAGTTTTAAAAAACATAATAGTCTAGAGCTTTTGAATTTTGGAATACATATATATGTATATACAATGATAAAAACAACACATTTTATCCGGCTCAGCTAGGTACAACCAAATTGATTATTTTCTATGTCAGGCTCAATTCTAACTAATAAAAAGAGATCAAACAATTTGTTGGAGCTTCCTTGATTTGTAGGTTAGAATAGCGAAAATGTTTCAAGTAAACAAAATATATTATCACTTAAAGCTAATACTGCGTAAAAAATTTGGTTGAAAAAAGAGGATAAATAATAAAGTGCAAATGTACAAAATGCTTCTTGCCTTGTTAAATTCAGCATATCAATTTTCTATGTCCCTCTTTTTCTTCCCTTTCTATATTCTTTCTATTCTAATTTTCTGCAATGACAAAAATTATCCAACTAATTGATTGCATTCCACCTATTTTTTGTGTAAACTTAGAAATATAATGTTACATTAGTAACTAAAGCCTCAAATTGTAAAAAATGATGCTGAAAAAATAAATTTTGAATTAGTATTTGAAAAGCATTTGAAAATTTTTAAAGCCGTTTACATTATAGTGCGAGCACCACATGAGCTTTCCAAATCTCAGAATTTTCTACTCAAATTGATAATTTCTGTTCTGTTGACAAAAATAATAATCATAATTTACTAGATACATCTTGAACATTTTCCAAGAGAAATCCTTTCATAGCTCTCCATGCATGCTCCTGTGCTGCAGAATGCTCAATTACATTCCCTCCCCATAAAAAATGAAGTTTATACATTGGAAAGTAAGCAATACGACACATTGGCATAAAAGGAACTTCGATTAAATGCCCTGTGCCAGGATAATGAAGAATAGTTGCAGGCTTCCTGCCATGTTCATTTAGCCTCCTCTGCATTCTTCTTGCACAATCTGAGGCATTGGCACCGTCATCATTCCCTGTAATCAACATAATCTTCCCTTCGACTTTTTCAACTGGAATCTCGTTTTTGCGACGTTTTGCAGGGTCGACGTTAATAGAGACAACTTCATTCTTTTCATTCATAACGAAATGCTCCAGGTTGAATCCCTCAACCAGGCCTCCTATTTCCTGAAGTGGAATTATCATATAGTTAGGCGTAGAAATACCAACAACAGCTTTCACCAGGGGACATTCTGCACCAACATTTAAAGCAATCTGGCCACCAGCTGAAACACCTATATATCCAATGCCAGATGAATAAACCCTGTCATGACTTGCAAACCATTTTAGAGCCTCGGTGAAATATTCCAAATCCAAGTTGTTTGGGCTTTTAGGCAGATCTTTGTATCCAAAGTAGGCCAATGCAAACGTGACAAATCCATGAGATGCCAAAATGGCTGCCCTAGACTCAATCAGACCTCCATGAGTCCCAAACATGTCAATGACACCTGTTATGAGGAAGAAGAATAACAATTTTTAATTCTACCATGACTAACTTGTTGGAGACATGAACTAGCATTTGTCTGAAGGTTATAAGCAAGTTTCAGATCAAAAGACAACAACGTTTAAAGAAAAGTTTTTCATGAGAAGTGTGAGAATGAAACTCTGGCATATTTGAGTTTACTATGATATAATAAAACTTTTATTAAATGCAATGGAGTGCTACAAGGTGTAAATTCTGTCCATAAACCTTCACCCTAATAAGCAAGTGCATGTGATTCACATTTCCATTGGTTCACACAAATGGATAGAATAATAGCCCCAGACAGAAAGAATCTAGACTCATCTCCCGTACAATACTGCAATATTGATGCTTTGTTGCAATAGGCATTAAGCCTGGTTTTCATATTATCGTAATTCATCGAGAATGATTACAGGTGCAATTCCCCCCCCCCCTGATGGTTTGGACATCAATGATTTCCTACAATTAGCAAAGGTGCACCCTACGCCTCATGTCAGCTCAATTGCTCAATTTGATTGGTGACACAGCAGCTAAATGCTGCCTCCAAGTTGTTGCATTCTTGTCACTGGTATAGAAAGTGTATTTCATTTTCCAAATTGATATCAAGAGCATAACAATGATCTTAGGAAACTTGCTGCTGTAGAGACATTTCTTTCAAACTGATCATGTTACAAAGCAAATCAGCAGCGGACCATCGTTGTGGCAGAGAAGCTTCCGCCATGACTTTCCTATATCTGAAAACGTACCTGGTAAATTTCTGCCTCCTTTTGGAACAAACAATGTCCCCCTTATGCGGCCAACACTTATCTCTGTGCGTTCCACATGATCAGCCAGATATGTCCGTAAAATTTTCGTTTTTGCTAGAGGCTCAGGAAGCTTTTCCACGGCTTGCTTCGGGTTATCTGCATTCCCTTGAGACATAACGTGCCTGTCAAACAAGAAAACCCTAAATTCCATCGGTTTAGTGACATCTCCTGCAATAAACCTGGCCCCTTTTCGTTGGCCTGGTACTGCTAACATGCTCCAAAATAAACCCATGTTGTCAATGCCTTTGTAGGTACCTCCAAATGAAGAATCTCGTGACAAATTCAGCTCGCCATCTTTGTCTGCAATGTAGTGTCCATATGATTCAAAAAGCTCCGATTTGTCAGAATTGAGCTCAACTCGCAAGGTTACACTTTGAAATGGTTTCAAACTTTTCACTTTAATCTGAATCCTTTGATCCACGAGCACTGGACATTTCGGTGCAATTATTGTCGGTAACATTCTTACTTTCAATTTATCAACCCTACGTAAGGAATTACCCATCACTTGCGTTAGGTCTTCGTGCATTACGATGTCAAATCGCCGCAGTTGTTTACCTATAGCATTTGCAACGTCAAAGCTAGGAATACGCAAGCTGCTTGTTTATGCTGCTTCCACGAGAAATCAATAACGAAATCAATAAATGCTGCCTCCACGACAAAGGCACAGACAATACAGACAGACAGATTGACCTTTGTCTCTACCTTTGTCTTATCGCCCTTAACCTTCTGCAGAACCCACAGATCCTATTCTATCTCCATGCGGGTTCTCTCGGATAGACAGGGAAATTTGTATAACTATCTAGCAACCTGCCCAGGGGCGCAAATGCAAATTTTTTTAGGGGGGTGTTCTTTGAAGGGACCGAGTTTTCGCCACGATTGACCGATTTTTGCGATATAGATATTGTCGGGGCCGCAGTCCAGGGCCGTCGCGAGGCAATAACGTCTCAGTGCAAGCCATAGGCCGATTGACCTTTGTCTGTGCCTTTGTCTTAACACCCTTAACCTTTGTACAAGTGCTTCCACAAATGACAATGCGGGTTTCCTTGAACGAGGCTGAAATTTCCTCAGATTTCCTCAGACGTCATTTGAAATTTCCTCAGATATTTTCTTGAAAGTTCGAAACTTAATTTAGAGTGAACATAACAATTTTCGGTAAATTGAAGCTTTTTTTTCAGCTATAAGCTTATCGTTCATGTCTATAGTGCCGAAGGGGGCAATATCAAGTCAGGGTCCATGTCCAATCATTTTAAGCGCATCAAACTGTACTTTTCTGCAAAGTTTCATACTGTTGTACCAAAGTACAACTGAAATACGATAATACCGTCTACTCTGGGGCAGTGTACCCCAGTCTGAATATAGAGTAAGGGGGCAATTTTCAGATGGTGTTTAAATCCTATCATTTTCTGCGTATCAGATTGTCACCTATTGCAAAGTTTCCTGGTATTGTACCTACTTTCAGCAAAGATATCAAAATAACATCGTTAGTGGAGTCATGCGGTAAAATACCCGAGTCTAAAAATAGCCAAAGTGGGAATTTTCAGCCAGGGTCTATATCTTATCTTTTTCAGCATATCAAACTTATTTTGCAAAGTTCCATGCTGTAGTACTTAAGTACGACTGGGATGCGACAACCCCGTCTTTAAAGGTATCGAGCAAAGTACCCCAGTCTGAAAATAAAAAAGGGGGCAATTTTAGTTAGGTTCTGTACAGGCACGTAAATAATAGGGGGCGTGGGGGCGTGACGCCCCTCCCCCCAAAGGTTGAAAAATTCAATTACAGTTGGAAAACTTGAAAGTTAACTTAAAATGTTTTCTAACTCTAATATCCAAATATGTGCATTTTATAACTTAGGGATTTTGGGATTTTAAATGTTAAAATCGTAGACCTTATTAAAATTCGAACTCTGGAGCAGACACATCTTCTAATCGTTTTAAATGTGAAGTTTGCACCATTACACCGTTTTGTTTTCTTATTGACAGGGGTGAAGTTAAGTTGAATTATTTTGAATAGGCAAGGTGAATTTCTGGATAAGAAGTTTAAATTTTACTATCAGTATTGATTGAGCCTGCAGTTTTAAAGAAATCATACCCTTTATTGATCAGAACAATTGAAAATGGGATTTTTTTAAGAAACTACGAGTAGTCAATTCATTTAAAACATTAAAAATCTATCATTGCAAGTTATAAAAGCTTCTTAATGAGTGTATGCTAAGCTACCCCTGCACTTTGTAGACCTCCTTAAATCTTATCATAAATTGCCATGATAAAGCTGATGAAAAGACACAAAACATTGATCAAAGAAGCGGCAGTCGAAGTATTTGTTTAAAGAAGAGTGTTTTATCTTACGAATTGGGCACATGCACTTGCCCTCTGATCACCCTTTTCAGTTGCAAAACATAAAGGACATTCAGCCCTCTGAAAATTGTAAAAAGTTTTCTTCGATCAAGAACAAAGATGAAATGGTCGATTCCTTGATGCTTCTTTATTGTAAAAAAGACATTTTATATAAAACTGATCTGCAGCAAATAGCTTTAAGATGAGCAAAGTAGAAATAGAATGGAATCGCTGTTAATTGACTTGAAAGAATATTACTTTTTATAGTTAAATATATCAAGGATCTTATACTGGTTTGACTTTTATGTTGCTTTACTTCTTACGAAAAGATAAAATTTTCGTTTTACGTTGATCAAAAATGTTGGTTATAATACAGAAACTAGAAATCTGGAATAAGGCTATTTTCAAAAACCAATTTAGTAGGCTCAGTAGATTAACAGATCGAGAGAAAATTTTTTCAAGTGAAGTTGAAATTTTCATTCTTCCACGACCCCCCAAAATTATCCACTTGTTTACGTCCCTGGTTCTGTATCCTATCTTTTGAACCGTATCAAACTGCTCCCTGTTGTAAAGTTTCGTGCTATTGTACTTACTTTCAGAAGAGATATTGCAATAACGCCATTAGGGGCTTGGTGCAAAGAAACCCGGTATCAAAATAGCCAAAGGGGGCAATTTTCAGTTGGGTTCTATATCCTGTCTTTTTAAGCGTATCAAACTACCCCTTTTTGCAAATTTTCATACTGGTATTGCAATTTGCACAATTGTTTGACTAACAGCCCTGACTAAGTGGGATAGTGTGTTTTCGTGACGACGGAATCAGCTGCAACTGCAAATTCTTCGTGGTTTTGCAGAATCAGTCCATTAGAGGAACAGAGTCTTCCTTTGTATTTTACGAATAATCCATAATTTAAAACCTGCATGTTTGATGTTAGTTTTCCTATTCTGTGATTAGTATTCAACCAAAAAATTTCTTTCTAGAGATTTGCTACGCAGGCTTTACTAGTTCCTTAAGGTGAAACAGCCCCTTCAGGTAAAAAAGCCCCTTAAGGCCATGAGACCGTTGTACTTCGTTGATTCGGGTGAAAAATATTGAGGAAAACGATAACTACTTGTTGTACTACAAAAACCCCTACTACAAAGTTTTCTATGCAAATAAGGACCACGGTGCCCCCTTTCCGATGGTTTACTTTTTGAAGTGTCCTAGAACTTATAAATGAAAAATACAAAAAGGCTGTGTCTTTAAAATCAAATTTATTTTCAGGATACTTTTATTGCTAGCAAGCAGGGGTGTAGTGCTAGAGGGTTCATGGGGGCTGGTCCCCTTGCTATTGCCGAGAAGTATCCCAATTCTACTTTTGCTATTGTTTTTTGCAACATTTTGCAAGAGACACCCCTTGTTATTTTGATAGCACTACACCTCGGCTAGCAAGGCAAAAGTACAATGATGCTTTGCTAAAAAACTTCTCTTTAGCATATGTTATTGACGGCCAAAGTAACAAATAACCATTAATAGGACCTTGAGAGGTTTTATATTCAGGCATAACCACGAATAAAGAAGTGAATGTAATTGGTGAGCGTTATAACAAGCTACCTAATTGGACAGCTGTTGGTTTTCTTCGACCAGTCATCTTCAAGGAAGACGATTTAGTCTTTTTACCATTTACAAAAGATGTTCCAGGATGCTTTGCGATACAGCATCAAGCGGCGCTCATATAAGCTACTAAGAACACGCCTCTTGTGGTTAGTAAAATTGACGGAGTTTAATCGCATGGCCATGTGCCTTAGTGCAATGCAAAACATGCCAAGTCTCTTCCCTCACTTGGACGAAATGCAACAATTGGCACACACTAGCAGCGACATGTTTATGCATATTAAGAGATATGCCAAACAACATTCTGTTTTCTGTTTGACTTTTGAATAAGAAACTAAAATCAGCAAGACTCTTTCAAGCAGCTGTGTATGTGCAAACTGTTTCATTATGGTGCAATGCCGCAAGCGAACAAATTCCATTAAAACAATCATTTTATGCATATGATAACTCCATATTTAATCTGATGCATTAAAACATACCAGACATGGTTTTTAAAAACCTAGTACAGACGATTAGCATTATAATTAACACAACAAGATAATGGAAGCATTCCATTGTATGCACAGATATCTGGAAAAGCTCGAATGAAACTATTTTTCTTAGTTCGAAAGTAAGTTTTCAGGGATGTTATCTAAGTTTTCAGGGGTGGTATTTAAGTTCTCAGAGATGCTATTTAAGTTTTCAGAGATGGTATTTAAGTTTTCAAGGGTGGCATTTATATGGAGAATGGAGAGCAAGCCTATTCACCCAAGCCTCCGTTTTCTAAAAGCAAATGATAAAAGATTCTGAGTTCCTGTCTGCCTAAAATTCACAAAAGCTTGGCCTGCCTTAGATACACTAATGTCTAAATAAATGACAGATAAAAATGCCTGTTTGTCTGTACAAAAAACTGTTCTTTTTACTGCCCCAAAAGTCAGAACTGGTGAGCCAGTGGTTTGCCACTATGAGAAACTGATCCCTCAATTTTCTTCTGTTGTATAGCATTGTGAAAAAATGTGTCTGTAAAACCAACAAAATAAAATATTACCAAAAAACTATATTGAGAAATATAAAGTTTTTATTTTAATGTAAGTCTCTATAAAATTATGATACTGTTGATTGTAGTTTGGTAATTCTTTCGGTCAACATTACTATATAATACTTTTGCAATGATACCGTAATCATGGCTTTTAAAACAGTTGAAATTAGCAAATAAGAAAATGGTGGCACAAAAACTGTTACTTATTTAGATAACTAATAAATCCTAGATAATTATAATATTCACATATTTCTTCACAATGCGATACGAAAGGTAAATGAAATGCGAGCAACACTTACAACTTTGGCATACATACAACAAATTTCAAATCAACTCAAATTGCTTTGACCTTTGTCAGTATTAAGAGCAAATCATTTCGAATTACAAGCAGTCCTTGCGAGCTCAATCTAGCACCTCCACAGGTGACTTAAAAATGCTTTGAGCGGACCAATTGAGCACTAATTCCATTATAACATGTTCTCTTAAATTCAATTTATTGAGCAACACAGAAATAAATCTCAATTTCCCAACAATCACTGAGTGATAACGGAACTAGAAAGTTTTTGGATTGAACCAGAAACCTTTTCCTAGGCTGTACTCTGCACCTAGAAATTTCATCATGACCCTAATTTCAACAAGCACCGATCTTATTGTTCCACCCAAAGCCGGGGCCTGACAAGCATGCTTTGCCAAATATTTGAATGTGCATTCTGTCTTATGGGGACACAATGTTGTGGAAAGAGTTAAACATCAGGTTTAGAGGAATATAGTGAAAAGATAAAATTCAAATTGACATACATGCACCGATAGTCATCTATGAAATGTTTTGGGTACTTGCCTGATAAACACTTTATTTCTTGGCAAAGGAGATGCTCATTGCATGAGTTGGTGTGATTTTAAATCCCTGCAATGTTTCTCTTGCTTGACCAGCAACAGACTCGTTGTCAAACTCCACAAAAGCAATATCACTGCGTCCTGGAACCAATCTGACTTCTTTGAACCCTGGAAACCTAAAAGAATGATACTCCTTACACCAAGCTGAAAAAGTGTCATATAGTTCAAGAAAGGGCCTTATATATTTTTACAGAGAAGCAACATGGCTGGTAATACTACATGAAGCATATACTCTACAACTAATACATCTGCAAGGATAAAAAACAGCAACAATTTTGCATGCTTTGGATGATAAAAAATGGCAGTGGTATGTTTAGTAAGAAAATACAAACTAAAACTGCTGATATGAACAGATCCAAGGTTATTTACTTACTGTTGGAACAGCATAGAAAGCATCATTTCGGTTGTTTCATCTGGGAGATTTGTCAAGAAAAGAATTTGATTTGGCACCTCTGGAGCTTGCTGAGTTGGCACAATAACTGGTGGAGCTACAGACAAACAAGACTTATTTTACAACAAATATCTCGAAATTTGCAGATAAGAAACTTGATTATAATCCAAACACTTTGGCAGCAATATGTCAAAACTTATGTCAAATATTCCAAAACTTGGCAAATTACAATACCCTCCTCCATCTTTTCCTGACAAGCACAACTTTTGGGGTTATCTGGGTCATCAGGATGATTATGTAAAGTTTTGTCTAAAGGATATTTTTTTAAAAAAGGACACAGCATTTAAGGCAAATTTTTGGCAAAGAAATCAGTATTTCTAATGAGGATGCCTAGAATTTAAAAGAATTTCTTATGAGGATGTCTAGAATTCAAAAGACAAATGCTATAGGCATCAATGCATTGTACCTGTTCTTATTGCTCATGATTAACTGCACCTTAGCTAATGGCAGTGACAACAATAAATGCAATAATCTTAATCAATGTAACTGTTCACATGGATGATTGTCCACACCCTCACCAATGCCCTGGCAAAATTATTGGCACAGGCTAATGACCACCCTCACAAAAACATGTCTCGGTCGCAAGAGACAGGAGGAGCATCTACAGGAAAATTAGTTCCTATAAATTGCAGTATTCCTGGTTGAAATGTCAAGTTACTAATGAAAACTGAGCATTGTGGCTTCATTATCCATGGTGCAGTAACCATGGTGCAAATTTGCAGTAACCATGCAGATAGAAAACCAAAAGTTAGGCAGTTATAGGCAGAGCCTTTCATCCTTTCGTACAATTTTGAGTATTTAAATCAAAGGAGCATTTGGTAAATGATGTACAATCAAAGGTGTACAATTGGTTAACCAATAAATATTCTAACTGATCATCAAATAATGACATAAAATAAAATCTTTGAAGTAATAGATGGAAGTATGTCATGCAGTTTATGGGCTAATTGTTAAATTTCAAGGGTCCTCAAAATTGAAGAAGCATGAGGAATTGGTAAAGCTTACCAATAGCATGTAAGAGACTACTTTTGTTAAAGACAAAAACCCACTAAAACAGAAACTTTCCTTTGTTTTGGTAAACCAGTCAATGGTGTGACATACTGCCTTTAGGGAACACAATAATTTGTAACAAAATACTCCACCTACCTGTCTGAATGGGTGCTTGGACATTTTGTGTAGCAGGAGCTGGCTGCCTCTTAGCAGGCTTTGCTGATTTTTCTGCGAAATTAAAACATCAATGCTTGTGAGTTTTGCTTGGAAATCCCATATCCACACCAAACTACACAAATAAGTAATTTCCCTGTCACCTTTGTAAATTACACAGACTGGGGCTGAGGGACTGGGTTCCCCAAAAATCCTGAAAGTATTGTTGCCTCTTAGTATATGGAAAATGTTTTAGCACCCTCAGTCCATTGATACTGTAAAAATCCTAGTTTCTTGATATGATCAGATTTTGGAGAAAAAAAGCCTGAATAAAATGTTGCCCTCAAGTGTTAATAAGTGGTGTCAAAGATTTACGAAGCACCTCAGCCAAGTTGCTTTCTCATAGAAACAAGATTCTTTAGGATTCACGCTTACAAAAGATGTAATACAGCTATGTCTTAAAAGCAGAAATCCTGTGCCTTACATGCAGTTAAATACAGCCATTCCTTTACATAATATAAATTTCCACCAAATTTGATTGAAAATCTATAAGGTGTATCATTTTTGCAATAGGAACTTTGGGGGAAAACTTATTTCATTATTGTTTGGCAAATAAGTTGCATGGAAGCATATTTTATTGCATATTTCACATTCTGATTGCATATTTCATTTTGGATTTTGGGTGAATTTTTTCCACCCTCAATCACTACTCATGGTCATATTTCTTACAAGAATTTCATTGTCTTAAACCCTGAAAATTTAACTGTAGTCGAAACCTCCTTTGCTTAATCTGATTCTGAAGTCAAATGTTTAGTGCAAATAAATTTTAAGCATTTTTCAAATCATGGTTGTAACTTGAATTGGTGTATTTAGACTCATACCTTCATCCGCTTTTCTTTTCTCTTTTTGCTTTTTCTCTCTTGGAACAAATGTACCTTCTACTTTTAATATTGCTTCTGATCTTGACTTGGCATATGCTATTCTCTACAAACAAGGAACATTGACAAAATTATTTAACTTTATCACAATGAAAAGTGACAAACAAGATGAGCAATGAAACTTCCATGATTATGACAGGTCTGCGTTAAATATTAGGGAGCAGTTTTGTTTCTTACTTTGTCCATTTGTTATTGAGCACATTTGAACAGATTCAGCCCATTCAAAATTTATTCAGTATTTCATGCATAATTCTCTCTTTCTTGCTATTACATGCATATTGTCTTGTAATTCACTTCCTAAAAACAAGGGTTGAATGGACCAATCATGGACTTGAACTCACTGCTACTTCATGATGATGTGTGTCGCTGGTAATTATGATAATGATTGTGAGGATGAGCATTGTTTATTGATCAAATATTATTGAGTCATAAGATTACTAAGGATGGATGATGTTATTAGTTAATATGATGTTTCAGGCACAGTTTATGAAAAGTACATACCATTGGTTTTTCATAGAATGGAAACCCTTGCATTGATCTTAACGCATTTGTTGCACTTGCAATATCTTTAAAGACAACAAATGCTTGTCCCCTCATCTTCAGTGTTTTGAGGGCCACAATGTCAAGAATGGGCCCAAACTGTGAGAATATTGCATACAGTGATTTCTTCAACTCTAAAACAAAGAAATTATGCTGTTTATATATAACTACCCAAAACAGTTTAAATTCCATCATGAGTTCTAACCAAGTGGTAAAAACTTCCATATGCAAACAACCTAATAAATATATACCAAACAAATTGAGACTTGTGTCTATATTTTCTAAAACCATGATCAAGCTTGACTACCTCTCCTCGCAAGGCCTGTTTATATATATAAATATACATATATATTTAAGTCTATCTTTTGGTTTATAGGGTAAAGATGTTTGTTGACCTCTGGTTATTATAAGGAAACACATTTAAGATTGGGTTTTAAATTTCTCTAAACCAATCAAATCCTAAAAATGCAAGTATAATATAAATCATCTTAATAGTTGAAGCATTAATTGTTTTTTCAAACAGTTCACCCAATAATGGATCATGCTAAACCAGCTGGTCTAGAAATTTTTGTGCATAAGGTTTTGGTTGTGTATCCTTATGTTGGGTGTTTGAGCATGCTGTGTGTGAGGTTGGGGGAGGGGGTTAAAAATACTGACCAACCATTCTTTGCAGTACCATGAATCTCACTCCAGGGGGGGGGGCAATCAATTTGGCTGAAGCTAAACATTAACTGTTGGGAATTTTTGTGGGTGAGCACATGCCAGACTGGAAACATTTTTGCATGCTGGCAATATACTGCCTGCACACACATCGGTAACCTTTTGCGTATTGGCCGTGCAAAATAACTAGATAATAACATTTACCATTATTAACTATAATAATAACTAAGAATTTATGATTTCAGGTGGGCAGTCTCAAATTTTCAAAGTAAACTTGTCTGCTCAATAAACAAAGTTTTCAGTCTGGAGCACATGTGATGGTCTGTGGATAAGGGATCCTTTTCAGACAAGGCGCAAGAAATCCAGCATAGCTCCAGTGTTGAGTCCATTTAGCTTATGCCCGAGATACCTGGTGTAGACTAATGGATTTCCATTGTATTTCTATTGTTTATTGGCGTATACGGCATGAGATTGACATGGATTCCACCCTGGGCATAGGGGTGAAGACTTGCAAGTTTCTCGGCCAGCCAGTCTGCAGAGTATGGCATGTGCACACCGGAGATATTTTTGTGCAAAACCTGTTGCACACCCGTATTTTTGGGTGTGGCAACTAAGATGGGTGTGGCTTGGTGTGGTCCCATAGAAAATGTCAGCTGATAGAAACAAGCACAGTTGTGTATGAACAATTTGAGATATCATGAATCTTACTTGACAAATATACAAATAAAAACTTGCGCTATCTTCAACAGTATACTTCACATGCATTTTTACAGTGAAATGCAAATTCACGAATTTCAACCACAACAGGGGAAAATAGTCGGTGCACACCGTCACACCAGGCTTTTTTCTTGTGCACACCGGAGATCTCGTCGAAAAGTGCCATACTCTGCAGACTGGTCGGCCAGGGTAAATTGAGGGAGCACGGGAAGAAACACTTTGAGCTTTGTTGACCACATTTTTGCCAGCTGCCCAAGAAATCAAGTCTCTTCTTGTCCCAAACACTTCATCCACCCGTGCCCAAAAAGACTGTTTGACTGGCACCTTGTGCATAATTTTGCTGCCTTTGAAAATAAATAGGCCTGGACGTAATTGTCACATTACAATTGTGTTAACAATGACACTCACCAAATAAGGAGAACAGTATTGAAACAAAATAGATCGATAGTGAACATAATAAACCAACCTTCTTTTTTCACCTTTTCATTCAAGTTGTTTATGTAGATAGTTTCCTTAGGTGTAACGTCCATTTTGTGTACTTCCGATACGAAAATTTATTGTTCACAGCCACATGAAACTCCAAAAAATATTTCTCGTTACCTAGCTTTCATGTACAATTTGCTACTCTCTGCGATTCCACCGATAATTAGTGATTGAAATTGTGAACGATTTGCATTATTTCCCCGCCATTATAGTCTTAGAAAAAAGGCCTAAATGCGCCAATACGAGGCATATTACCTCGCATTACCTCATCCCGCCATTTAGAGTTCAAGGCATTCCGCCCACTGATCTCGCCCGAATCCCGAATTCTTATGACAAAGTCACGCCCATTCCATGATCACATCCCAACTTACTGCTGACAATTGCACCCCAAAAAATAAAAAATATTAAAAAATCACTTCATGCAGCTTCAACTTGTTTGTGAATTGTTTTTTATGTACTTACAAAAGCTTTGTCAATCTTTAATTCTTGTTCGGGATAGCAATCTCGGAGACAAACTTCATCGAAAATATTGTTGGACCTTTCTCAGAGTTTATGGACCAATGAAATGTTACGGACCAATCGACTTTTTTTTTTATTTGCAATAATTCCTGTAAATGCTATTGGATATCGATAACAATATCTCCATTTATTTTTACTTCTCCTTATTCGTTTCGCTCCGTTTTCGTTGATAAAAATGCTGTCCGTTCACACTTGTCCGTTATCAAATGAATACGATTTTAATACGGCAAGTGCTCATACTGCTCCAACAAAAACGCTGTTTGTAGCCCAGGGGGGGGGGGTACTCATATATATTTAGGATAGGGGTGCTCGGGTTACTTTTTTGGGTCTAAAATTTGAACGAAGGTTATTTTTTGGGTCAGCCAATTATCCAACTGCTTTTTTGGGTTCATGAAATGCCGAATTATTTTTTTGGGTCATGAATGTGAGAAAAATTTTAAAAATAGAGAAAGATATGGTTTACACACTAAACATGATTTATTTTTCATTAATTGCAGATGAAAATCATAAGAGTATTCAGAATGATATAAGGAACTCCCAAAAACTTACAACTGGCTGAATCAAAAAAGAGTTCCGTGTGTTTGATTTCTATGTGTCCATATTTGTAGCTGAAGGAATACTCTGAAAATTCGAACCCTTTTCAAGTTATTTGCTCAATTCTTTTAATTGGCAGTGAAACTAAACCAACCAGAAAAATGGAATGTATATTCGACAAATTCTTCTTTTAGCTACATGTAAAACTTTCAAGACGTGATCGAATCATGGCGATACATATAAAACTTCCAATAAACGTGATCGAATCACATGGTTTTGATTCCATACTGATAGAACACAGGGAACCTTTCTTGACTCATCCATTATTATAGTTATATCAGTCTCATAAAACGTTGGAATGCTATTAAAACTTTTCTACCCTGGGTACCAAACTCTGGTTCCCGGGGTAAAATTTCAATGCACAAGGAAAATATGTAATCAACTGGTTCTTTTTCGAGGCTTCTTCTGTGGACAATAGTGAACAATTTCAAGCTTTAGAGCAGCATACACAAACAAAGAATCAATACATCATTATCTTTTCCTTCCTTGAGCATTCCCATTTTTATCACAGTGCCAAGGATGCTAAAAATAGGACAAACGGGAGGGAGCTTAGTCACAAGGTAAGGTCACATCTGCACAGCTGGTATAGTTAAATACTCCAAAATTCTTCGTCCAAAGTATTCTTGGAAATGCTGTAGGTTTTGCCCTAAGTTGTTTTGCCATTGATAATCCTTCTCTCATTCATTTCATATTGCATAGGTGTTCTTAGTGAGATCTCGTCTGAAGGATAATGGAAAGGTGAAATTCGAAAGTATCCGTCTTCATTTGCGTTTTCAAACGACTCCGTTTTCATAGCAGAGTAGTGTGAACGCAAGGCAAAAACGGATTAGTTTGACTCCACTTTCATTTAAAAAAGGAGTAGTGTGAATGGGCCGTAATGATGAGGGATGAGGGGGTCCGTGGGCCAGTGTGAATAACGAGCCTCCTTCCTTGTTTGGTACCCTATTTTTGATAAAGAGGCAAGTTCCTTCGGAGAAGTAATAAAGTGGTAAAGTTGTTGTTTGCATAATTATACTGGTTTGTTTGTTATTTTCATGCTTTCTCGCTTTTAAGTGTAAACGCCTCTGTGAAAGCCGATCCAGATCATGCATAGCCTGAATGGTATGTCATGTGCCACTTTATATTGTTGTAGAATTAGTGTTTCATTTGTGGGGACTTGAATGAGGTTTCGCCCGCCTTCTATCTCGAGTCTTTTCGCTAATTCTTCTGACCACGTCCTAAAATTCACCTGCCGTACCAACAAGATTTTCCAGCCGCATTTCACACCTGGCATTTCAAGTTTGCAGTTTTGTATTAGTATACTGTATTCTCCATTTAAATTTTATTTTCAACTAACGTCTTTAATTTCTAAAATGAATATAAGTTTCGCGTCCTTCACGCCGCCGCGGAGGAAAGGAAGGTGACAAAACATACAAGTTAAGAAGCTATACACAGGCACCACGCAGCCATTGGGCTAGCAGGGGCTATAGCCCACCCACTTTTTTGCAATAAAAGGCTAGAAAATTTTTTTGAAGGTTTACTCTAAGGCAACTTTGGATAGTTTACTCCTATGTAGTAGCAGTTCTCATTGACTGGAAACCATTTTTGTTCTTTTTCTAGGTTTTTCATCTTGTTTAATGATATGATCTATTTTCTAAGATAATTCTATCTATTTTTATAGTTATTGATATCCTCTCTGAACCAGACTTTTAGTAAAAATTCAATAGAAATAAGCAAGTATTTTCTAAAAGGGGCGTTTTCCTGCGTTCAAGAAGGCGTGGCCTCAAAAAATGTTTTGTCACATCCATTCCAGCCCCTCCACTTTTAGAGTGGTGCGTGGTCCCTGGCTTTACATTGTATTGATCATCTTAGGACTTACTTAGGAAACCTTATATCTCTGTAGAAATAATTACGAGTATCAAGACCTCTCTTATCACAGTAATTTTTTGTGTTATATTTAGGAATTGGGCTATTTGAATCAAATTTCGACGGATACAATGTTTGATGTTTCCTGAAAAGAGTGGTAAGATCAAAAGTGTGGGGAGAAATGGATAAAATGCCAGAAGATCAAAAGGTGATGAACAATTCTGATGAACAAAGGAAAAATCAGTCTTCCCCTAACAGAGAACAACCAATTCCTCACCTTTTATCAAAGTTGCCATCGGATGGAAGTGGCAGGGTTCTTAGGTTCAAATCAGGAACCTCTTCAAAATTACAACCAATAAAAAGGACAGAAACTCCCTCTCCATCAGACGAGTCTGAGGCTGTTTTGTCAAATAATGGGAGCAGAAGAGAAGAATTCATGCCAGTTAATGAAAGAAGTATTTCGACTAGTTTTCAAAGAGAAGATACTGCGGCAGTAATAGAATCAGAAGACCAAGAACAGCCAAGCTCTGAAGATACCTTGATGGGGCATCTAACAGTTGACAATCAATTGACTGTTGGTCCAGGTACCCATCATTATGCTGTATTTGTAGTTGGAGATTCATCTGATGACAGTGCTTCAGCTTCAAACAGATCTTCAGATTACAGTGATTCTAGAGCAACAAATTCAGCTGCCAACATTCCGCCTCCACCATCATATGATTCAGCTTGTAGAAAGATGACTACTCATTTAGAGAGAAATCCTTCCTCCTTAAGTGTAGTGAGCATTCAACCACCTTCTTACAGAGATGCAGTTGGTGCAAGAAGATTTCTAGAAGGTTAGATTTACTTCATAATTATCTTTTTTTATAATTTCAGCTAATTTCGTGTTTTAAATTTGTCCAGCTGGCTTAAGGTGCCTTTATAGTCAACTCAGCAACAAGTATCACCAAATGTTGTACACTTTTAAGGAATAAAATTATAATACACTAGTATTGTCTGTTGCTGTCCTTTAATACACCAAATTTGTATTTGTATTTGTATTTGTTGCTACCTAGCATCCAAAGGTAGTTTTTAGGACACTGAGAAGCTATGCTTATGGAGCAGTGTCCCTGGTCCTTCCTCTCGATGTGACCACACCTCGTGATACCAAATGATGTATATACTTTTAAGTTATAAAATTATTATTCACTAGTATTGTCTGATGCTATCCTTCAATAGCTTTTCTTAGCTGTACAGTTAAACTCATATAAGTTGAGTTTCACTTGTCAGAATATGGTATAATTGTAAATTTTATCAGTCCACTATTAAAGGGCATATGTGGCATTAGCAGTTGGCTAATAAGACAAAAGCGTTTGGAGTGGAATTCCATTGTTTCGTGACGTTTCATTTCTTCTCAATTAATATTTACTGCCGTAAAAATTCACCCTCGATTTCATGCTTTCTACTAAACAAAAAGATAATTGTATTGCATTAGCCAATCATGTTCACGACTCATGCCCTTTAACACCTGCATACATTCAGTCAATGCTAAACGTTACAATAATCACATATTGTCAAGCATTCATCATCATATTACATCTCAAAAGATAGCCTTTTTATAAAATTTTGTCAACAATTCATTACAACATTTCCAAAACAGTGTCAGCAAATGCCTCTTGAAATAATCCTTAGACATTTTGTGCATTACATAAAAGTATCTATCCCTTGCAGGAAATTGATTGTTTGAATTTATATAGAAATTTATTCCTAGATGCACCACCAACCTACCATGCCTTGTTTTCCAATTCTGTATTCAGAATGATTGATTTAAATGGAGATCATAATGGCATTGGAGATGATCTGCCAATGAGTTTTACTGCTTGCATCATTACCTATTGCATTATCTCAGGTAACTAAGAATTTTTTTTAAACCATAGGTGCTTGCTGCCTGTAGACGTCTAAGCTTGTCCCCATACAAATTTTCAAAAGGGGTTCCAGTTACCCCTGGCTGCTTTTTAATGTAGCAAAATATAGTATAATTATTTTTTCCATTTATGCAGCTACAACCCAAAGAGATTGCTTCCAGTTGTTAAGATTCTTGATCAAAAGAAACCTACTTTTCAATTGTTAAATCATTGTTTAATAAAATTAGCATTTCTCTGACAACCTTAAGCCACTCCTTCCTGGAAAAATCAAATATCAACACCTATGCTTTTAAATCTGTAAAACTGAGCAGAGAGTTATCCTATGAAAATATTTAGATACATTTGTAGGAAAAGTTGGCTTTTTAGTTTGCTGGTTGCTGAAAGTTGCAAAATTGTGTTTGTAAAAGATGGCTTCTTAGGGAATTATCTGTTTTACACTTTAGAGGCAGTTTAACTGCTTTGAAACCCCCACCCAACATCAAATTTGAAAGCCTTAACTGAGATAAAAAATCTACTTTAACAACAACAAAGAGTTGACTGTGATGCAAACTAGTAAGATGAGAAATTGATGATTAAAAATAAACTGTTTCCATTGACAAAAACGTGCCACCAATTTCTACAGTAAATAGGGGTATCAGTTTGTGAATCTTCCCTAAGGATGATGGGCAAATGTTATGCCACTGTTCGATCATTTTCACTGACTAGGTTGATCCATATTCACATTTCCTGATAAAGCTTTGTATATATAATATTTCTTAAAAAAAGCACAGATGTAACAAGATTGTTTTCTTTTTATTCACAGCAGTGATAATATTTGGGGCTTGCATGGCACTTTTCCTTCCCTTGGCTATGATAATCATTGGTATGTATGGTCATCATTAACTTTTATCATGTTGTGTTTACTGTTTTTTAGGAGTGCAGCAACAGGCCAGGAAACCTGGCAAATCCTAGGGCTCTTAGCATATTTTAGAAATGAGAGCCCCAATAGCTTCGAAAGTAAAGGGTGTCCCATCCTTGTCTTCCCAAGGAGCCCCAGTGTGCTTATTTCATCATCATCTATTTGCATCAACTAGGAATGATCAAAGTTAAATTGCTTTTAAATTGGCATCTGTTTTATTTTCAATCATTCAAAGCACAACAATTATTTTTATGATGCTGTCCATTTCAGCTACTCTTTGTGATATTATGCAAACACAACACCCCATGAGGCAAAACTCAAATATTTATAAGGTGTTGTTTCACTGCACATGTCTTCCAAAAAACTTGGCACCTATGCATAACATTAACATTAAATTTTAGCTGAGTTAAATTACCACAGCATAGCTCTCACATTCCTTTTTGCTGTATGTGAATGTATTGTATATCTAAATATTGCACAAAACAGTTGTTGACATATTGTTATAACAATCTTCCTGTGCTTTATTCATAAATTTATCTCTATTGACTGTTTATTTTATTTTTATCAAAAACCTTTTTCTTGCAAAGCTTAATGAGTTTCAATTGCAGGTGTTTCTATAGTTTTTAAATTAATATAACTCTCTTTGAAACTTTGATAGCAGTGTTAATCTTTTGAACATCAGTAAATTCCCTTGCAGGTGTTGCCCATCTTCATAGCTGCCCAGCTCAGCCTCGCATCCCAGTCTTCCTAACATCAATGGGTGTTTTCCAACTGCTTGAATGTTGTGGTAGATGCTCCATGTATATATACACAAAGCTAAAAACTCAAAACCAGCGAGAAGAAGTAAGGTACAAATCAAAAGATCCATTTGTTTACTTCATTGTTGTATGGTTTGTTGTTGGAAGCATGTGGGTGTATCAGAATTATCCCACCTGTCATGATTTCATTCAGAATCCTAGTCTACAGAGAGACATTATAAAAGATCCAAAATTTGCCAAGCCAAGCAGGAATTTGACTATTTCCAATACACGAGATACTTTGGGAAAGTACCCACACATTTTCAACACAAAGCCTCCTTCTACAAAAGACTCATCAAAAAGTATAAATTCAGATTCATCAGCTGGTGACGGAACTCTGGCAACAAACAGACAAACAACAGAAGGAACAACATTAAGTTTCTCCAAAATGTTGCCGACAAGACAATCAGCATCTACATTGATGAAACCAAAATCAAAGCCAAAAGCTGCATGCTGTGGCAAAGTAGTGTACTTTTTCACATTTGGAGTGGTTACATTGTATTACTCAATGATTGGCTTATGGTTCATGCTTAATCTCTGTTGTACCTTTTTCAAGATGTTTCACAGGTGTAGGGATGATCAGCACTGTCAATAACCAAAGCTACTTATGAAAACCACTCCTTGGCCAATATTCTCCGCTAAGGGTCAAAGTTTGCTGTGAATTTGTAAGAGTTACTTATGGTGATCATCTTTGGATACATAAAGAATTCTATCGCTGTTTTGAAGTTTTGAAATGATACAGCTCAAATTAAATCCTATTTTGGACAGTGATAAGTTACTTCATTTTCATGGTCTTCAGGGTCTGTCTCTTCAGGAAATACTTGCGTGTGAATATTTGAAAGAACCCTTATATTGTTTAAGAAGCAAACTCCATTCTTGCCAAGTTGTCATCCAAAATTGTTTGCCATTTGAAAGTTCCATCTATATCCATAGTTTTTGCAGAGCTACATTTCAATATTCATACAAAGCAGGTCATTTTTATACTAAAGAATCTCTGGACCTTCAAAAGGCAGAACTTTGTCTTTTGTAGACTTGCTCCATACCCCCTCTCTAATCTCTCCGTTTGTACCTTACCCATGGAGGTAGTTAAAGGGGAAAGAAAGAAAATAAGATAGGGAGATAGAGGGAGGGTGCAAGACTCAAAGGAGACATGGAGATTCTTTTAGCAAGTCCAATCCTTTGTTGTACCTAGCATTGTCACCAGTTACCATTTAAATCCATTTCCCTTTTAAACTCCCTTTATACTCCCTTTTAAATCCATGAAATACATCTTTCCTAAATTGCTATAATTGTGTCAAATATAGAAGCACTTGTGACTCATGCCCTACTTTCAGAATAAAGGAACATTCAAACCTTTTTTCCAGAGATATGCACAAGTCTCATCCAGGTGTCTTTACATAAAATGTTGGTATTAAAAATGCTATTTATATCACTTGTAAATCATTCACTTGCAGTGTTTTAACAGTGCTTGAATCTCAAAACTTCAGGGGGTATTTATTTTTACCCATTTTATCTTATCTTATTATGAAAAAAGAACAAACCATTCATATTTGTATTACACATGCATTTCACAAAGTCTATTTCATTATATCATTCATCATAATCATTAACCTTTCTACATTTACAAGGCAAACCAGCAGTGGCATAAGATGGGGGTCAGAGGGTGTAAGAAAACCCCCCTGTGAAATTTTTATCCAAGTATTACATTTGAGAAGAAAGATTTTAAAGCTGAATATAGTGACTTCTTTCCTGTTTCCGAATCAGATTGGCAATCTCTTTCAATGAGGTATGTTACTTAAAAATGCCTATTTTGAGGGGAAGAACAGAAAAATGTTCAATTCGTATAATTTATGACACTTAAATTCGAATAATGATAAGACTTTATCTCTTGTTTTATTTCAGTTCTGATGTCATTATGTTTCGTTCAAATATAGGGAAAAATTAACATGCTTATTAGATTTTTGTCAGAAAATCTAAATTTCTCGCCCCTTCAGTGAGTTTTTCTATCTATGCCACTGCACACAAGACTAAGAAAGCGTTTGCAAGCGTGAGCAAATTATTTGAGAGGTGCAATTATAACTGGAGTTTTTAGGTGAAATTTATCTGGATTTCCTAACGATAATTGTTGTGAGCAATGAAACAGGATTTCTCTTTAAGAGGTTTCAGTCTACAACTGGTCACTTTGTTGCCACATTGTGTCAGATTGCCAGTGCCTGGGAAAACTGTTTTTGAAGCTAAGAATCTTAGATGTGATTCAAATATACATTTCGTTTGTATTGTAATTTACCTGTTTTCCCAAGGCTTCAGAATAATGTTCGCTTCTCTCTGTTCGTAGCCCTTTCCCCTTCAGCCTGAAGCCCTGAAAAGCTCCTCATGCCAACGAACCTAATTGTTAAGCTCAACAATATTGGGACCTCAAGATCCTAAAATCCTCTAAAAAACCACTATTACTATACTGTTCAAATTTCACCATCAACCAGTCATTGGCTAATTTGTATCATGTCATTTGATAGTCATTTGATCTTTAGGTATGTAATGTAATTTATTTGTAGAATTGGTAGAATTGTCGCTGGAGCTGTTAGAGTTACGCACGTGCTGACATTGTTTATGAATATATAGATTCATATACATTTGTATTTAAAACTTAATAAGCATTATTGTATTTATGGCTGTTAATAAAACTCTTTTACGCTAATTCAGGTGAAAAATAATGAGATAAAATTATTATTACTTCTTAGAGTAAAGCCAGATTGGAATGTTTGTTATGTGCTCAAAGTGAAAAGTTAAAGATTTAAGATACGCACTTAAAAAGCGATTTTTGATGCACATCAAATTTGTTTACAAGAGCTGTCACCCCGGCAACGCTTGTAAAGTATCTGTAAAGGCACTTTGCGAGCCTCCAAATCTGGTGTTTACTTTTGATGTTTACTTTATAATTAACTGATGTAAAGTCCTTTAAGTTAAATCCATCTGTGGTGATCATTTGTAAGGCTAAAGTTAGTCTTGCAGTTGCAGTTAAAATACCTTTTCATCCCCGATTAATGATTTGCAACAACATGTCTTGGATACTCGACTCGATTCTCTTCTTTCGTATTTGACCCCATTTTAACATGAACCTGCCTAAGCGGCTAGATGTGACGATGATGAATTTTTAAGTAATGAATCGTTGAAAACTTCACCATATATGTATAATTCCCTTTAAGTTTCATTTTCCATTTTATACATAACTCACTTTGATCAGGTGTTCGCATAAGCAATTCTTACAGCTAAAAGTCATTTTCCAATCTCTGAAAAAGATTCCATCTCCTACTTGGCAGATGTATCTCCTTTAATTAAACTTTAAATTAAACAAATTTCTATTCTGGCATATTTGTTAGAAGATAATATGTGCTTCGTCAAAACCATTCGTCGAAAATGCCATTTTTTACTATAATATACAACGTCTACTGACTCTAATGTAAATTCAAGACAAACATATCTTCTGTTCAAACTATAAATGTTAATTTCGTAATATGGTAAGAATCGCGTTGTTGATTAATGTATGATAGCATTGTTATTTAATTATGTTTAAAGTCATTGCAAAGTTTATTAATTTAAAGTATTAAGGTTAAAGTAAACATTGTTTTATATTAACGGTATTTCAACGCAGATATGGAAAAAGAATCATTTTTGAAAAGTACTTGTATTTGGGTTATGCCCTTCTGAATTAATTCTCTCAATCTCTCAGAGATCTCGAGAGCTCTCAATACTCCATGCCAGTTCTAGTTAATGTAGCCTGTGCTCCAGACCCTTAACCTGAAGGAAGAGGTCCAGACCTCTTCCTTCAAGTTAAGGGTCTGGAGCACAGGCTATAGTTAATGCTATTCATGCAGAAACATAGAAGAAAGGTGGCAGCAATTGTAAAACCATACTCATTAATGGTGGCTTATCATCATGATTAATTTCCTTTTGCCAATAGGTACCCCCCCCCCTCCTTATTGATTAGTGCAGATTAATTAAAAACTAGTTGGTTATCTATCATGGAAAGCAACAATAATTACTAATCAACTTTTTTAGATCCAATCAAAGAAAAATAAAAGCTTTTTTATCGAATAGAGCCTAATATCTATTATCTTGAACGGAAAATTTGGCCAGTTGAATTACAGCCGCTACCCTGAGGACAGACAGAGCCAAAATATCTCTTCAAAAAGTGAGGGGTTCTTCCGGAAGCCTTACATACAGATTTGGGTGTGGCTGAGTTTAAAAGCATGTCAAAAGACCAAGATTAAAAGCTTTGACATTATTTGTGTCTGCTGCATTGCCCAGAATTTCTAGGCGTTTTCCATTTCCCTAAAGAGCTTTCGAGGTCTAATCTTTGTAAATGTTCAAATAATGGCAATTGTTTCCAGATATCATCGATCAACTAGCAACTGCCATTCTATTTTTTAATACCCAATTCATCACTGGGTTTGGTTTTAGATCTCCGATTCATAGCAGATACACAATGATCTTTAAGGTTATGTGGCCAATAGCTCAACGTTATGAAAAGATTTTCTCTTATGACATCACACTTTAGGAAGTCAATTTGTTGCATCTAAAATCAACATGTGACCAAAAAGTGAAAAGAAAGGAGCGTCCGGGTTTACCGCATAACCTTGAAGAGTAAAATTAGTTATATCTGTTGCAAACTGACTGAGATAAAGCAAGTGAAAGAATTGGGTTTGGCTAACGAATTCCTGTTGTTTTGGCCTGGTTCAAATGTTTTAGAGCAAAGACCAAATAACAGTGCTTCGATGGGACAGGAGCCTGTGCACAAGTGGCCACATCGTAGCCTATATTAGAACCTTTAACTGATTTTGCATGTTGAAAGGTAGTTCGTTATGCTCTTTCAAGCTGTGTTGTCCAAAACTGCATTCTGGCGAAATGATGCTTTTCATTAATAGTGTATCTTGATGATACTTTTATCAAAACTGTTTTCTGACCACTGCCCAGATCACCACTATTCTAAAATACAGTAAATCTTATTGTACAATACATTACATTAGATTACATTACATTACATTACAATACAATATATTACATTACATTACATCTCAAATGAAATTTGAAACAGAAATTCGATGTTTTACCCTTCATAATAACTTTGGAAACAAAGTCTAGCTTGATTAATGCTAGCTAACAGGTCCCCTTATTTTGAAAACCTATATTACGAAAACATCGCGGTGAGTTCCTGGAACGCCGGACGCAGGCAGACAACCGCCCCTCTTGTTTGTTCCTTGATAGGAGAGGCAGTGGCGGATTCAAGGGGGGCAACTAGGAGCAACTAGGGGCTTTGGAAATTGTGCGCACCTTTTGAAGAATGAGAATGAGATGAAAAAGGTTCTTGGACCGATAGGTTAATTTGCTTCAAGGTTTGCCTCAAAGTTTTGTTGTTTATTCTGAAAAGGTATCTGAAATTTTTGTATACAGCGTACTCTCGTAACCAATTTTTAAAAAATTTTCAGCGCCCCCACTACCAACTGCCCCTCCTTCAAGTTTGCTCTGGATCCTCCCCTGAGGAGAGGCAAGGGGGCCCAAGGGACCTTTTCATAAAAATGCCCTTGTTCTCAGCCTTTTGCAACTATTAAAAAGATGCAAATGAAATTCTGACTACAGTGCCTTTTTCATGGCAAAAATTCCTCCAAACTTGCACAAAAATTTCTTATGACTGCAGTTAGCCCACTTTCAAGATGAGAATCTATGTAAAATGACAGTTACAAGAGAAATAAGTTGAAACTAGAAATTATATCACAAATGCCCTTTTACTTATGCCGGTCTCCTTTGCCCTTTTGTCGTTCCGGCGTCCATGGAGAGTTCCCTATTGTGTGGAGTCAATTCTCAAGTGTTAAAACGTGTAGCCCAGAAAAAGTTTATTGATCGAACACGATTTATTGATACCATAAGGATTACATTTCACAACAATAATAACATAAGTCAAATAGATAATATTTTATTAACCAAATCTCGAAGATGAATGAGCCTCTCAAATTTATAAGATGCATTTGAAAAGTTCTTTTTTCTCTTTGATTTCTAAGTCTGATAAACAGAACGAAATTTTAGCTTTTTTCGTTAGTTTTATGTATAGGTTCGCAACATTGGTATCGGGGGTTCGCAACGGAAACTCCATCCACAGCATGTCAGCCATACTTGTCACGTGATATGGTTGTCTGAATTAGACTTGGTGTTGCAGAGGCTCGAGGGTCAAGATGGTGGACAAACTGGGTGAGTCAAAGCAATACTTGTGATCATTTTCAAGCTTCGCAGCGTGTACATCTTCTAGATCATGGGTTGCTGTAAGCATAATGTAATACAAAGAAATGAAATCGTTTCACGATTTACCTCAATGGATCTATAAGCCCCTGGGTCTTGGTGCCTTCAATAGACTATGGAACAAGGAAGAAAACCTTTGTTCCTTGGTCGATAAAGATCTATCTCTTGCCATCTTTTGTGGACATTATACATTGGGTGGTAAATCTGTGATTAAAAATTTACCTTGCACAGAAATTTTCAAAATAATACAGTATCTGAATAAAGCATAAATCCAAGAAATTTTCAATTTCAAAACTTCAACTGGAAGTATAAGATGTATGGCATGATCTATCTAGTCAGTTAGATTAAACAGCATTAGGTCCAAGGTCTCAGTAACAGCGTTAGGCCCAAGGCCTATAGTAGTTTGCCTTTACTTTTTTAATGGGAGGAAAACTTTGAAGATTTTACAAAGAAAGATGAAATTGTGAAAGGGTAATCTGCAAACGATGATCTTGTTATTTCTGAGAATCTTTTACTAATTACTAATATCAGTCGATCTAGATTTGTTTACATTTTGTAAGGTTAAAATGAAATGCTTTTTGTATAGTTTAAACTTTAAATAAATGTACACCCTTACACAATACTGCCTGACGTGTGTTAGTTAAATCACAGTCAACTATTGTTGCAAGGCAAGTGATCCATAAACAACATGATAATTGTTCAAGTTTAGTAATAATTCTTTCAAGCATCTATTATTTGAAGCAAATACTTGACTGCCGGCTTTTTTCAAGAATTATGCTATAGTCTATAGATATCACAAGAACCATAAGAAATATTTTGCCTGATATACTAATGTACATAATGAACTGAACTGAGCAAATTGAAATCCTAAATGCAATTAATCTAAATAGCAATGTATTGAAAATGTTGTATATGTATGTCATCTTATTTTTTCAAAGTAAACAGCAAAGCAAATGTCAGAAGGATAAAAAATGTTGAAGACTGTTTTGGCAGCTCAGGGGTGGTATGTTTTGCTGATTTTCCTGTATCGTTTGTAGTGACTTCTATCTTTAAAACCATACTCACCTTTTCAAGCCTATTTCAAAGAGTCTCTTTTTATGCTCACTTCAAAAATTCAAGTTGTTAATACGGTTCATCTAATAGTTTGCTTATCTCAGGTTATTGTGTGACATATGCTAATGAAGCACAAATAGTTTTCATATTTCACATTTCTTCAGTTGAGATTTGATTGCGGTAAAGAACATCCTTTCAAAAGCCCAAATTCATAGCCAGTCCTGGTAATATGAAATTTTATTAACAGAGATGCAATGATATGGGATGATTGACTGTAGACCTTACAATTAGCCTTTAAAGGTGATTTACTTAGATTGAAAAAGGCTTGAGGGGTGTATCACAGTTTGCAAATTGTTTGAAGTTTCCCTAATATTACCAGGACTGCATAGGCCAACAGGCCTCTGAGTATATCATATTAATGTCTATCGCTTGTCATATTTTGTTTTTAAGACTCTTTTTTTCTTTATAAAACCTTCTTCAGCAACTTTCAACAATGTGGCTCTCTTAAGGCCCATTTCCACTTCAATCACAATTGCAAATAGATGTGAATTCCATAGACATTTCTTTTGATCAATTGCAATGCAAACCTGGTTTGAGAACAGTGATTTGGCTAATTTAACCAATGAGATCACATGCTTCAAATTTGCATATGGCCTCCTTTCTTGTCAATTGTTGTAAAAATTGAAGGGGTTGGTGTTAACATTCCATGGTGATAAATTTTTCTATAGTAGCTCATTTGCTTTGCTAGATGCGATTTGCGAACGTTCACATGCAAATTTCAAACAAAAGATCTCATGTGAATTGCAAATGAAGTGAAAATGGGCCTTAAGTATCAGTTGCCCCCTCATATTGTTCATTTTTTACAAAATCAGGTAGATGCTGGTTTTTCAAGAACTTCTAAAAATTTATCAAATTTGCATGCTGGTATTTCTAACCATGCTTTTTGGAAATTAGGCATAGAAGTTTTTTAAAGGCCTTGCCCAGGACCCATTATCTCTTTACCCTCCCCAACTCAAGCCAAGCAGAAAGCCACTTTTCAATTTGTCTTTAAATTTGAATGGTTTAGCAAAGTTTAATGTTATGTTACACTCAAAATTATATTGTATCTTGTGGCCCTACCAACCACTTTGTATTCAAAGGATGAAAGTCAATATTGGATGAATTGTTTTAATTATTTTTTTTAAAATTGTTCATTTGTTATTTGTTAGTCTTTAAAACATATGCATGAAGTCACATGTTGAGTAATTCAGCCTATAGAAATGATATTTTTAATTATTATTTTTATTTTAGCAACTTTCCAAACCTGGTAGAGTTTTGGTAGGAGAAGGTGTTCTAACAAAAATTTGTAGAAAGAAGCCAAAACCCAGAAAGGTTAGAAATGCCTAAGTTTTCAAATATCTAGCTGTTAGGGAGAGATAAGCAATATCCTATCTTCCAGTGACTAAATAAAGTCACTCCCTAAACACCTGGCTTTTAGGGCATTGGTTTAAATTATTTTAGGTCATTGTGCTCTTTGATTGGTTTAACTTTGATTGGTTGTGCTCTTTGAATCTGTTTATTTATAATGGTCAAATTTCAAGATTCTACCAGTTTTTAATAAGGTGTTCTTATACCTGGCTAGCAGTGAATGCTTACTTTTCTGTGACAACTTTTACTTAGAAACTTTAAATCAACTTAACTGGATAAAAATTCCTAAAAACTCTTTCTTCTTCTGCAGTAGTTTTCTTGTTTGCTACAAAGTTTATTCTTGAAAGAATACTCCATTTAAGATCTGGTTACTTAGAACAGCCAAATTTTTTAAACATTATTGTGGGAGTTGATGAAACTTTGGGAGTGACAAAATAAATACCAGGTATGAAAGGAAGTAGAAGTAATATAAAAGAAAATTTGCTAACAGTTATGTCTGTTTTAGTTTTTCCTTTTCAATGATGCGTTGGTTTATGGGAATATTATCATAAATGAAAAGAAAGTGAGTTACATTTTCCATTATTCAAGATAATAAATCATAATTTATCCTTCTATGTTTGGTTTATTCATTTTATATTAGTGCTTCCCATAAGTGTATATCAAATATTCCATATCAATTAATTTACTGCTACCTGGTGTTGACTATTGTTAATTGTAAGCAATATTTTTAAAAACGATGAGGATTTGAAATCCAGTTATCTTATGAAAATGACAAGGATGATCTATAAAGCGAATAGAAACATTTCTAACGTTTTATATCTTCGTTCACTGTACCGCATCTTGTTTCTCCTTGTTTATTTAATAGCAACTGCCATTTCACAATACAGTAACAAAATGCATTAAAACTTCAAATTCTTCTTGTAGTACAACAAACAGCATATCTTACCATTAGAAGAACTGAAGATTCTTGGCCTAGAGGACGAAGATGGCACGTGATTTTTTACCTTATTTTGCACATAGTGATAGCCAAACTGCCAGTTGAAAGAGGGTGGTGGTGCAGCTAAGAAATGTTTTCAGAAAAATTCTGATTGGTTTTCCAATATTTTAATCATAAAGCCATTACTTGGAGCGGTTGGTTGCCTTTTCTATCTGGGAATATGCGTGATTATTTCAAGTGTATTTATAATTCAATAATTTTAAAGAGGGAATTGGCATTACGTGGCCGTTTGAAGTCACCTAAACCTCTTCCCAGAACGTGATTCGTGTCCCCGAAACCTCATCTCGCGATCGATGCCTCTGCACCCCCTCCTGTTTTCATTCAGAATTACAGATGCTTAGCTTTTGTAGGATTCTTATTTCGAACATAACGTCAATTATCCCTTTTTTCTTTCTATTTCAATTGAATTTGCACAATTGTTAATAGCTGTTTTTTTACTCTAGCATTACGCAATGGCTGGCAAATTATTAGCCCTTGTAAATCGTTCGCTGTTTACGCTGCAACGGGCACTGAGAAGGCTGAATGGATGGCCCACATCAATAAATGTATAGACGATCTGGTGGCCAAAAGTAAGTATTATGATTTGCTTCTCTCGCCATATTTCAGAGGGAGCTGTTTCCCTTATCCGTTTTTCAACAAAGACGAATGGAAATTTATCCATTTTTGAATATATTTATCTAGACTAGATAATGTGCTAAGTGGAACAGGTAGTCCCGATGAGTCCCGAAGGTCCGGTTTTACATATACCTAAAGCCATTGGAGATTGCCAAAGACCAGCGGGAAACCGCATCGACGATAATTGCCGATAATTTACTATTTGTGAAAAAGACAGGCTAAAGCAACACACTGCAAGCATCCTGTTCTACATAAGTTAGGTTTGTTCCGGAGTTCCCCGGCCGGGTCTTTCGTTCTGAGATGGTATATTGATCATTATTTTCATTTTTTTTAGCTGGGAAAAAGTCAACAAAGGAACACGCAGCGGTTTGGGTTCCGGATTCAGATGCAGCTAACTGTATGCACTGCCAAAAGTCGAAGTTTACCGCAATTAATAGAAGGGTGAGGCTCTTTGCATTCTCTTGATTACGTTTAGGGTGAGAATTTCACGTGTTTGAGAGCTAAGGGTGTAAAAGAGAAGGAAGGACAAACGTCATAGTGATTGTTATGTGAATTAACTAGATTTAAAGTCATTTTCTCCCAAATCAATTGGAGAGCGTTCTGGCAACGTTTAGCTTGAGACAACAACAACATACATTTTGATTTTTTGCTAAGAATATTCCATTCAAGATAAAAAATATTCCATTTGAGATAAAAAATATTCCATTTGAGATAAAGGACTCAGCTACCCTTCATTTGCTGCAACTTTTCAGAAATAGCTTTACCGCTGCATAGATTTGAATTGGGTGAGGTTGGGTAAAAGTTTGATTGCTCTTTCTTTGGTTGTAAACAACGGATTTTAAATCATGTTTTTGTGTTAAGCTCTCTTTATTAACTGATAACACGCATTACTCTATTTTCATTTAGCATCACTGTCGTCGTTGTGGATTGGTAGTTTGTGGAAACTGTTCGTCTAGGAAATTTTTGTTGCCTCACATCTCGTCCAAACCAATAAGAGTTTGTGACACTTGCTACGAGAAACTCTCTTCTGGAACCGCGAAGCCTACTGATCAGATAACACCGGAGGAGAAGGCCGCTACTCTAGCCGCGGCGCAGGCCAAATCTGGTATGCTCACGATATGCTTTCTTACTCTCTGTAATGAGTTTTTATTCTAATATTTTTGTTCTGCGCTTATTGACAACCTATCCAGCAAAAAGAGCCTCCCTCAAACCCAATTTAGTCTCCCTTAAACCCAATTTAGTCTCCCTTCGGCTCTAGTAGCGTCCTCATGAAGCAGCCACCTCATTTTTGTTAATCTATTATTAAGTAGATACCAGCGAGGCATTACAGAAAGGGATATCCAATATTTTTCTTAAATCTTTTTGCTGTAAGAATACGGTGAACCCAAAAAATAACCAGTCAGCAAAGAAGAAATCGGCCTTAATTAAATTTGCCAGCTGGTGATGTGTCTTAATCCAATATAAGGCATGGAATGCTTTTTATATTGTGCAAACAGTGTTTCATATATTATCGCGTTTTTCTTTTAGGTAATTTCTCGTCGTTGTCAAGAAAAGAATCAGAATCTCTTGCAGAAAGCGGCTCGTCCGGAGACGAGAGAAGTGATGATGAAGACGGCAGTAGCAGTATTGGAACAGAGGTTAGTTTATGTGTATTTTTATCATAATAACCTCTCATTGGATTTAGACCATCTTGAAGAGAATAGAATAGAAGCCTTTTCGTAATTCATACTTTTCACGTGGAGGGTTTTTGTCACAGTGCCAAGAAAGCATGAGAACGAAAATCTAACAAGTAAAACCTTACGTATTGAAGTTTTTTTGCCTTCTATATTTACATTTTCTATAAACTAGTTTTGAATGAATAACTTCTTTGTGATTTTGGACCTATTTTCTCCTTTCAGATACAATCTTCTGTCTAGATATTTCTGCATAAATTATCCAGTATATGTCTAAGATATTTTATATCAAATGAATATTTATCATATCGCTGTTTTGTTTTTGAATTGCAGATTTGAAAATTTCTTCCTTATTATTATTAGTGTTGCTGTTTCTTTTATGAAAAGTTTCTAAATTTTAAGTAATTGTTCACCATTCTTTAAACAGCCTACTTTCTACGAACAAGTGAAGAGATCCGAAGAGCCAATGGAAGATTGATTAAAATATCAAATTAGTTAGGGGATGGACTTTTAGGTGCTCTGGCTTGATGAAACGATATTTGCAAGCGATTTTTGATAGTGTAAGAAGATTTTTAATTTGCAATAGAGCGCATATTATCACAAATACTATAGAAGTCAAGAACTATAATCTCTCCGACCGCTCTGTTATCACTAACTATTTTTTAACTCGGTTAACAATGTTTTTTTTTGATGGTTTTTTATCTTCTGCAGTTTCATCCCTCCTGCTCCAATTCGTATAAACGTCACCCCAATCAGCATTGTAAGGGCTTAGAAAAATATTACAAATATGTCCTGGCAAAGAGGAGTACAGCGGTCTTCTCAAGACTTTTTAATAGAAAAAATATTTTGTGAGTATTGTTTCTCCCTGCAACACTGAGCCCTTAGGTCAATCGCCCCCTTCTCCATCATTCAGTGTAATTGATCCTGTTAGCAATACATTCTCCTAACAAGCAGTTAAAGACAAAACTTATTGTGGGTATTTATTCAAGGAAGCCAACCTTATTCAAATAAGTATTGAATTTTGTCGAGCAACAAAATTTCCCTTATAGCTTATGCATTTGGTTCAAGGCACTGACATAGAAGGGCCTAGGTTTAACTGTAACGAGATAGTTAAACAGACAAAAGTTTCCACCACAAACTCTTCAAAGACTGATTTCTGCAGTGTGTTAGCACATAGGCAAATATGCAGTTGTTTTGCTCTTTACCCTGTAGTGGTCAACATTCTGCAATTTATTTTGGCGCAAAATATGGAACTAAATCCATACTTGATTTCCGCATTCTCATTTTCCTTCGGCAATCTGTGACTAAGATTTGGCATGAAATAAAATCAAGCAATGTATTTTCAAATATCTGTGATATAATCAGTGCTTCAATTACAGATATCAGAGAAACCAATCCCAAATACGTTTATTTTTCTATTTATTTCAACTTTGTGGATAATCTTTTTGTGTGCGTGTTGCATGATTTTCAAGTATATTTTTTGTATATTGCAATGTTCTTTTCACCTTTGAATTAGATAATCAATTTACTATTTGCTTGATTAAACTTGGTGTCATTTTTTCTCTTTGTCTTATAACTGTTTTAAAAAGTTGTTTTAGCTTAGGAAATATTATTTCAGTTTTTGAAAGTAGCGACTAAGTGACCCTTTAGAAAAGAATTTCCTAGCCTCGTTCTGGGATTGGCGCGTAATTTTTCTATCACGTCAGCAAATTTCACAAGAGCAAAGAATGTTGAAAGACTAGAATGGTTTCTTCGAGCGATTAATATCAACTTTGCTGAAAAAAAATGTCAACCTTCAGTATTTGCAGACGAGTGCAAAGAATTTTCGAAGAAATGTTTATGGAGAATATGATTTCATCAACTCCTGAAAAAGGTAATGTCGTTTGGTTCTATAAAGTCTTGTTTGCATCAAGTAGGTTCTTTAAGAAAGTAGGTCGTGAAATGAAGTAAGTCCTAGAAATTGGGCGTATTCCAATATCATGTGCCTGTCATTTGAAAATATAGGACAAGGATTTTGAGTTATTTCAGCTGTGCTTGCCTAAACTGGCTGCAAATTGTTACTTGTTTCATAGGCCTAGTAGTAAACAAAATTCGTGATTCGTCAAAGTTAGTAGGTATCCTTCACATCTGTTTAAATCCAGGCCACAAAAAAAATAAATAAAGGCCGCTATTCTTCAACATGATAAAGATTTAAATGATTATGTTCTGCAGAAGAATACGTTGCTTATATAACTTTTTATCCTAAATAATATAAGGAAAACCTGGAGACATTATCATTTTCAAATTTCTTAGGATCTTTCTTGAGCTTAACTTTACTTAACTTCTAGAATATATAAGCAAATAATAAAAAATGAATTTAAACAAAACAAATTTGGCCATGACAAAATTTGGGGATAGAAGGAACCTCGGCATAAAAACCAGCAAGAAGAAAACATCGATGCTTAAAAATGTTTGTAACTTTAACCTACTGGGTGTCCACAAGAAAAATAACAGTATGATTTTCAGCTGATGCTGTTCTTTATAATAAGCGAATTTAGAATTCAAATGAATACAATCTAGCATGGTTATAAGGAGACCCACAACTTTACTTTCCATTTAGCGGTGGAAAAATTCCAATGCAAAACACCTGCCAAAAGTCTCTAAAGTACCATGTAGGTATTTATTACTTCCATTAACGTTGTTGCAAATAAATCAATCAGCGCAACCCCCTTCCCCCAACGAAGGATGCTTCAGATGATTCTGTCATATGTTGGGTATCAAAAGGCATCATTGAACTGAATTCAATTATGAAGTTGATTAAATGCCCAGAAACTATTTCCCAATTTCACTAGTCATTTTTAAATAGGGGGTGCTCTCTCCTCGATTAGTCTAGCTACTGAGAGAGCCTCTCCTCGAGAAATTCCCCTGCATGCAATTCCTTTTTTTTCTCAAATTATGACATATTCATATTGTAGTTTAGTAATATTTGTTGTTGTTAACTTGCTATTAAATTGTATGTTGTGGAATTTTGAAATTAAATGAACTGAACTGATTGAAGTTCTAAAAATCATATTGTTTGAGGAGAGGGAGGACGTCTGCAACAAAATAACAAAACCTTTAAGATTTGTACCAAGACTTCTGGCAGGCATTGCAGTTTATTGTATAATATTCGACGACTTTAATATGCAAAAATTAGATCGACAAGTCAAAAGATTTAAAAACAATGAAAAACTGGATTAGATCTCTATCTGCCCCTTCAAGATCAAAAGCCTATGACCCCCTTAATTCTATGGACAAGCCCCTTCTTAGTTATCATAATGGGGAAGAGGAGATATCAACCACCTTATGTTTGTTAAGCTCAGACTAGGCAGCCAGCCAAAATTATACTTATTGCTAATTAGTCAAAGGGATTTGACATGTGATATTAAACTCGAAGATTTTGATTCAAAAACTTAAGACAATGAAAACTAGTAGATCTGCACCTTTAGAATAAACCTATTCTAGGAATTTTAGTATTTCTAGACTTTTTGTAAATGAGTTATAATGGAAAATAAGAAGATTCCAAGAATGGTGAATTTAGAGAAAAGGCATAACGATATTTTTTAGATATGTTATATTTTTCGGGGTTTGAAAATTTACTGCACACCAACCAAGCCGCGTAAGCATGACGGTACCCTGGGGTTTAACAAAAGGAGGACGCTGGGTGGAAATAAATTAAATGATAAAGCCTACAAAAATTGAAGATATCATTTAACACAAAGCTTCGATTTTAAAATAATGGAAAAAATGATAGATTTGCATCTTTTATATTGACAGAAAGTAAATAACAGCATATAACACTTGAAGCTTTAAAAGCAAAAATAAAAATGTTAAAATAAGTTTTTAATTCAAGCCTCTAAATAAATTTGTGACGGTCCAATTTGTGACAGACATAATAAATACCAAACTTGAATGAACTAACCGTATATACCACCATAAATACTCCAAAGATTTTTATCTGACTTTTACTTAAAAAAAGTTAATGCATGTCTACATGATACAAACACCACATTACGTGAAAAACTCTTGCACAGAAGACGAATGAGCACAGTTACGAAATAAAATCAAAATTATTAGACATTGAGTTATTAGATACCAAAACAGTATATTCTTACTCAACACTCAGTGAAAAGTAAAAATACGATAGAGTTGAATGAGAGGGGCTGTCGAGGAAACGCTTAGAGCTTAAGGATATACTTAAGGGAAACCTGCAAGGAAAAAAGGATGCGACCTGCAATCCCTGCCAAAAGACTTGGAACACAGACATCAGTTTCCAAGGTCAAAATCAATCTCCCCCCCTCTCCCCCACGGAACAATGTTGGTTTTCTTTGAAACGGGTTAGGGTTTTATGAAGCACTTTCTTTTTGCGCTTTTTCTATGATACTTCTCTAAATTATGAACATTGTTCTAGGGGGAAGGGGCGGAAATAGTAATTTTTTAGGAAAGCGAATGAAGAAATAAAATGCAACGCAAATTGCTAAGTGTTCCAAGTACTTTTGGCAGGCATTGTAGGCAACTATTGAAATGCAATGGCAGTTTGGTTGACTGGAAGCAAGCGCGAGTCGAAACTAACGATATAAAGGATTAAATATAAAACAATGTTATAAATAAGCAATGTTCTCTACTTCTAAGACTAGGACAGCGCAACTATTATATTTGCACTGATGTGGTACCAAGAATGTGGCGCTCCAGGTATTCATTCAGGAACATGCCGTTCGGATCAAGGCTTTTGCGGATTTCCAGAAATTTCCCGAATTCCGGGTACATTTCACGTAATTCGTCAGGTACAACTTTGTGAGCCTTGAAAGAATGAAATGGTTCAATTTTGCAGTGCTCCACACTCTCAAATCAGTACAGTTAAGAAAAATATTAAGAAACTGAGTTGTCTTGAACAAAACTATAACCAAAAATATTTCTTCTCCATCTTGAACAACCATATTTCTGAAAGCTGGGTGTTGTCTCGAAAATTGAAACCATAAAGATATATCGTGTTCTTTCATAAAAAAAATAACGAAGGTTAGTTAAATAACAGAAAAATAACAACGCTGAGAGGGGTTAATTTTCAATACGAGTACCACCAAAACTATTCGTTATCTTTCCTAATTTTAGGACCTATTGTTCCCATCGCCCTTTGTCAAGGAAACATGTTAACCTGAATCCTTTCTTGCGGTAGGAAATCCTTATGATGAATCCAAATGATAAACAGCAGTGTTCGTGGTTTTAGGGTGTGTGAACCATATTTCCCACTGAGAAGATTGAAGACAACTGGAGAAATGAGATCCACAAAACGTTTCATCCTCTGAGTCAAAACACAAATACGATTTACAAAGGCAAAGGAGATTTTCTATCATGATATTAAATACCTTTGCCCAGTGTGGTCTTCCTCCGATTGATTTGACGATAGATTCGTAAATAGCCCAATATCTTTCTTTTCCTGGTACATCTTTGTAGTACGGCCTAGTTATCAAGAAAGCGAAGATCGGTCATTAAAAAACGACAGCCTTTGTCACTCAAAAAACAACTTTGTCATTCAAAAAACAAGATGTCCTTGTAAACATAGGAACCTGTGCCCCCAGTTTACAAAAAACGGTGAATTACATAGGCGCAACTTACGGCGGTGTCCCTTTTTGTCTATATGTGCCCCCCCCCCATTTTTGAATTGCTTCTTACACCTAGGCTCATGAAGGAGGTAGAAAGGAAGAGAAAGGGGGGGATATATTAGATGCCTGGCTATAATATAATGATGGTATGTTTATTCAACTAATGTAGAGGTATATGCATCTAATTGTCACACACAATTTTTACAGGAATAGATGAATGAAGAAATCCTGTGGTTAATCAATAGCAGCTGGTGGAAATACAAGTTGGTTACGCTATTACATATTCTGTAAGGAGTTTGTAAGTAATTTCATTTTGATTTGCTTGTGATAAGGTCTTTATACTAAATATCTTGTTCTCCTTGGACAATAAAAGAACTCAATAGAAAGGGTGGTTTCAACTTAAAAGAGGGACAATTACCCTTCAAAATGACTTTCTATAACAATTATATTTAGCTCAAGGTGCACTGCCTTCTCAAAAGACTTCGACTCATGGCGCACTTCCTTCTCCAAAGACAATTTCTTTAGAAGAAAGGGTCAGGCCAATTCTAAAGAGGGCATCTCATAGGACCCTCACCTCGTAGAATAAAGGTCATTGTTATAAACAAATAAGTTTTGCCAAAGTTGCAGTTTTTTCTCACATTGTTTTGAAATGTGGTATAAAATAAATAAAGAAGGCTCTAGGCATAACCTGTTCTAACCCTACCTGAACATAAGTATATTCATGAAAGTCACATCTCTTTTGTAGCAGGGGCTCAAGTAAATATCATCAGCTTTACCAAATCTTATTTCAACTGCAATGCAATGAAGAGAACAGCTTTAAAAATTGGCTTAAGGAGAGAAGTACTCGGCTCTGAGAAAGTTCAGAAAGCCTGTATTTGCATAGGCGTAGGGGATATAGGGGCTATACCTACTCTGAGCAGACAAATTTTGTCACATTACATTTCACGCTCCATTTGGGCAGTTTTATTAAAAAGAAGCAATGATATTCGGGTATTTTAAAAATCATACTTTTGTCAGATTACGAGCTCAAATTTATATATTTTAAAAAAATATTGCAAAAATGATTATTATAAAACAGTTATCGACAATACAATTAAAATGCACTGTCCTTGCCCTTAAAGGAACAAGTGCAAACTATTCTTACATATACAGATACTATAACTCGAAACAGCTAAAGTTTGTTAAGATAGCCTTTAGAACTTTCATGGATTTCAAGGAAACTCTTTAGTTTTAGTACTGATATCACGGAATAGTTAAGAGTGTTCCAATACATGAGCGATGCTATTTATATCGAAAAAGCACTTAACCAGACCAGTCTTAATGCGATATTGTCTCTCTTTGAACTCACGTTACATAAAAACTTGCTTGCATAAAAAACCGTCAACGCTGAAAACCACAACCCGTGGGCCAGCTTCAATTTAACTGGTAGCTGATCCTATTCGTCAGAATAAACCATCAGTGAATGAATGAACAATTGCAAACTGAGTTTTTAGTTCAGTGGCTAAATATTTCACAAAATGAAAGATACCTGGCAAGTGAACGTGAAGATTTTCCTTGCTAATAGCATCTCTAAGGCTTCGGAGGACGTAGCCTGTCTTTTCTCTAAGGTGAGAGAAGGATAAAAAGTGAATCGCTTTCATCACTTTTTTGGCACACGTTGCACCCTTTAGGCTAGATGTGGCACCCTTTTGGCTCAATGTGGTATCCATTCTTGGCTAGACGTAGTACGATTAGATAGGGAACCCCTTCGATTAGATAGGGTACCCTTTCGATTAGATAGGGTACCCTATTCGTTTTTGCTAGATGCGGCACCCTTTAGCTGGACACGGTACTCTTACTTTCTGTAGAGTGCCATGAATCACAGCCCTTGGAATCTGTTTCTCTTATATACCTGAAATGACCAAAGTACTCCTGATTACCCCCCCCCAAAAAAAAACACTGGTAAGGACAGCCAAGGTTTAGAATAAAAACATCATTATTTCAACATGCAAAAAAGGTTTCAAATAATTAAGCAGAGACACTTTTTGCAAGTATGATCTTTGCAACTATAATAGCAAAACGCTGCAGAAACAAACCTTGGGAAGGACCATTCGGAGACATACTGTGGAAAAAGGCAATTGAAGTGGAGAATCTGGGGAGAAATGAACAAAACAGTAACCTCAAAACAGAGATTTCGCAACAATGTAATTCTCTGAGGTAAAAGAACTGGAGCAGGTAATAAGATCCATAATTGTCCTAAGTCTTAAGATGATAGCAACAATGATACCTTTTTTTAAGGATTATTTTAAGACTTAATAAGCATAATACCTTGTGTGGTGCATTGCATCTTTCAGTTGGATTTCTGAAGAACATACTGTGGTAGAATCTATTGATGACGTTGACCAGACGTGGGAAAAATGACCTATTAAAGAAAAATCAAGTTTCAAGAAATTTAAAAATGAAAATATCCAGGATTTTGAACAAAAATTGAAGTCAAAATATCATTGATTAGAGTTTCAACATGAGAAAGTTTTGAATATCAACCTAACCGGGCAACATTTTTATTGAACAAAACTTAAAGTGTTTGTAAATAATCAATCCATCGAAATTGTCTAATTAATTCGTAAAACTTAAGCGAAATACATGAAGCCCTTGAATAATAAAGCAAAGGCTATTAGACAGCATATAAAAAGAAATTTATAGATATTAACGATATATTTAAAGTACTCACGCAATGTACAAGAGAAACTGCAACATATGAAAGCCGACAAAGCTGTCCCAAAACCAGCTCTCCCCTGGATCAACGACAGGCTAAAAAACAATCGATGATTTTCTTAGTAAAAATGCACCTGCTACAATGGATTGTTGTGTAGTGGGATAGGTTTTCTAGTCGATAGAAAATTCCATCGAAATTAAAACATCAAGAATTTGTGTAACATTGGGCAATGCTGAAATGAAGGCTTTTGTAGCTCTTGTTTAAATCGATTCTTCCCTCACAATGTCACATACTGCTGGTGGGCGAATCAACAAAGATATTCCCACCTAAAATTGATGTGTCAAATACCTTAATACATTTGAAAACCCTTTTTTAGTTAAAAAGTTGCCATTACTTTATTAAACCACACAGACATGCGGAAATAAAGGCTAGGACACTTGATACTTCATGAAGTCCTCTATCAAAACTTGATGTCATAGGTTGTTTTGTAAGTGCAGACGTTTTTAATAATCTTGTTTCACGTGCAGAGAACATGGGGCTGGTAAATGACGAGGTTGTGTGAATGTTGACCATTCTAAAAATGTAAAAATTGGGCTTATTAAGATAAAACAAGCAGGTGCTCAACCTTGTTGTTGACTGTGTGACTGTGGATACGAAGATCATGTGAGGTGTATTTGATAGATATAAAACGAAGGCAATAATTACAAATCAACAATGGTATCCAAAAGTGCTCTATAAGTGTTGGATCACAGGATACTGACCTTGTCACTTCTTTTGATATGGTATTTCACACAGTTGCCTGTATGAGGGTGGTACAAGAATTTGAAATGCTCACTTTTCTTTAAATCATCTTCAAATGTTGCCAAAGTCTAAAAGTAACAGAGCTGTCATGCAATTTTGTACAACACAGGTACAAATTTCAAGGTATGCATAGTTCTAAAGTTTTTGCATAGTCATTATGCTATAAGCATAAAATCTTCACTATCAAATTATTCATAAAAGAAAATGTGCAGGTGGTTAGTCTTAAACATTAAAATTGTGAGAAAAACAGACAATAGAGCAACATACCCTTGCAAGTGGGGTCTGGCAACAGTTTTAGGTTGAAATAATGTTTGGCTGATCAACATGTTATTGAACGATAATGGTGTAATTCAAAAATTAGCTATCATGATTTTCAAAATAAATAGTTTATTGCCAAAAATCGATGAATTGCGTCTCATTGCTAAAAACTCAAATGCTGCTGTCATTGGAATTACAGAATCAAAACTTGATGACACAATATCTGACAGTGAAGTCAAAATTGACGGAAATGAACTGAAAAGACCTGACAGAAATAGACAAGGTGGGGGTGTTGCTTGTTATATCAGAAAAGATCTGTCTTTCAATTTAAGAGAACATTTTTCAGCAGACCTAGAAAATATATTTCTCGACATATTTTTGCCAAAATCCAAACTAATCCTAGTTGGCATCCTTTACAGAACGCCCAACTCAAGTGGTTTTCTTAAAAAACTAATTGTAGCAATTTCAAAAACAGAAAATTTTGATAATCAAGAGGTTTTTGTCTTGGGGGACTTGAATATTGACTTGATAGACAGTAAAAGGAGTAACTCTAATGGGATCAAGCGCTACAGGGAATTCTGCTCCCTTTACGGACTTAAGCAACTAATCCAAGAACCAACACGCATAACTGAGAAATCCGAAACTCTATTAGATCATATAATTTCAAATTCAGCTCAAAAAGTTTCTCAGCATGGTGTTCTTAACCTAGGCTTATCTGATCACGAAATGATCTACTGTACAAGGAAAAGTACTAGAGCCAAAAATCATGATCATAAATATATCAAAATCCGTTCAATGAAAAATTACAGCAGAGAGCGTTTGCTAAAAAAACTCAAATTACTTGAGTTCCTAAATTACTTTGAGTTCATTGATATCAATGCTGCCTATCCTCACTTATTACAACTGATTACTTTCTTCATCGATGAGATAGCTCCATTAAAAGAGATTCGCGTGAGAAGCAACACTCAGGAACGGATGGACGAGGAAGTTCTTGAAGGGATCAGAATTCGACACAAGCTGCTTTCCAAATTTAAAAGGACAAAAACCCATACAGACAATTTCAGAAAAACCCGAAATAACGTATTGTCAGTTACAAAAAAGAAGAAGAGAAATTGTGTTGTTAGCAAACCAAATGAAAATATTGGCAAGCCAAAAGAATTATGGAAAAGCCTAAAATCACTTGGTCTACCTTCCAAACAAGATAAGCCCTCAAAGATTTGCCTAAAAATGGACGGGAAACACTGTTTTGATGATAAAACTCTTTTCAAATTTCTTACGATAAGAATAAGATTAGATAAGAATTTCTTTCCAAATTTAGCTACAGAGCTTGTAACGAAGCTACCTAACCCACCTCGTAGATTTGGTATAGAAAATGTTAAAAAATACTACAAAAAGCTGAATCTTGAAAATGAAAGATTCAAACTTCACCACACCAACCATGATAACGTCTTTAAACTCCTGGATGGAATAAATCCTTTAAAAGCAACTGGACCCGATAATCTTGCAGGGAAATTCCTCAAGGAGGGTGCATCAATACTAGCAACACCAATTACCGAGCTATGCAATCTTTCAATTTCTCTAGCATGTTTTCCCGACGATTGCAAACAAGCGAAATTGAAACCTCTTTTTAAAAAGGTGAACAAAGCTGAACCAAGTTACCGACCAATCTCACTTCTACCGCAAATTTGTAAAGCAATTGAAAAAAATTGTCCACGAGCAGATACAAAAATATCTCTATCTCTATATTATCTATCGTTACCAATCCGCCTTTCGTCCCTACCATTCAACCGACACATGTTTATCATATCTCAGTGACAAAATAGTTCAGGGTTTGTAGCAAACGCACTAATTCAGCCCCATTTTGACTATGCAAGCAGTGCTTGGTTTCCATACTTAAACAAAAGACTAACCAAAAGAATTCAGACAGCACAAAATAAATGTGTCAGGTTTCGTTTGAATCTAAATAACAGAGCACACATAGGAATCAAGGAATTCACAAATATCAATTGGCTCCCCGCGAAAGAGAGATTCGAACAATGTATGACTGCAAAGGTTTTCAAATTTTTTGATAATTCAGCGCCCCCCCCCCCTACATGTCATAGATGATCTTACCAGTTGGCCAGAACAGAATCACGCGAAGATCTAAAAACAAACTGAATCAACTTTCCGAAAGAAAAACATAGGGCAAAATTGCCTCACATATCTTGGTCCCAAAATTTGGAACAATCTACCGTCAAAACTAAAATCTGCAAAGAACGTCAATAGTTTCAAACACAAGATCAAAGATAAATTCTTTGATGATCTACAAAGTCAGTGACATATTTTATTACATATTTTATATTTCATTACATATAGAGGATAGCCCTTTACATATTTTATTGAAAATCCAAATTCAGCCAACGAAAAGGTTCTAGTTAACATTTTTCCAGAATTACTTTTTTCCTAGTTGGATACAAATCAATTTTTCATGAAGACATTTCTTTTTTATAACACCTCTGGAGGGACCATTATGGAAACAATATCGTATTGACCTTTTTGATGCTATCCCTGCCATTTTAACCCGGGGTGTTTTTAGTCTACGTTTTTAACTTCTATCTGTAATCAGATCTTTTTCATTTTCTTAATTTTAAATTGTAACTTTTTTGATGGCAAAATTATACATACATACATATAAAAACTACCGACCCTTCTATTCTCCTATCTATTGAGCACATTTTTTGGCTTTTTTCTCCATTTCCATGGACATCAAAAAACTAGATGATCATTTTGCTTGAATTCATGAATGGAAAACTGGAGGGATGGAAAATTAAGAGGAACAAAGGCAAAGCCAAACCTACCTCCTCAACAGGGGCAGACTCAGCTGTTTCATGTAAGCGGAAGGCAGGCTCGCACTGTAAAGTCACACTTGTTACAATCCCAACACAGCCAAGGCTTAATAGGGCAGCTTTGAATATTTCTGGATTTGATTGCCTACTGCAGTAGATTATTTCTCCATCGGCTTTCATCAATTCAAGGTCTCTCACCTACAAAAGACAACAAAATCTAGTTCCACTATTGATTTGTACCTCAAAAACACCAAACTAACAAAACCACTTGTTACTAAAAACTCTTGATATGAACACAAATGTAATTTTTAATTCATTTGACAAAACACCAACATGATACTAGGTGGTCATTGGCTCCAGGTTCCTAACTTTCCCCTCCTAAAATGCTCTTGACGGCAAATGTAATTTTCTAATGCTGTTTGTTCATCGTTAGCTAAACAAATATTATTTGGGTCATATCAGCAATCCTTTTTGGTAGAGCTTGTCTGTGATCTTTCACGAAAGGTATTTGAAAAAGTTAACAAAAAATAACTATGCATATTAGGAATAAATAAGAGAACATTTCTTAACAATGTTTTCGAGTATACACCATTATCAGTTATACTGTACAGCACACAATCTAGTATATTAACAAAAGTTGACTTTTAGATAGGTTACATAACTAGTTTGTTAGTAATAGTATGTAACACCTTGTTTTTGCTGTGATCAACTGTTTTACTGAATACAGCCACTTACCAATGTTGAAATAATGCCAAAATTCATGCCAGATCCATGTGTCCCAGTAGCAATGATTCCCCCTATGGTGATGTCATCAATGGCAGGGAGGCTGAAAAATAGTATCACTCATGATAAAAAACTTGCCCTTGGGCGAGCCGAAAAAGCAAAGTATAAGAAGTACAATAACAATCAAATGAGAAATCCCTTTTAAAAATCCTGAAAGTTTAATGGCTTTATATAATCTCATAACAAGGAGGCATCAAGTAATATTTACTTGATCCACTTACTTGCACATGGCCATACCATTGTTTTCTAGAATGGTGTTAAGGTCCCTCAGCATCATTCCAGCACCTATCTTGATAGTATTTTCATTCTTATCAAGCTGAAAGAAAATTGACCCATTAAAGTGAAGTACAATAAACAGTTAAATATGGATACAAGAAGCTAATGCTAATAACAAAAATATGTATCAACTAAATCTCAGGGGGCAGCATCTAATGTAGGGGCAGGGGCAGCACAAATGGAGCATTAAGTCAAAGACCTCCACTCTCCTTTGAAAGAATTTTTTTGTGTGCTTATTTCCTGAAAGATCAATAATCCCATTCAATAACTAAAGACCATAAACAACAGAAGAAAACCTTTCATCAGTGTGGCTCCTTTGTGTGGCCTTGTTGTAGAATTTAGAACTTTCCCCCTCTTTCTGGCTGTTTTATAGCTTCCGAATGTTTTCCACCTTCAATACTTATCAGCCCTTTACTGTATCTTAACTCTTGTTTTGCAAATTTCATAATAATTTAACTAGGATAGCTGATGCCCTTACAATTGAGTTTAGCAAAAAAAAAGACTGGGGCATGTGAAAGGCTTTTGGCCTTCTGCTGGAAGTTTAGTTGACAAACATACAATTAAGACTCAATGATTTACTGATAAAGTGCACTTACATGTAGAACTTTATTGAATTTGAAAAGCCTTATCATGAAGTCATTAGTACAACAGATGTCTGATGGAGAGTGTCCGAATCCGATGACTCTGACTCGCTTTCTCTCCGCTGATGCTTGTCTCAGTATCTGTTGATCAGAGCAATAGATAGCATTTTTTTGTTTCCAATAAACAGAGAGATCAACTAACAAGAAAGATACATGTGTCAGTCACAGGCTTTAAAATTTTATTGTAATGAATCAAAATGCATATGTTGGAAAACATTTTGGCAAATGAAGGCCATGCAATTGTTATAATATGGTTTTCCAGAAATATTTCATCACAGAAAGGAAAAATGGACTATTGTCATAATGAGGATAGCATCTGTTTATCATATCATAATTATTCAAAAGCTTAAAAAGAGAAGAATGTCTTAAAAATAACTTATAAATCTCTCATCTCAGAACCAAATTTGAAACTTGTTAAATTGCCATCTTAATCCTTCAAACCTACCACATGCTTGTTGGAAGTATTTTGTTTCGGACTGAGTAAAGGAGTATTTGCTATTGTTAAAAATTGAAGGATCACAAATTTCCAAGCCCATGTTGCAATTATTGACAAATATCTTGAGGCAAGACCATTCTAGATAATGAAGTAAAAAAATAACACAGAAAAACTTTATCAATCTACATAACATGTAATAAAAATATCCTCAAATAAAACAAAGACAAATGTTTAATAGAGTTATCATAAGTACACAAGTTTAAAGTGATTGCCTACTTGAGCCAATTCCTCTACAGTTTCTGGTTCAAAAAACAGCTCTGGTTGGCAAGAGTAAGTTTTAGCCCAGTTGGTGAACCGGTAGTTACTGATTCCCTGAAGAGCCATGTCTGAAAATACTTTGGGTAACCTGCAATTGAACAGCCTAAATATCAATGCAGAATAATCTGGTTATAACGTACTTTAAGGGACCAGTGTATTAAGTATGTTATATCCGAAGTACGTTGTAAGGAGGGTAAGTAAAAATTGACTAAAACAAAGCACACCTTTTGCCGGGACCAAGCACACCAGTACGTTGTATCCGAAAGTACGTAATAACCGAGTATGTTATAAAGGCCAAAGCATGAACCCTATATAATTTCTGTCATCATAAGAATCTATTCAGCTGTTTATGGTAACTTGTTACTATTGTGGGAAAAAAAGCATCTTGACACAAAAGCTTTTCCGTAGACCACTAAGACTCAAATGAATAATAGATAATGTGCACTGTTACCGCTTGCACTACACTATTAATGTCAAACAGGTGGTTAGGGCAAAGCATTACGTATGAGAGTGTTTGCTGCGTATGAGAGTGCAAGCTTTTAAAGCATAGTTAAGACAGAAAAACAAAAATAATGGAGTAAAAATAAATATTTCATTCTCCATATTTTTATCAAAGACAGCTTCTCTATTTGACTTGTCAATATTCATATACAAATAGTCGTGTTGAACAAAGTTTGATGGTAGTTTCGTGATTGCCCCTGGGCATGGCAGGGGGCTGATGCCCATGCGTCTCTCCTGTTTGAAAATATGCTACTTACGGGTAACGTTATGTAACAGTTTATGGTTCTCGGATGTAGAGTTTAAATCCAAAAGGTCAGAGAGAACGCTTGATTTTGCTTGATTACGCTTGTTTAGATTTGGTCAGAGAGAACACTTGATTGTGTTAATTTCATATTATTTACCAAGGGAGCCCCAAGAACTTAGGGCTCGGGAGTTGGATAATTTCTGTTCTTGATCTGAATAACTAAAATATAATGAGACTGTGAATACAATTTTTTATTAATCTATCAGATAAAAACAACCATAATGAAATGGAAAACAGAAACTACATTCAATGCATTTTTTCAATCCAATTATAAACGGTGCCATAAGTTCGCCCCCAAAAAAACATATGGTTACATAATAATTAATAATGTGATAGGTATAAATAAAGATAATCGCCACTTTGGAAAACAAAATAAATTTCTTAAGAACGTCGCTAAAAATTGTAAGCGAACCAATAGAAGAATTACCTTTAGAATAGATGATTCTATCTGCGCAGAAATGGTAGACTTTTCCACTTCCACGTGGGAGACTAACTAGAACGACCACGCTTTGCAAGAATCCGAAGAACTTTTATAATTGCTTCGCAGCCTCCTATTGGCTAGGAGGTCCAAGGCTCATCATCTCTATGATTTGGTCTCACTCATCTCACAGATCAATGATTTGGCAAGGCCTAAAATAAGAAATTTTTACAGATCCACATTTTTTATAAAAATTGGGCGTGATACTTTGCTGGGATTGGCATCATGGGGGTGGCAAATATAGAAACTGCCATCATAGTGCAAATAGCATGTCCTAATTGGGCAAATTCTTAAATGAATGAAGTATAAGTAGCAAAAGCTGATTCTTTACATTATATGGATTGGGTTAATAAGAAAATTAGCTACATATAGCGATGTCTTAATATGTGAGTGGAAAGTTATCGAAAGAAAATTCTTTTTCTTGGTTTGTTCGGGTCTCTGTCAAAGTTATTTTGTTTCCTTTCACCTTCAAGAACTCCCTTAAATCAGCCTTGCTTCCCAGACTTTGGTATTTTTTGGTTTTTTGGAACCATATCTTTGCAGCTTTTCTCGGAACTCGAAACTTGCGAGATCAAGCATATTAATTGCAATATTTTATCGACAAGTTTTCTCGAGCTATGCTGCTTTCCCCACCTGCTTCTATCTTGTTATAGGTGGGAATCAGCCTCTCTGCATCGACAGAATTAGGGATTGCTGCGATGTCCGGGACAAAAGCTGGGTGAAGCTTTCTTAAGTCTTGTTTACTTAAGGAAAGTTCTTGAATGCATTCAGCCCATCAAATTCTTTGCCATCAAATCTGTTCTTCAAAATGTTTTGATACTATAAACGAAAACCTCGTTACAGATGGCAAATCAGTTCTTCTCTCACCGATGTTTCTACAAATTGTGCTTGTTTCTTCTTATTCTCTTTTCGCCCAGTTTGAAAGCATGATTTTTACCCCCATCTTGTTTGTAATGCAGAAACCACGCACCAGATCTCAATTTTGGAATTACGCCAAATTTGCCATAAGATTGTGCTAGATTTGCAAAAATTATGCTAGATTTCAAATCAAGGCAACCCTGCTCGAGAAAGAGGCTAATGCATGCTCAGAATATCAAAGTGGCCAGAGTTGCAATTTGGCCATTTTGACAACCCAGTGTACTCATTCTTCATAAACAAAAAGGCAATTTAGATCCATGGTTTGATGGCCAATGACTCCATTTTGGCAGTTTCTCAAACCCCTTGGCCGTTATAAATTGATTTGGCTGAAGAAGCAAAATTTGGCTGAATTCTGGCAGCATGTTGCAAAAAACAACGAAAATGCAAAGGAAACAAACATTTTTGCACAGATAATATTAAAAAAATTTTAAAATAATTTCAAAATTGCAAATGATGAATGATGAAACAAAGCAAAAGATAACAGACAGTTTTAGATCAAAGCAAGTGAAAACTTTTGTAACCTCAAAACAAATTTTGATTACGGTATCACTCCAAATAATTAGCAAAAATTTAGGTTTTTTTTATACTGCGTTTAGCTGGCTGCATTTAGCTGCCAACCACAAATATGTGGCTGCCAACCATGCAAAACAACTGGCAATATCCTGAAGGTAGAAAGTCACAATTTACTCCCAAAATGAAACCACAGATGCTGGTGTAAAGTGTTTGCATTTGGTAACGATAGACAATGTATCAATGGGAACAATGTTTCTTCTAAATAATATCAGAATTATGCCAGAGTTATGCTAGATTCCAAGTTATGCTAGATTTTATGCTAGATGACAATTTTTGGCCAATTTCATGTTAATATTACGCTAGATCAGGTCACACTGGCACCAGCCTCCGGCGCGCAACCAGGAATTTCAGAGTGCAGGGGTCCAAGACAAAAAAAGGGCACTAAGGAAACTTTATTCACGTTCACGTTTAACAGAAGAGATGCCAGGGTGCATTTCATGTACGCCGAAGGTCTATCGGGGAATTTGTTTAGGTACACCAAAAATATGAGCAGTTAGTATACCTGTAAATATTGTGCGCCAGACAAAGGAAACTGACCAATAGAGAAAAATTGTGATGTACATACAAATAAAAAATATATATATTATAACGATCAACAAAAAGTAGCAATCAACACAGAGTGCTTACTAAAGTAAAAGAGAGTGTATGGAGGCATTTTAATTGAGTGGGTGAAGAGGATAAACATGGTACGGCGTGTATATTTTTTATTTGTATTTTCTGACCTTTGCAACCGTGATCCTGGACGCAGGATTGCGAGGGGCGCCTACGAGAAATGGACATACCGAATTAAAGCCCCGAAATGTCCCTCGTGGGTTTCTGGCTGATGAGTTGCTTTTTTATCATTTTCTGCCCACTTACAAGCTAATTGCTTAAAACATACAAGGGCACTTACTTTTATTCACATATTGGTTTTTTAGTTTTTACCTTCTATGCCTATAAAAGCAATTTTTTCAAAAGAAGGGCACTTTTCCTCCTTTGAGAAAAAGGGCAGGGGACTGGACCCCCAGGACCCCCTGTAATTGCGCGTCTGAGCCCACAAGGGAGTGGCTGGAACGGGACTAGCAGGCTTGCCCCTAAATTTTTTACGGCCACGCCCTTTGAAACACCGGAAACCACTCCTTTCAGATAGTATTTGCTTTTTTCTGTCCTTATGCATAAACATAATGACTTAAAGAAGGTTTCAATTAACATAAATATACAAAACCGAGTTAGATAAAATACAAATTTATCGTTGACCACCCAAGAAAAAGCACCATCAAAAAGAACAAAAACATGTTCCCAGAAGAACTGCTACTAATGCATTGTTAGCGTTAACTTTCAAAACATTTCCTGTGCACCTCTTCCGTATAGAAAAAGAAAATTGAGACTCTTCCTTTCACAACTTACAACCGCAGCCACTTTCTTCCCTTGCTAGCAGTTGTGCGGCATCTAACATAGTGTTTACAGACTTTTTGTGCCGCACAAATATGTGAAAGCTTGAATTTTGATTGGCGAGATTTGGTAAAAAATTTGCATAACAAAGAGCCCTGCACTGTTAACGGTCTAGGATGGTCTTTGAATGTGTGTGAGATCGACCAAGTTCGGTCCTGTGTTTATTGTGTAAAGAGAGCAAAATGTATTATCTGTAAGGAGGGAAATAAAAGATTGTGGTTTCAATGACTGAAGACTAAAACTAAATTCTGAAAATCTGACGCTCTTCCGTGCGACCTGTGCAACACCCTAAACGTTGCCAAGGACACTGAGGTAGACACGAAAAGTTTTTGTGCCCAGCGTCCTTCCTGGGTTGATTACAAATACAAAATAACTTGTTTTATAAAATGTAATACACTTGTACATGAAAAATATTAAGATTTAAATTTTTACGTGATTTGAATTGTTTAGTATAAGAAATAGTAACAGAACAAATAAGAAAAGGGAGAAAAAATTGAAATGAAAAAGAAAGAAAAAACAATTAGAAACTAACACGGTAGAAAAGATAGGGGAGGGAACACTGCAGTTAGTTTCAAAAATGGTTTGCATTGGAGGGGGTTAAGCTTAATATTCACGTAAGCTTAATAAGAGGGAATTGCTGGGGCCCTATGGCGACCAACATTCGTTGGGGAGGGGGGGGGGGACATTGAAAATAAATCTTTCTATGTGGTTATGAAAGATCTAAAAAACTCCGACTGTCTAATCCACAGTCTCTTTAATTACTGTAGGCTATGAAAAAAATTTTATACTAACCAGTCATATCAGCTCCAACGTCAAATCAAAAGATTCGGAACAATTAACACATCAATTTACAGCAGAACCCCAGAAGAGTTCTACCCTTTTTATAAAAGGCGGACAAATTGCTGCCTTGACTCCGAATTACAGGTGAATCGAAAGTAGTACATGTAAAGCTCACTTTGGGCAACCATATTTACAGACGTGCCACAAGGCTCTGTGTAAGGTGCATTGTTTTTCATTTTCCCATAAATGATATTCTTGATTGCAGAAATGACCTTGAAGACATTTCGAAACTCAAATATAGTATCTTGCTTGAATAACCTGTCAATATAAATATTGCACACAGGGGCAATTAACACTTTGGTGGAAGTCTACTTTGCTCATACCCTTCCTAGCGCAAATAAAAACTGAATCAAGTTATACATCAGCGACAAATTATCGTTTAAATAGAAACCAGTCTAGTACAACGCCAGATAACAACCCACAGAAGTGAACATAAGTTAGTGTTGTAATATGGGGAATTTGCATACGTGGACTTTGTATATCATCTATGTGCTTGTGAATAACTGGGTACGAAATGGGGTACACGTTGCTTTTGTCTTCGCTTTGAGAAGGAAATTTCCTTTCAAGAGGCTATAAAATGCTATAAATTGTCACTATTTACGTTTGGTTATGCACAATCATTATTGTAGTAGCATAAAGTATGGTCTATGTTATAATTTATCATGGACTTGTATAATGTATTGCGGAATTGGGCATGCTAGGGCAGGGGCTTATCTTTTGCGAGGTTTTTATGATCCCTGTATGATGGAAACTAAAGGTGCAAGACATTTATATGGATGACACAAAAGGAAAAACGCAAGTAGTATCTCTGATGCAATTTTCTTGACTCAAAATGCATGTTTAAAGATATTAGCTTTGTTTAATTCATATTTCATATAACTATTCATACGTCATACCATATATTTGTAGGTTGTATACAGCTTGCTTGAGATCATTTTCAATAAACAGTTCTTTTCTGACTTTCAAATTTCAAAGCAGGATTAGGGGTGCTTCTCATTCCAAAGACAGTGTTAATAAAAATGGTTATATAGAAAATTTGTTATTCCTCAACAATTGATGACCCGAAACTATTTACTTTGAATTATCCAACACTTCCATTGAAAGCGGTTATCATTTATGTATGGCTCTTTTGGCCCAGGAGATAAGAATACTTCTAAGATTAGAACTTCAGCATTGTTTTTTGGATCCGTTGCGTCAACTTTTACATCCCAGCATTTCTGGACACAAAATATTTTGACATCCTAATTTTGACATAATATTGACAGAACACAATTCTCTCTCAATTTTGCAACAATTTTTATCGCAAATTTTAAAGCAGAAAACATTTTGCAATTTCATTAAAACACGTGCCTCCAAATTGTCAAAAGTTTAGAACAAATTAAGAACAAGCTGAGGCTGAGCTACTGTAAAATACAGTTTTGAACAGCGTTTTATCTCAAAAACGAGGATTTTTAGCCATGTGTGGGTGCTTTTTGGCTTTTTTACGGTAAAGATTCAAATTTTCGGCAAATGAAGATCGTCTCACTCACTCTGTTGGCAAATGAGGCCTGAACATCTCCCTAAAGCAAAAACCTAGCAATGGCACTGCTCACACCGTCTCAATTTAAGAACAAATTAAAAACAATCCAGCCTCGGATTTTCGAAAAAATTTAAGAACGGTCAGCTTGAGCTGAATTTACAGGTTCGTATAAAAAGAAAAGAGTGTAAGAGACAACCTTCCGAGCTTAATTTTACTCAGGGGCTGAAAATATCATCCAAGATTGCCTCAGGTGACAAATTAGGTGCGAAATTGAATTTTGCATTTTGGTGCGAAGTAAAAAGCACAACTTCATCCCTGCTTAGTGTTTAATGCTTTGAAGATTATGAAAACACGAATCATGTTCATTGGCTAAGACTATGTTTTTGTCTTCCTGCCTCGTGCATTTTAACTGCGGATTTTTCTATATTTACCAAGCTCTTTGTTACATAACATACTTGATGAAAAAGGACAATGTTTTCACTTGTTAATAGCTTTAATCAGGATTGTGTGTTTCTTCCCTTTACAAAATTGTTTCGTTTCATACGATTTCAATCCATATGTAACGACAAGTGAAACAAATTTAAATCAATGTCCAACATGCAACTGTATTTGTCACCTGTATTTGTCGCAGGGCCCACATCACCAGAGGGACCGGAGGATCAACACTTTTTATGAAGCATATAGCTTTAAACCTGCAGTAAAAGAGAAAAAAGCCTTGGCTAATTTCCTACACTTCTTGTTTGCTAAAAGTTTATCTTTATATTAGCGTATCTTAAATAGTGAAAATTTTAACATATCAATGTTAGTAGAAACTTGTCGGGGGTCGGGAAGGGGTTTCAACATATAATCTTTTTGCATAAACTTTTAAATCCTGGTGACCTTTTCTGGCGAATGTTGAACTTGATTAAGGAGGTTTGCTTTTCTTGTGTCTGAAATTCTATTTCATGCCAACCATCCAATCGCATTGACATATTTCCAAGAGATTTTGAAGTTTTAGGTTTCTTTAAAATTTTTTATTAATTTTTTGCACGGAAGACTGAAATTTCTACACTTTTTTCCTATTGTCCAGTAACAATTTCTTATAGCAAGTTACTCAGTGCAATTTCAAACACAGTCTTGCAGGACTAACTTCCCCTCGCATTCTGAATTATAAGAAATAAACCCCTTAGAGCGAAATTTATAAATGTGTGCCACAGGCTACGCAAAGATACAGAGAGATAGCAAGATTCTTCAGTTCAATTTTTAGAGAAAGAATCGTTTTAAATGTATCTACTTTGAAATCAGAAGCAACTCGTTTTTCTTCTAGTACAATTCAAGGACTTTGGAAGGTTACTGATTTGCACAAGATGAGAAAAAGGAGATCATCTTAAACACGACAACAAAGGGGATTCATTATAAATGAAACATTAATAATAATAGAACTAATGAGAAAAATGAGCTATAAATCAGTTTATGGTGCAAAGCAAAGAAAGGATAAATACAGTAAAACATATGAGAATATGAACATTTAAAAGGGCAAACTGAATGAATTGCTGAAATCAGGGCCTTTTTTAGCATACTAACTAGGGGGCAATTGCCCTTGCAGTTCCAATGACTTTCTATTGTTCTAAACAATAGACCATTGTCCTTCTCCTAAAATAAACAAAGGCAGCTTATTTCCCTTGGAATAGGCTATGGCTGAAAGGTGGAATATCCTATAGGATGGTTTTAACAGGAATGTTTAAAAAGGAAAGGTTTCTTACTCTACTAAAAAAAATCCAATTACCTGGTATTCAAAGACTCATTGCTAACAATGGGCCTTTGCGAGGGTGGCGATGATCCAAACAATGGCAGTAAACTTCTACGGATTAACCAAAATTGATTTCAGACTGTCTAAAAATGCATTATGGGATGCTTATGTAGCGCAATGGCTCATTGTTAGCAATGAGTCTTTAAGGTTGACCCTATTAATCTTTAGAGATATTTAATTAGCATTCAAATTTGATAGTACCTAACTTGAAATTTAGAAAAACTCTGGTTTTGTTGGTCTGTCATAAAGGCAGTGTTGCACACATTGCTTGATGTTAAGCATGGAACTTGGAGTTGCAACTTAAAATCATTCTGTTCTATAAACCACAACATGTAACTTGGTGGTTAAATACAAAATCTCATTGACATCACAAATAAAAATATAGACAGTCTGTTGTGACAAAATTGCAAAAATTCAATAAAGAGAAAAGAACAAAAAAAGGTGCAAGTGATTCCAAAGAGAACCTGATCCAAAAATTTATACTCAATAAACCAATGGAAATGTCATTATTGAATTCTAAATCCCTTAATAGCATGCTACAAGATTTAAAATTCTATTTCTTTTATAAACATGAAACTACTACCAACATAGAGGTATACTTTGACAAACAATGTGAAAAGCTAAATTTTAACAATGTCCTAATGCTCAATTTTTGTAAAATAAATTATGAAAAGCTAATGTCATATTATGAGTTGAAAATATCTGCAAACCAAACCAAAAAGTGAGCATAATTCAAAAAGGTATAAATTGAGAATTACTATTAATGATGATTCTAGGCATTTGCAGATGTAAAGAATGGAACTTGTTGGCTATGACCAGAAATATTCATCTATCTACACTGCAGATTGATGCCAGACTGAACCATAAAAGAGACCATTTTGTAATAGTTTTCTGGTAACTGATTTATAAAAAAAAATGACTTTTCAAGTCTGAAAAAGATGATTTGGTATGGCTTCTATGATGAACATATTGAAACATTGATTGAAAAACTTTTACCAAATGAGGGACAGCACTCCAGCACAGAACAAGACAATACTTCAAAATATTAATTCAAATTGTGTTAAATACATGGAAATATCAATTTCTGTTTTGTTTCTTGGAAGTTCAAATAACTTTGAAGTTCCAAATAAAGCTTAAAGTGAGTAACAGTTAACTGCAATGAAACCACTTTTGATAGGAAGCTCGGTAAAAACATTCTCTACATAGTTAAAGAAAGGAGTGACTTGATTCTTTTCCATGCGAGTCTACAAAAGCCTCTATACTAATTTGCAAACCCAAGCAATCCTAAAAATACTTGTTTTTATTTCATGAAAACATTACTTCTCCTATCTATAATGTGGCAAAAATCCACAAAGTATTAATCTAACACATTGATATGGTAACATTTATTCCCAGATTTCCATTATCAGCAAAAAGCTGTGCAATGCTGGTGTCAAACACCAAACAATCACTGTTCAAAATAGCTGACTGGATCCCATCATGTATGCTTCTTGGCGTTGCTTCCCATGCTAAGCGTCGCCTGTGGCCATTTAACTCAAGTCTATATGCAAAGTTTTCTGCCTGTTTACGTGATCCTATTAGTTGTACAACAGCAAAAAACTGTTGATGTCCTTCATATTTCTCTTGTTTCTCTAATACAAGCATGAAGTTGTGACCAAAACAAGATTGCATCATAACCCAGTCAACTGCTCCTGGTAAGTTTATATCTGTAGCTAGAAAAACAATATCTTCTCCTTGTAAAGTTGTAATAGATTTATGTGCATGCATTAGGTGCGGCATCACAGAGTCTAAAGAACCCTGCCATTTACAGGAGGCCCCAGGGCAAGGACAAGTGTATGGTCTAAATTCACAAGATTCTTCATGGTCCGTTTTTTGAGTATGCTGTAATGTTACCGAACAGCCAGATGAATTATATTTACATGGAAACAAAACTGTATTTGCCACTTTTTCCATAGCTAGGTTCCGAATGCTTCCGAGAGGCCCACGACATGTTGGACAAATTGTTAATTTAGGCCTACAGTTCGAGCAAACGAGATGGCCACTACTACATTGAAAAATTGGTGGAAGAACGTAATCAAAACAAACTGGACATTCAAAAAGGCTGGCTAAGTCGTTATTTGTAGGTGTGCTTGCAGAAATGCTTGCTGTAGCTGTAGGGGAAGTGAGACTTCTGTTGGCCTGCATAATTGTTGCGTTACCACTCTTCTGTGAGTTCATAATGACGGATGGAGGTCGACTCATCTTCCTTACCTGTCTTTCAAAATGGAAGTTAATTAAAGACGAAGCTTAATGTAAGCTGGTCCTATCGTACATCAGTTCATCTTGGACGTGCGTCGTTGACATTCGGACAAGTTTGTTACGTTGTAAACCCAAAAGAAAGATGGAAAATGTCCGTAAATACACCCATCTCTCGCTCGCCAACCTTCACAACAACCGAATTTGTTTGTCTTTGAATGGGAATGAAAGTGCATTTTTTAATGCGCACTCATATTTGATATATCAAAGCCGCTGACTATCGGAAACGCATCGCACTCCTCCGCACCATTACCGAGAGACGGCACAGCGTTATTACTGTCATCTACTGTATGACTTCTGTCCTTTATTCACAGTAGGAAAAATACGCCAATAGTTGAAAGCAAATACAAGCCTACTATATTAAAATACCTATGAAGTAGATAAAGATAAAGAAAATGCACTCAGTATTATGTACAATTTCCTATTAAAAAAGGTCAATACTTAAAGCATTTTTCGGACTAGTCAACCGCATCCTGAGATTGCATTTATTTCCATTCCATTGCTTTATGGTCTAAAATTCTCTTAAAAGAGGGGTGTCGTGACTGGGGGGCATAAAGTGATTTCTACCATATAGTGATTTGCTCCTTGGGTATTGTCAGATAAAATCCGAATCTTCAAGGGCCAAATTTTGTTATAGAAATTGGTCAATATTGGTCATAAATTATATCCAAATTTGATATTGAAGACCGAGACACTGTTAATCTGAAAATTAGGAAGATCGTGGCAATCTGAATAATGGTTCAGAAATGGAGAGCTGTTGAACTTTTTAGCAAAAGATCGAGCCTATTAATGGAAAGTTACCATCTTTGAGTCAGTATTAAACTTTGCTATCAAAACAGTAAACGCCAGTACACAAAGACGATCAGCTGTGCATTCTCACACTTTTCAGACGATGGGATTCTGTAATGACGCAGCTGATGGTGACGAAAATTTGCTACACCTGCCATCATGGACGCACATAGGAACAGGTTAGGGTTTCGGGTGGGGGTCTCGTCCATAGTAAATGTACCTGGGGAGGTGCTGCAAGCAAGGGTATAAATTTGTTGATGTCTAGTAATAACGACAATTCAAAGTGTAGACCAGAGCAACCAAGGAAGATAAATGGTCTAAAAATAGCGTTTCTAAATATAGGCTCCCTCAGAAAACATAGACATGAGCTTAGCGAGACGCGGCTTGACACTGAAGTTAGCATTAGTGGTTACAACATCTTTAGAAATGACCGTGATGTTAATGGCGGAGGTGTTGCAAGTTTGTTAATTTATGTCAAGGCAAGTTTACCTGAACCAACAGTGAGAATAAAAAGTGAAAATTTGGGATTAATCTCGCTTGAAATTGCACCTAAGCATGCAAAACCTTTTCTCATTTTTTGCTGGTATAGACCTCCAACAGCAGAAGATGCTGCATTCAAAAACCTTAGGGAAGCATTGAAAAACTTCGACAAAAACAGCAAAGAAATTATCTTTATAGGGGAAACAAACTGCGATCTCAGAAATAACCAAAGCTCAAACTCAAAAAAATTGACGGCAATTTACTCGGAGTACCAGCTTGAACAACTGATTAAATGCTACACTCGAGTAGCTGTAACAACGAATAAGCGCAATGAACAAAATATCAGTAAAACGCTAAAGACCATTTCTCAACAACTAGCCCAAAATATATATTGAAGGCAGACGCTCTAGAGCTAGGGATGGTTGACCACTATCTCGTGTAAAGTGAAAGGAAAGATAAACGGCGGTCTGATGAATCCCAGCGAAAATTTAGCCAAGAACCCTCCTGCCATCAGAGCCTCTCTGTCACCTTGGGAAGGAGCTTTTGGTGGACCGTGCAATGCAACTCAATGTCTTTCTTGCCAAGTGCCTTGTCTAGATACGAAATCTCAATGAATTGCAGCCAAATGAATTAGCTCAAAAATTGAAGATTATTGTTTTAAAAGGGGGAACAATTATCGAGGAATGAGTCTGAAGGCGTTTGACATTGTTCCTGTTCTCGATCGAGTGAGCCTTCCAAATGAGAAGAGCAAGTCTTTGGTATGTTGTGTGTCTAATGAGGATCTTGTAATCTTTTTGCAATTTTTCAATAATCAAACTTGGAAAAACATGCACTGTCTCATCTTGCATGTTGATTTAATAACGCACTGTAAATGTCTCCAATCTGGTATGTTTTGGATGTTAAATTAGGTCGAGTATGATAGAATATGATTCTGTGCCTGTCATGATTGTCCATCAGCTGAGTATGGGTGCAAAACCAGGGTGGGATCCAATGTGAAGCTCACGCCGGATATACGCCAATAAACAATAGAAAGACAATGGGAAATCGTTAGTCTACACCAGATATATCTGGCATAAGCTACATGGATGCCACACTGGGTGCAAAAGCATGAGGTCCATGCAATGCTGCACGCCGAAATTTAGAGCAGATTTTTATTTTAGTTGACCTGATGCCTTTAAAAGGAGGTTTGCATGTCAAAATGTGTGCCTGATATCATGTTGCAAGCAAGACTTGAATTTTTGTCGCACACCAGCGATTGCCCACACACTCAAATTTTCTATCCGTGCACTTTTGCATATTGGCCACGCAACATCGCTCTTTGAATACATTTCACATTGTTAACAATACAAACTTCTTAAAAGTGCTTGATTTCAGGCACGCAGTCAGGTGCATGAACTTGCCTGTGCAGGAAACAAAGTTTCCAGTCTGGGTTGCAAGGGTGAGATCTTGTTGAAAACCGCCATACTCTACAGCCTGGAGGATGGTTTTGATAAACTAGTTATCCATAGACATGTCAAATTCATATTTAAAAGTATACAACTTAACACAAAAATTCAATAAAGCAATTTAGTTACCTTTTCACACGTGAAATCTCTATTGAAATGGCCTTGTTTTTTATTATTGGTCTCTGTTTTCAATTAAAATAGAGTCTTTATAACAAAACTATTTCAGGGAAGCACATTAAGTAAGAAGTACCATGTACTATGTACAACTTTTCTCATACAGTCATATCATCGAATATATAGAGAATAAGGTAGCACTTTACAATGCACTGAAGACTGTTTGTGTTAGAAAAGTGTTTGCTTTTTGAATGGTTTGAGCTAAAAATACATTTAGAGGGATGCAAGGATTTTGAGGAATTAAGCCATGCATATTTCTTAATGATTTAAACTTTACCAAATTATTTTTGAGTGACAGTCTTGTGTATCTCGTGTGATTTTATTTTACTTTCTGATTTTCACAGATAACATGTATAGATTGCTCATTGAAGAACTTGTATATTGGAACCTCAGATTGGTATGATACTTTGCTAAAATTGATTATTCACTAAAAACGAGTCAAGGATTTTACTTACCTAGATGGATACCAATACCTCAAGTCCAGAGACACGCTCCTTCAAATTTCTATAATCGTTTCTTTTCTGAATTCCATCAACTATCAGCAAGCTTTTGGTAAAAACATTTTAACAACGGTTTCAAAATACCCAGGTGGATGAGCTAATAGAGGCAATTGACTATTCAACATAAAGGAAGATTTCTAAATTCATGACAATTTTTGGACAAACTGCCACTTTTTAACAAACTGTTTGATGTGACATGAATAAGGAAGCAATGATGCTTCTCTTTCGTTCGCAACTTTACCTTTCCTTAAGGAATATTAGATTTATAGAAACTATCTTTTAGGTAACTTCTCTTCCTATCTCTAGAAGAAAAGACCATGTTTTTGCAAGCACAGCCAATAGCCAATGCTAGGTACTAGGTAAGGGTGTTGGCATGGCAGGAGATGATTTCCCACATTTCTAAAATCTAACAAAGATGTCTATCAGAAGTAGTTTGCAGTAGTTTGTATGTTATTTTTCTACATTGAGGCTCTCTGAAAATAATTGACTTCTCTGTTCTAGTTTTGTTGTCCATTATATTGTTGAAAAAGAAAATTCTGCTGGGGGGAAGGTAGTTTATCAAACGACTTTGCAGAGGTACAAACAAATTGGCTTGGTAAGTTTTTATTTTAGCCGATATAGTAAGGGTGAAGTCAAATGGTTCACAAGAAGCACAAATAATTTCTCATTATGATTATGTTGATAAATGTTATATTCTTTGTCATGTAGTTAATAGCAAGCTCATGCAATGCATTTTTTTATACATATTCTATATTCTATGACATATTCTATGTTTCTTTTACAAATAGCATTGATTGTTCCTTATTAAATAAATAAATGATTATCACATAAGGATAGGTAGATTTGAAAATCAAATGTTTGGATACTTATTTCTGGATGTCAAATGAGGTTTTTGAAATTTTGTTTGAGATTATTTTGTAAATTGTTTTACATTTACATTTGCAGATAATAGATTGAGCTGTTAAGAAAAGTTTTTTTTTAAAAAAAAATTTATTTTTAGAAAAAGTCAATTCAGCAGATTCTAACATGCCCTGCTGCCTCCAAACTACTTGTGCTTTGTGATGGTGAGTGTTCAACTTTACTTTTTTATCCCTGCTATTCATCTGTGTATAGTTCTTTTACCAGAACATGTTGAATTGTTTGATAACTTAGTTAAAGGTTTTTATTTATCAGAATATTTTATTTATCTTATGTCTATTTGCATAATTTACCTAGTCATCTTCAGCACAGATTTTTTATTTTTTCATTCATGTGTGTGACAGAAATGTATCAAATTGTTTTTTCTCCACTCTTGCAACTCAGCCAGGTTATACCTTGTTAAATTTTTTTCAAACAGAATTTACCTGCATTCTCAATTATATTTTGTATATTTATCCATTGCAGGAAATCTTTTCATGTTGACAATGATGGGGCTTGAGGTATGATTTCCTTTTAATTTTTTGTGAGTTTAAGAAAGAAGTGGCACCTGATTTCCCGAAAAATTGGTCAACGTCTCCAATAAGAGACTAACAACATTACTGTTATGAAAGGAGGGCCTGACAACAAATTTACTTAAAATAAAAGCATGAAGTAAAATCAAGTTCGAGCCCCTTGCTAACAGGTTCGTCAGTAATACAATCAAATCCTTGTATAACAAAATATAAAGGCCTCAAACAGTAGAGACTCTCCTTGGATGGGGTTTGCTCTGATTCTGCACCACTAGCACTTAGCATGTGCATGCTGTTTACTCAAATTCAAGTTTACAATTGGTGTATGACAGGATTAGGCTGCAAATAAAAGGGGTTTCAGAGGACAGGAAATTGAAAATAAGTTATTTGGCACATTCATTGTATTTGAGTGGGAACCATTTTTTTGGAAACCAAACCTGCAAAATATTTGCTTGGAAATAATTTCAATAAAAATGTCCTGCTAGAGCGGCCACTGATTTTTTTTACTGACAGGTATTATAAGTGACGAAGTGATGGTTTTGAAATGTAGGCTAACTTAATGCATTTTACTAGTATTCTCTTTCCAACTGTTATTTTTAAAACACTCTCTGAATGATCCTCTGCAGATGAAAGTTGAAGCCTCAAAAGAAATCATGAAAGGGGTAATGTTGAATTCATTTCATGCAAATCTTTCCCAGGAGAATTTAATTTTGTATGGTTGTATAGTAGGTTACAAACTACACTACCAGGACACAAGTATTGCAACACCTGCGAAGGTGGTTAATTGCAGATCACGCAATAACTTTTGTTGTTTTCTGATTAAGCTATTGTTTAATCAGCCAACGGCGTGCAAATAAAACTGCAAATTCAATGAAGCGTAAATTCAAATATTCTATTTTTATTTTTTAAAATTTTAAATCAGCAATTCAAATGACTTTCGATTAAACAAACATTTTGTATGCTTCTGGTTCTGATAAGTGCAGAAAATTGCTTTGGAACTGATGCACAAAATTTGTTGATGAAATGCGCTGGAATTCTGTTTCATTCTCAATAAACTCTCTAAGTCAGTTTTTGTTTGGACTTCAGAAAACCTTGTGGATTTCAAATCAGATCATTTTCATTGGCAACAAGAAATATTCGCTTATTCTATTAGGTCTTTGTGATGGCTGAGGAAGGACATAGAGTTTGCAGATTGATCCTATAACTGTATAATTTCTTCATTAATATTGTATTTTAAAGTATTTCGAAGTCCTCAATAAATTTCAAAGAATTTGATCTCGTGTTTAGCATGATTTTGTTTATTTTTTAGGGGAATTTTTCAGCATAAATTTATAAGTTTGCAAAACTTCAAATTTTTTGGATGCCATTTGGATTAGGGTGTTGCAATACTTTTGTCCTGGTAGTGTACAAACAGCACACAGTGTGAAGGGCAGCATCGCTTAAATCATGTCTTTTCATATTCCACTTTCGTTAAGCTTATATTTCATTAGGGAATGACAGCGCTAGAAACATTAAACAGTTTATTGTGTCCCTCTGAAGTTCATAAAAGCGTTTATAAGTAGCAAAAATTTGTAGTTTGGCATTTCAATGAAATGTAACATTTTAAGGTTTCATACAAGAATTTCATGATTTTCTTATGTTCCTTTTAATTAAAGTCCTTTTGCTATTGCTTACAACATTGCAAATTGCAAGGAAAAGTGAAGAGTAGGAGACATAACGTTAGACTTGTTACGATGTATGACTTTGGCATTCGTCTGGATCTAGATTAAATCTGGTTTTTGTGGGATAAAATTTGTAAAACAAAAAGTAAGCATGGAAGTTGAAAATTGCAATAGATTTATAATTTCCTTAGCTGGATTGGCGATATTTATGCAGCTGGTATCAATGCAACATTCAAGATAGCTGCCAGCAGCCTAGTTTTGGTAAAAGCAGTTCAAATACACACCTGTGTATGGACAATGTTTACAGATGTTGCAGAAAATTTGTTTACTGTGCTCTGATTTCTTTATGTGATTTTGTGATAACAGAGAAATCTGATTATTTTTTTATCCAGGCTACTGTGATGGCTAAAAATAACAGGCCAGTTGATATGAACCCTTTCTCTGTTGAAGTAAGTACCAAATCTTATCTTTTTGAAGAGGTCTTTTCAAAGCCCAACTCAGTTATAAGTTAAGAAACCAACACCCATTTCCTCTGACTGGGGAATAACATGCAGTGATGGGTTTTACCATAGGTGCCATGCCTTGATAGTTGAAAAGGCGAATTTCTATCAGTCTTTTTCTTTTCTCTGATTTGGCAATTGAAAAGAAGATATCAAGGTGGAATTTAGGTGCAAACTGGTATATATAAATCACCAGTGAAGGTGTGAAGTCAATAAATGTATTCTTTGGTATTTTTGAAATCGTGGTACTTCTTCCCAAATACTGATGATGTTAAATCCGAATGTTTGAAGTACTCTACTCGAATAAGGCTGAAATTTGGTCCACTCAACGAGCTTGAGATTGGATTTAATTTGATTTCCTAATTCTTGTGTGTGTAAGTGAAGCCAATTCGTACTTTTATTGTACCCTTTTTATGATTCTCTCTGCCAAAATTCCCTCAGTTTTGATAATCCGTAGTCTCATTAACTGTGATCGTATAAGATGTAATTGTGTTACCATTCTCGTCTTTGATAAACCCATCATCTTAAGCCGCAGTGCCAATAAAAATTTCGATTTTTCTTAGGTATGCATCGGTACTCGGAAAAGATCCATACAAATTTGGTCCGTTGATCGAGACAAGATAACAGTCATTAAGGAAATACATGTCAACGAGATACCGTACTTGTTGGTAGGTTAATGTCGCTGTTCTTGGTATTATAATGGTCAAAGGCAAAGTAGCTGATGAGGCTGCCAACTCTCTCAAAAAAACGTCAGGGGTGCAGAAGGGAGTGCTAGATACCTACCTTTACCTTAGCGTAATTGACACCATTCTTACTGGAAGGGGTAAGGTAGAAATAAATCTCGAAAATACTCCTAAGAAATTTGTGCTCAAATTCAGAAGTCTTTACTGACAAAGTAATCAGTTTGCTTGGAGCGATAAAAAACCATTCACAAAACCCTCAGTTCCACCTTCAGAGAAGCTCCCTCCAGTGCTGTCTCTTAAACCTAGAGGCTCGTTATCCAAAGCAGCATTTTTGTTTAGACACTAGTTTGTTTTTTGTTTGCTTTTGCTGGATCAACAGGTTTAGAATAAATTGATTTGACAAAGTAACAATTCTGAATAGAGAGAAGAATGCTGGATTTGTGATAATGCTAGGAGATGTTGCGATGTATTCTTTTTTATAGATTCATCCTTTCTGGGGGTTTGTTTTTCTCTATTCATTATAAGAGGGCTTAGTCATAACTTAACCCTTATTTTCTTTAGGCAATCGATGGTCAGACCATTTGCACAGCCCTTGGAAACCAATATTTCCTTGTTAATTTTTCAACTGGTAAGGTGAGTGGACAATAAAAGAATATTCACACATACTGTTAATTTTTCATTACTTGAACTTGAAAGAAAACTTTATTCAAAATAATAGCCATGGATTTGATTTTTATTTTTAAAATATAATGATTGGTCGATTTATTATTCGTTATCGTGGATATTTAGTTTTTGATACGAGTTTCTTTCAAATTTGTATGAACGACACATTTTTTAATTTTTTACTGGTCGTTTTTTCATAAATTTAACACTGAACCTTAAGCTTTAAGAAGCACAGCGTTTATCGGCAAATACAGTAGGATTTTGAGAGAAAATGGCTCACTGTACAAAAGCAAAGAAAGGTTTATTTGCCATTTTCTTTAATCTTTGCCTAATTATCGCATTAAACCAGAAATCTGGAGTTGTAACTTAAGACCGCCCTATTTTGTACACCAAAGCATGTAATTTTTAATCTGTGGAATATTTATTTCTAGATTCAAGAGCTTTTTATGTACGAAGCACACAATACGAAGCCACTGGTTAAGGTCGTAGGAGAGGTATGTAAGGTTTCAATTTGGTATGCTAGGTGTCTAATGGTAGAAGACATGTATGTAGGGTGTCTAAAGTACACTTCAAAATTTTTCGTTCAAAGTTTCGTTTTATCCTCATACATTGTTTTCAGAGACAGCGTGAGTCTGTGTGTATGTGAAACGAAGATTTCCTTAACATTCTTGCAAATTTGTGAAAAGCTCTACCATCAACCCTTGCTTCAATGAAGGTTTTGACTTAAAACTATCAGCAAGATACAAAATGCTAGAAGAGTGTTTAATAGCTTTAGGCAAACTAAATATAAAGGATAGAATTCAAAGTTTGGTATGCAAAGATTTTTCACGTCGAGATGTCCTTTACAGAAACTTAAGTAAAATAACTTAATTCGACAAATTATGTTTGCATTGTCTTGATGAATATTGACAAAGACTGAAAGAATATCTTATTTGCTGTTCAGATCGATTTTGTCACTTTTTTGGTCCTTTTAAGATGCCGCTGTTAACTAGCTGTACACTCGATGATCAGTTGTGAAATCCGATCGAGTTTCTTTACACATTTTATTACATTAAAGAAGCAAAATGATAAAACAATGTTAAAAATAAACTTATTTCTTGCTTTTCACAGGAAGAGTTTCTGTTGAGTGGACCAACTAATACGATGGGGATGATTGTCACTTCAGAAGGCCTATCGCAGCACCAACCGTTAAACTGGGCTGATGGACTTTCTGCAATTGCTTATTCCTATCCATATTCCTTGGTTCTTGGTAATAGTACCATAACAGTACACAGGTAAGAGAAATAATTGTTTAGGTAGGTTTGAATATTTCCATTTGTCAACATCATTTAACCTTTTTTGTTATTGCATCTGACGACCAAAGTCTGACAAACTGAGCTTCAAAAGGTCCAAAAAATAAGAAACCCTAGAGCTGATCTCTCGAAACCTCAAGAAACTGCTCGAAATCCTTCTTTTAAAGATGAGATGGAAATGATTTCTTTGGAAGTTTAGGCACCTTCTCCCTGTTAAAATGACATAGATAATAAGAAGGAAGAGAACCTTCTGATTTATTAGGTTTTCTATTTCATTTACTCTCATGTCGCATTTATGCGCTTTTATAAAGTAGCTCTTTATCATTTGATATTTCAGAAACCTTTAGCTCTGAAATCAGCAAAAAATAAAGAAATTTTGTGCGCATTCTGAACTTTGTTTCTTATAAAGAATGAGTGTACCTTTTTACCTTATGTTTACAAAAATTTTAGTAAATCTGTTTTTCATTTAGCAGAAAATTTTAGTTAAAGGCAAGCGACAGATGTTAAATAAACTTAAACTATCTGTCAATCAGTATTAGCCAATCATTGAGTGTGTGAGTGGAACCACAGTCATTGATTGGTCAATCTTTGATTGTGGCTCGAGCCCCTTTAGAATCTGTCCATTGCCTTTAAGCATTAGAAAATGCCAAAAAGGTTTTTTTCGCAATTCAATGATTGTTTATCAACGACTTGCAATTTCTTGCTGATTCTAGTATGCTGGATCAGAGGCAGAAACAAGCAATTGCTTTCCAGGTAATTCATTTGTTTCTTTGTTCATGCAATTAATATTTAGTGTGTAAGAAGGAAGAACCGCAGGATAGCTGTCCGCCGGATTCTGTGAATCTGGCAATGAGTAATAATACGAAAGATATTCAGGAACAAAGCAATACGACGAGGAGAATCCAATGTAACGAGATAAAATTTTCAAAATAAATTAAATTTAAGGAATACTAATATTTCGCCCCGGCATACAGGGCTTCATCAGAGTAAATGAGTAAGTAAATTAATACTTAACTGGTTATCAGCATATCTCTCCTTTTTTCGTTTCATTATAAAATTAATACAATTGTGCAACCTGATTGCTTATAGTTAAACGATAGAGAAGACTCAATGCCTTAACGTTGCTTCACTTTTCTTGGTTTAGGGTGGGATCTTCATTGGTGATTATGAAAACAACAACGTCTTTGTTTCTTCACTGAAAGCTATATACTACCTCGTTCCACTGCCGTTTGATAAACAGGTGAGTTTCTACTGAAGCAGCACTCTCCAAACTTAAATTCTGTTTAAGCACCTCCACGATTAACTCCCCCATCTTTTAAGTGCCCCTTTACTGAAGCGCCCAATCCTAAAATGACAACATTAAGAAGCACCCTCTCGAATAAGTGCCCCCTCTTTTAAGTGCTCCCTCATTAAAACGCCCGGTCCTAAAATGTAAATATTAGCAAACACTTTCTCGAATAAGCGCCTTTCCTTGAGGTTAAAATATCATGAAAAAAATCCTCTTATTGATCGCGAAGTGAAAAATGTATGTGAAGTGAAAAAAGTTACAATAAAAAAAGTTGAAACACAATTTTTTACACCATGTGTTGTTAAAACTTTTTATCCTATCATAATGTTCAGAGCGTTTATTATTTTTGTAAGAAATATATCAGACATTTTTTCAAGATAGCATTTTTGAGTGTCGCCCCTTGAATAACTGTAAAATTGGAGTTGCAGAAAATCAATTAATGTTCTGGGAAGTACTGTTGTTCTGCTTATTCCACAATGTGGTGTTTCATAGCATTGACTATATTGCAAAATTTTCGAAATATCCCAAGGCAGTCTGTACCCTGTTTTGTTAAATTTTATTTTCATTTGAGTAAATATCATGTTTGGTGCACAGGAAATTATTACTAATTATGATGTATAATAAGCGATAGTAGCCTTTCAGATGTGACTTTGAAATGGTTCAGAATTCATTGATGATATCAATTTTTTGCTGTAAGGATAGCAAAGTAAAGCACTTATAAAGTAAAAGCCATTTCTTTTCGCAGATACAAATGTTGCTCATTGAAAAGCGAGTTGAAGAGGCGATTGAATTAAGCAACGTGGCACACACCTTAAAACCATCTGAGTATAATGAAAAGGTACGAAATCTGAAACTCATCGTTCCCAAAATACATAATTCCTCTGTCCTGTTTATGCATGATCAAAGTATCGAAACGTGTTGAAGGTATTTAGTAAAAATTGTTGCCTTTATAAGCCTTTCTTCATTTATTCATTACATTTTTCCGGAATCTCCTTTCAATTTACTTCTCACTTTTTCAGTAATCACACAATAATGTTAGGACTTTGAGTGACATTTTTCCCAGCTTTATACAGGGTTTGTTTTCCCGGTTTGCCTCTGATCAAAAAGACTTTCCGAACCTATGCTCTATCTTGATTTTCTAAAAGGAGCTGGTCCATCGCTATAGGGGGTGCGTGAGGCGTGACACCCCCCTTGAAAAATAATTCAATTCCAAAGATGAGGAGTTTTTGCCATCTAAAAGTGTTTAGTCAGTAACTTTCCATACTTTTCGGCAAATACAGGATAGCTCGCCCACTTTGTCGGCAAATGAGACTTGGAACCCTCCTCCTCCCCCCCCCCCCTTGAGCACAATAGCTAGCGATGAGCCTAAATGGAGAATGGAGATGGCTTCTTGACAAGTTTTAAGCTGGCATATATCACTTTCTGTGAAAGTTGAAGCATAGACTGCCCCTCTCATCGTTCTTCTTTTATCTTAGTTTCTCGCAGGCATTCAAGCCCAAGCTGGTTTCGTCTACTTCTCCCAAGGACATTTCAGTCAAGCTTCAGAATTATTTCTAGAGAGCACTGTCGACGTCCGTGAGGTATGTTCTGGCCTCATTTCCTCTTTTGATCTTCAACGTGACCAAAACTGTACAAAGTGTCTATATATGTGTAATGATTAATGCTTGTATATTTTTTTATGAGTTTCTACTTCAGATTTCACCTTCCCCTAGCCAATAAATTTGTATCCATTTCTAGTTTAATAAGGTAGGCCATGCTCAAATAGAAGTTGAAGCAGTATTCATTCATTTTTGTCTTTAATTCTCTCAAGTTTGATTTTTTTACATTTCCCTAAATTTTTTTACCTTTCCCCAATATTTTCAAACCAACCAATGTTTTCGCACTGCCCCAAATACATGGCTAGAAAAGGTGTTTACACGAATAGTTTATACATCGTGGTTTTTAATAGGCTGACTCGAAGCTTTCGCTGATTTCCAGTTGATGCGAACCAAAATTTTATATGTCTGTTGGCTCTTTATTTTTGAAATAACTTAACTGACTACATTAATTGAAGAGTTCGAGGTCGAATACACTGTAATTGCAGAATTTATAGAATCAATTAGATTGGTAAATCTAGCTTGTATTAAATTTCTTAAAATTTCTTAAATGTTTGCTAATTTTCTGTCGAATCTCCCTAGGTCATTTGTCTTTATCCACTACTGATGCCATCGAACATTATATTCCAAGCTGCAAGACCAACTTTACACAATATCAAGGATTTGAATCAAGTTGGTGAGTTTCTCAACCTAAAGGAATTGTGGAATTTTCCATGTGCCGATTGTAATCATAATTTTTTCGATTTTAATGGGAGCAAATTATTGTTTCTGTCAATCGTCGTGTTTTAAATGTAGCGATTACAGTCGAGTGAAAGATTAAAATGTTAAACCACATAGATTTCCTTCGATATAACTGACTTTGTCACATTAACCACCTCTTTTTGATTAAGATTAAGCACATGCGTTCGGTTGAAGTCAATTCCTTCATAATCACCTCATATCAGGGATTTCATTCTGACATCTGAATTTCAGCGTTGGATCTAAACTCTGTCAGTTACGTCATGAAATAGAATATCTTTATAGGCAGTCTGTTCGTCACATTTTAACATTGATTCGCCAGTTTCGGATAAAATTCCTGCATGTCAGTTTTCATATCTTAAGAGAGTATTATGAAGGAATCTTTACTTTTTGCAAACGTTTTGTCACCCGTTAAAGCACTAGTGCCTGAATGTAAATTAATGGTGTGGTTTTCACTTTTTCCTGCTTGAAACTGTGTTTTTCATATTTCATCGTCATCAGAAATATATTGAATATATTTATCTTGGTTGATAATTATAGTTCTCTCAGTTTTTCTTAACTTCGACGCATTTCATATTAACTGACCTGTTATTTCTGCGTTTCTAGAACACAAAGATTTCAAGTAGTAACACGCTGTGATCTTTTGATTACTTGTTGATCCAAAAACTATTTAGAATATCAAATATCCTATCTGTTAGGCCTATTTTTATCAACAATGCCTGAATCTGGGTCATGAAAGCTAGAGCCTTCAAAAATATCAAGACTTCAGATTCTAGTTGTTACAGTTGTGATAAAACTTGCAGTGACAGTGAAGTTACTTTGCTTTGATCTTCAAAACTGTCTACGTATGTTATCGTCCAGATTTTCTTGGAACTTTAAAGTTTCTTGTATTCTGTTTCCTGAGTGCTGAAAGTATTTTCAAACCCATTCTTATCAAATAAATCTATGACACTTCTTATGTTTGTAGAATATTTTTATAAGGCCTGAAAGTGTGCGTGATAAGGAAAGGCTATCCAGGCCTCCCGATCTTTTTTTCAAAAAATTCTCCCATTCTTTGGTGGCAGTAGCCATTTTCTAAAACCTACCCAGTTTTAGTTAAGTGTGTGAAAAGATATCTTCCAATTATTTTCTATTATTGATTTGCAACAAATTGCAAATATCTTCGACTTTTTCTTGTATTTATCTTGGGCCGCCATATTTCAAAACACCATTCCATCCCCACTATTCATCTCACACACTTTTGTCTCATTGCTGTCAGACCCATAAATTTCGATGCAAAAGTCTAAAAACCCATTAACTTGCAGTTAAAGGAAACAAGCCGCTGATGGCCGAGGCAAAGAACTTTCTTCTCAAACTATTAGTAAGTTGAATTAATTTTTGGATTATTTAAGGTTTCGTTGCACTTTATTGTTACTAACGTTGCTTCGTTTATCATTTTTAGCTTTGCTTGATATTTTTTGAAATTTTACGAGTTTGTTATCTCCTCTATTTTAACAGTGTCTAGGCTGTAAGTGCAAATTGAAATATTTGAATATTTCTTACGAAAAGAAAGTATTTGATTTAGTTTTCAGAGCAAAGTTGGCATTTCGGGGTTATGATAAGGCAAACATTTAAAGAATCCACTTGAATTACCTCTGACCTGCTGCTCTCTGTTAAGCTTCCTGTATACTGAGCTGTTTCAGAGAGAAAATCGATACTTTTCGATAGGAGATGATGTTTTGGTATCCAGGGAAACTGCGCTACTGAAAGGGCGACAAGAATTTTCCCACACCATTTTAGACAGTTTCCAAAGATATGTTTGGTCTAGGAATATAATGTGCATTCCATGGAAAGCAGTTGAAACCTACCCCAGAAAAGGCTTTTAGGCGTCAATAGGCCATTTCTCCAAGGGTTGGCTCAAGGACATTTATCATATTAATGAGAGGATAAATTATTTACGCAAAGATTTGGTTTTGAATATAAAACTTTTTGCAGTTGAAGAACTCTAGAATTTTAGAAATTCCTAGTAAGATTGGAAAATCCAGAATTTCCTAGTAAGTGAAAGGTGTTCTCCAAAAAGGCTGTGCTCTAGCTTCATAAAATGCCAATGCATTCTGCTACGTTGTTTGGTTGTCGTCATTTCCTTTAGTTAATACTTCTTCCATATCACTGCTCTTTGCGTTCCTGACGTTTTACTTTGTAATGTTATTTGTTAGGAAAATTGCAGAGGGATGCCATTAGCGTACAACAGTCAGATGACCGTAAGTTTTCGGCTTTATTTTAGGATAATTATCGTCTCACTACTTTTCCGGTTTTATAGTTGTTATCGTCACATCTAGTGTGCCTAGTGTTGGAAGCATTGTCTTGAATTGGGAGGGGTTTTTCATTCAAAGAACTATTAGTGTGACAATCTGTGGGTGTTGAAGCGATTGTTTTGGTAATGATTTTCAAATCCTTTAAAAATGTTCTTATCTTGAATGTTCTAGGAAATCGATACTGCACTACTAAAGCTTTATGCTGAATGCAACCACAATTCGTTGCTAGATTTTGTGACAAACGAAAACAGCTCTTACTATGACGACTGTGTTGCTTGTTTGAAGCAGTACAAGGTAAGGTTTGATTGCAACACTTCTGTCCCAAACACCAACAAAAATTCCCAAAACCTTTTTGAATACAGTAGTGCTTATACATAACGGAAACCTTGCGGAACAGTGTAATTCTCCGTTATATAGAGGTGTCCGTTGTATAGAAGGTTCTTAAAGTGTTTGGGCCTTTTGGGACAAAAATATCTGTCCGTTGTCAAAAATTGTCCATTTTATAATTGTATCCGTTGTGTAGATGTCCCTGTAAGAGCGTTTGGGCCATTTGGGACAAAAATATCTTTGAAAAAAGCAAACATTTAGTAAACTAAAGCTTTTCGTCTGACACTCTTCAGAGTTTAAAACGTCAGAACATAGATCGAAAACTCTACGCTAAGAAATATATATACCCAGTTGTGGATCGAAATAGGCCATCCAGAAACACGAGCACATGACTGTAAAGGTTGACCAATCAGTGCCGCTTGCCTATTAGAATGTTACCAGTGGAGTCCTAAGGTGAAATCGAACTCCTTTTGTCTACACAGTAGCGGTTTTTTCGTGCTTATGTAGATAGATTCTAAAACTGCTAGGTGGAACGACGATCGGGCTTTACCAATAATCCGAAACATGTCGCCATTATAGTTTTTAGCACAAACTGGGTTTTCTAGCAAATGCTGCCCGATAGCAGAATCGCAGGTCTTATTAGTAATTTTGGATTTGCAAGACCGAGGTGGCTGTTCTCTTTGGGGATGTGTTTTGTTTCTAATATTAGATGGAACGTGGATGGGACGCACCACCCAAAGATTGGAGGATAGGATAAAACAACACGTTCCATCTAATATTAGAAACAAAACACATCCCCAAAGAGAACAGCCACCTCGGTCTTGCAAATCCAAAATTACTAATAAGACCTGCGATTCTGCTATCGGGCAGCATTTGCTAGAAAACCCAGTTTGTGTTAAAAACTATAATGGCGACATGTTTCGGATTATTGGTAAAGCCCGATCGTCGTTCCACCTAGCAGTTTTAGAATCTATCTACATAAGCACGAAAAAACCGCTACTGTGTAGACAAAAGGAGTTCGTTTTCACCTTAGGAAGCGGCACTGATTTGCGTCAACCTTTAAGTCATGTGCTCGTGTTCTGATTGGCCTATTTCGATCCCAACTGGGTATATATAATCTATCTTAGCGAGTTTTCGATCTATGTTCTGACGTTTTAAACTCTGAAGAGTGTCAGACGAAAAGCTTTAGTTTACTAAATGTTTGCTTTTTTCAAAGCTATTTACAAGTTTTGTACCACCAAAAGATTGTTTACAAAAATATCTGTCCGTTGTATAGAAGTTCCTTTCAGAGCGTTTGGTCCCGTTAGGAAAAGAATATTTGTCCGTTGCCGAAAAGAAGTCCGTCATATAGAAGTGTCCGCTAATGGTGGTTCCAATGTATGTAATATCGAAATCTACCGCCGCAAAAATTGCACATTTATACCAGGGCACTGTTTGTCTTGCAGTGCATTGCCTTAGAACAGTTTAAGTAATAGTCAAAAATGAAATTTGGAAATTTGGTGATCTCTCAATGAACTATACCATTTCGTAGTTTAATATTGTGTTATTAATTTTCATGATAAGACTGACTGCCATTTCGTTCGTTGCTCGAATGAGATTAAGGACCCTATCGCTTCAAATGTTTTGGAATGAATAAAAATATAATGGCCAGATTTCCCTTGTTGTCGTTAGCTTAAGTTTATTTATACTCTATATTGCTATTTTTGTTTATAAAACTATCGTCATTCTAAAGTAATTTTCTGTTAAAGTAGCTCTTCGAAAATGTTCTGGTCTTTGAACCATAAAAATGACTCATGAAAAAGAAATTAAAGCTAATGTCGTATTGCTGTCATTTTTCCCAGAGCAAACAAACTACTGGCTTTCCTAAAAAGAATTCTAGACAGAGATCAGTTTGCCTATAACAACTATTGTTTTTACATTCTTGTACAATTCGTCATTAAACATTACTTTATGTCTCTTATTTTAAACAATTTTATATCCTACGCGTTACATATGAAAAGATCTTGCAGGCAACTTTTGCAAAACAGTTTGTGCTCGCAGGCACAAATCAGGGACGTCTGAGTGGTATTGGAACATTGGAGTAAACATTCTGATACTCGCGCATTGGCCGAAGAAATGAAATAAATCCCATCACGCTAAATCTTTTCCATTCGATCAAAATGTTTGGCTTTTCCTGGACTATTTCTTCTCAGTGAGCCTAACGCAAACAAACATGACATATTCTGCAATATCGCTTGACTCAATTTAAAATAAACGTAGGCATCAAACAATGTTTATCTTGCCATGCTAATTCTAAACGCAACGTACGTATTTTCTACGCAAGCTCGTTGTCAGACCACTTGGGTTGAATCCCAGTTTTTCTCTTTTGTACCTGTTCTGTTTTGATAAGAGCATTACAAACGTATGCTTTAATGCGTGCAATAGAAATACGTCAACAAATTAATAGAAAAGCGGAAAAAACTACCCACGGATTCTTTGTGTGGGTAAAACGATGCTCCTCCCTTACTGCGATTGACGTGAAGCAATAACATCAATTGTTGTACACACAACTTGACAATAATGAATAGAAGAGGAAAATGTCAAAACTATTTGTATTACGAAGCTCCAAATTTGAATGAAAATTCGATGCTGAGATAAAACAAACACTATTTTTGGACACAACAAAAGGGAAAATAGAAAGGAAATGTAGGCGAAGACAGGGATGTTTTGCATTCAATATGGAATTCCTTGATTTGCATATTTGTTTGGGCTGTTGGAGATTGGAAATATTAAAAGATACCAACGGAAATAGTTTTAATTTAGCACAATACTCCTGTTTTTTTGTAAGCAATAAGATTTTACTTAATTCTGTAGACGTTAAAAAATGTGAAAAAGCCAAGAAAAATGCTAATTTATGTTATATCCTTGTTGTTAACTTTTGTGAAAAGGCCAAATTTTAGTTACTGGAAAATACAATTTGGTGTTGGAAAGTGTCATACCTTAGTATTTTATATCTATCTTTAACTATGTTGGCTCAGTGAAATTTATTGTGCGTGTTTTTCGTGTTTTTATTATTATATCTAGTTTTGAAGCCAGCTTGAAATAGATATTTAAGCTGCTATTAAAAGAATCGTGTTTGGATAATTCATTTATTTAAAATATCAAATTTCCAAATAAATTTTCAATAAATTACACTTGTATGAATTAATAATGGACTTGTTGTTAATGAAACTTGTAAGCTGTTAAAAAGCTTACCTTTTCATGACATCTGTCAAAGTAATAATGACAAACAATATTGTGTTTTAGCGATATCATGCACTGGCAGAGTACTATTGCTGTCATAAAGAACCGGACAAGGCATTAGAAACTTGGAAAAGGTAGTTTATTTTTGAATTAGGCAAGTAAACATCGAAAACCTTATTGCCCTCAAGTGGCGTGTTCGTCGATATGGGAACCTTTTTCAAATTTTAAAGTTATTTTTTTTATCTCTTTTCTTTGGTATAACGCAGCTTCAGACAATCTATGTATTTCAAGTTTGGTAGCACAATCTTTTGTCTTTAATCTTTTCTTAGCCACCATAAATATTCTTAAGAAAATTCACTTCCCCTGAAATTATTCTTAAATGTTTCGTAAACGACGTAAATTTTGTAAGAATCGAGAAAGAAAAGGTATAAACTTTCCATTTGTCTCTCTTTGGCACAAAAATATCCAAAATGTGTGTAGCTAAAGCTTTTTTTATGCTTTGTATTGTCTACTAGAAAACCGCATTTAGATAAGGTGTCAAGGCATCAGCAAATTTTGAGCCTAGCTATTTTACTTAATTAGTTCTTAGATTTCACCAACTGCAAGCCTCAATAATATTACAAAATTGTCCTATTATAAGAAAGTTTGTACACATTCTTGTGGTGTTCAAATGGTTGTGTTACACATATTTCTCTGTAATATTCAGTTTTTCATTCAACCCTTTCAAATTAGTCTTTCATTCTCTTTCTCTTTCTTTTGTAGAATAGTTGATGGTCAAGACATCGATCTCAATTTTCCTGGATATGATTTCATAGTAGAATTTATTTCAAAGTAAGTGATTGAAAGTTGGTTTTCTTTTCTTAATATCGTGATATCATGTTTGTGAATTTAAATAGAAGAAACAAATCCAAACTTTTATTCGTAAAATTTAACTGCATGCAAATTCTTTCTTCACTTTTTCTCTGTCATAGCAACGCGTATGATTATATTCAAAATCGGGTAGCGTTGTGTCCAAGCAGTCGTGGCCGAGTGGTTAAGGCGACTGACTAGAAATCAGTTGGGGTCTCCCCGCATAGGTTCGAATCCTGTCGACTGCGAAATTTTTACTTTTTGTAAGGAGAGTTCCCATCCATTTATTTGTTTTTAAATTAACCTAATTAGCGAAGAGAAAAACCCAGGATTAAGTAACAGTAATCAAATTAAGATTTTCCCGGGAGATTTTCAAATTAATGCCCTAGCTAGTAGTACTGTAGCCTGCGTGTAGGTGTAGTCTCTACTTGTACGATTTTTCTTTTTTCTTAAAATTTCCCTCTGTTTTTCAGTAACTCGTGTGATGCAGGTTATATTTCAATTGACCAGTAAGGTTTGGCGGGATGGCACCCCATGGCACATAGTCAGGGGTAGAATGTTAAGGGGCACAAGGGTCAGGGGGCCCCGCTTGCTAATACCAAAAATTAAGCAGTTTCTTATTCTCAGAAATTAGTTGCCCGGCCGGCACATTTGTGCCCCTATATAGCAGTATCTAATATTTAACTTTAATTGTTCTCCCTTTGCCAGTTAGTACGTATTGCATTATCGTCCACAAACATCTTCGTAGGCTAGAGGATCATGAACTAGTTTGGACATATGCACCTTGGATTTTAGAAAAAGATTCTACAATCGGTGTAAAGGTTAGTGAAACATTCTTTGCTTCTGGGAATTGCAGTTGATGAAAAATATGTCATAATAGAGACTGCAATTACTTGAGACATGCTTAAGCTTTTCGTCTGACACACTTCTGACTTAAACGTCTTATTGTCTGAAGAGTGTAATTATCTTAAGTATTTCTGAAATGATTAAATAGGTTTTAAAATGTTTGCTTTTTTCAAAGCCACTCGTTTCTATTAAAAATTGTTCGTAAAGAACCTGCCTGGAAAGAGTAGGTGGTGCTTTTTGTACACTCTTTTTTGTAAGTATTTATAGGTGCACGAGCCTTAGGATTTGTGAAAAGTTAGGAAAAAATGGAAAACAAGCTTAGGCTGAGCTACTGTAAAATGTAATTTTGAACAATGTTTCATCTCAAAACGAGAAATTTTGTCATCTTGTAGGGGCGTTTTTTCGGTGAATTTTCTAACTTGTCGGAAATAAAGGATGTCTCATTCACTTTGTTGGTATACGAGGTCTGAACACCTACCAACAATTGCAGTGCTTACACTGTTATAATTTGAAGACAAATTAAGAACAATCCAGCCTCAGATTTTCGAAAAAATAAAGAACAGCCAGCCTGAATTTCAATTTACTGGTTCCAATAAAAGAGTGTGTTGCTAGGCACGTAGAGGGAGTTGTAATGTAGAGGTTGCATTGAAAAGAAGCTGACAAATTATGAAATATTTATATTTCAAAGACAGTGCTTCTCCTATAGTAAAATCTTATTGAAACTGCTCTACCAAGTAGGGGCGGGGGGTGGGAGGTTAGGTGATGTGGTGCACCGTGCACGAATTCCTTTGCATACAGCATTGACTATGCATACAGCGACGTCCCGGATGATATCATACAGTACCGTATTAAAATCGAGGCAGCCCATATCAAGCCCTTCCAGCTAGTTCTTGAGCCTAGTATGAAACGATATATAAGCTTTCGTGTGTCCAACATTTCTCTCTAAGGAGTTTTGAGAGATCCCGCATTACCCTATGCGAGAAATAGTGAGAAAAATCGACCCTTTGAATTACTTTGCAACTAAAATATAAACAGTTCCCTCCTATGGGCGGCTCACATTTTGCTTGTATTCCTTTTTTCTTAGCGCCGTATACCTTGCTTTACTTAAAATTTAATGCAACATCCATTCAATTTTCAGATATTTACGACCCGGCCAGACAATGAACCTTTGAGTGACAGGCTACGCCCTGAGGCCATCGTTGAATACTTGATCAAGTTTCCTAATGCAATGAGAATTTACCTGGAATATCTTGTACTGGAAAGAAACATTCAGGTATGTACTGTCCGTTGTCACTGTATCATATTTAAATCTTTTTACTAAATAATTTTTCCGAAATTGACTCTTACCTAAAGATATGGGTTGGAGAAGGGGTGTGTTTGGTCAGAAATATATTAAAGTACTTGCTTGTTATACAAGAGAATTGCTTTTAAGATTTTGACACTGTATATGACAGTAACATGCAAAATGTGGTAGAGAAGAATATTCCATTTCATATAAAAAGCTCCTAATAACCATCACTGTCAACTGTTCTGAACAAATGCCTCAGTGTTCATGGTACACTTGTACAGTACAATGCCTGCCAAAAGTACTTGGAACACCCACCAATTTACGCTGCATTTGATATCTTTCATTCCTTTCATGAAAAATAATTTGCTACGTCCGCCCCCTTCCCCCTAAAACAATGTTGATGATTTAGAGAAATATCATAAAAGAAGCGCAAAAGAAAGTGCTTCCTGCAATTCTAACCCGTTTGGTAGTAAACCAACATTGTTCCGTGGAGGAAAGGGGGATGATTGGTTTTGACCTTGGAAATTGATGTCAGTGTTCCAAGACTTTTGGCAGGCATTGTAACTTTAAAGGAATGCCAATATTTATTTATGTTTGTAGAAAAACGAGTACTTGTTCATTTTAACCAATTTCCAAAGGCGCGTTTGTTCGCAAAGTTTCTACTCGAAAAAATATAAAGTAAGGATATACAGTTCTAACAAAACGATGACGGCAAATAAATTCCCCTTTCTCTAGAATACAATCAACTGTTCTTGCTCTCGCAGTCTGCTCGTCCTCCCCTTCCTAGCTTCTTTTCCAACTCTCTCCCACTATCTTCCACCCTCTCTCTGCCGGGGGTTCTGCCTGAATAATATGAAAATGCTAATAATAGAATTGAAGTTAAGGGGGCTCTAAGGGAGCTCTCAGATCAAACTTTTTATTATTTTTAAATATTGAAATATTCCTTGGCAATTGTCATATCCTTTAGTCAAGTAATCAAGCAAGCCTGAAAATACAAAAACATTTTTTTCAGATCTGTAATATTTTTTATAAATTGGGACTGACTTTGTTCTTTTTTGGCAAATCGGGCCCCGGTGTTCTTATGAAGTGCGTTCTTACCAAAAAGAGTGTACTCTTGTTAGCCTGTGCTCCAGACCCCTATCTTGAAAGTAGACCTCTACTTTCAAGTTAGGGGTCTGGAACACAGGCTAACTCTTGTACGCTCCTCCGCTTCTCTGCTCCTATCTTCTATTTCCGTGTTTGAATTCATGTGGCTCTGGTGCCCAGGGTAGTACACTTATACAGCATAATGATCTCAATGATGTTTTCCATTTCCAAAGAGGGTTCCACGAAAAGCACTCAAAGTATACTTGACGGGCCAGAGAAAGAGAAAAGGGGAAAAAAGCGGCTGATGACTACTGCTGCGATCACTTAGAATTTCAAACATTGATTTGTACTGATTTACAAAGATTTTTTATACGATACTTTTTAGAAAATTTCAGTGACGAAGACCGTATTTCCTTTAAAAGTACGCTGCGGTGTTTATTACAAAATCCAATTTTTTGATACGGCGTTCGATAGAGGGCGGTGTTTATCAGCGGGCAGCGTTAAGTGCGATGAAGTGCACAAAAGATGTGTTCACGTTAATCGAAATGTCAAGGATGTCAATCTCTTTCAGAGTCCTCGTCTCTGTGACACAGCAACTTTCATAGCTTTCAAATAGCAAGCGTATAAACTATTTGTTACTTCTTATTTGGTGTATTTTCTAATGAACGCCGCTTTTCAAGATGCGGCGTTTAAAAGAGGGTGGAGTTTATCAGGGGGCAGGGCCGCCGAGAGGCGACCTGGGCCCTGGGGCAAAGTCCTGGTTGGGACCCTAGAGTCGGATACAAAATTTTTTCGAGACCACGCACTTTTTGAAATGGGAAACGCCCATTATTTCCAAACGTTTGCGCACGTTATAGAATATGGTTAAAAATATCATAAATTGTAATAAAAAGCATTAATTCTAAGAGTAAGCGATTTAAATACGCTCTTTGACCACACCCTTTTAGCTGATTAAAGAGGACTTCAAAATGTGTTCCTTCAATTCTGACTGTTTTTTTCTGGTGAGCCACGCAATATTAAAATTTAAAATGAAAGGAAACTTTTATTCTACGCACTTTTATTTAAAAAATCCCGTGGAACTACGCTTTTCAGTTCTTTCGTCCTTCAAAAGTTAATTTTTCTTGCTTTTCAGTTTCAAACTGATCAATGATATTGTCGTAATCAATTTGTCTTGCTAGTTCGTGCTCGATCGAAAGAGTCACGAGGCTTGAGTCATTGTTGAACGTAAGCGGTTCTTTATTAATGCTAGTTTGCTGAAAGGGGCCCCAAAAGTATAATATAGCTTTATGCAACGAGTCTAAATGCAAACATAACTCACTTGAACGGGCCATAGATTAAAACAAGATTATATGGGTTACCTAATTTTTTATCAGGGCTCCTTTCCAATAAGTACGATTTTGCGAAACTCAGGGAAACTCAGCTTAAAAGACGAATCCGTAAAATATGTGATCTAAGGTTTATTCAGTTTTTTTTCGGGACTCCAGACTCAATAAATAAAGCTGATAGGCTTTAAATTCAAACAAGACTCAGTGTACGGACCCAATGAAATTACTGCCATCATTTTCGACATTAACAAATATATCTTTGAATGCACTTTCAGTTTCTCAAAAAAAAACATTTCGAAAAAATTTTCAGAATAATTTTGGGGCCCCTTTCAGCCCGAGGCCCTGGGGCAAACTGCCCTCCCTCTCTGCGCCACTGATAGGGGGCGGCGTTTATCAGATGGTGACGTTCATTAGAGGAAATACGGTAACTCGCTGGATTTTGTTGTTTATCTTCATAATAAAGAAAGAGACGAAACAGCGAACTACATTATAAAAATGTAGAAGGTCATATTATGGAACAAGCTTTTTTCATTTCCTTATCTCGTACCAAGAAAAAAGAATGAGTTCATCGAAAATAAAATTGCCTCGCAAGCCACTGCCAGGATTTTTTCACCCAATCAACGTTTTTTTCGGTGGCATTCTTTAAAAATTTCATATTGTAATAATGGCGTTTAAAAATCTCGATTAGCCTGAATGCAGACTCGACTGGTTTCCCTATGATTGGGCTGGTCTTTTAAAAGGCCAGTAGTAGCCCGGACGTAAGGCCCAATCCTCTATTTAACGCCCTGAACTTTTATAAATTTTTGCTCCACAAAGGAGGGGCGTTAGATAAAGGCGACAGGGTACACAAAGCGTCCACTTTTTTCCTAGTAGGTACTAATGATGTTTAGACTTTTTTCGACCATGGTAAACGACGAGTCTTTTATTCGCAATGATATTTCACGAGTGCTTCCTCTATATGACAGTTGTAGGTATCATTTCACCAACAAATTAGCCTCACGATTAAAATTTTATCTTCCTTATAAATATTGTTAAACTGTTAAAAATTTGTGGCCACAAAACTTCGATTATTCGCATTTACGTTCCAATGCAGCACCTAACCGAAGATGAAACAACAATTTAAACTGTTATTTGTCATCTTTCATAAGCATACATTTAATCTCTAAAAATCTTTAAAACTACAATACGAAATACGAGTATACAAAACTAATAGGTACAACAAACATGTCCTTCCTCCAAGAGGACATTCAATGTTCCTTCCCCTATCTACATCCTGGACAAAAATTGTTGAGATTTTAAAAGAAAACAGCCCTCCCCCTGCCAAATAAATTCACTCTCTATAGCGGGGCGTGATAGTTTTTACAATTACCAAGTCACTGATTTTGAGCAGGGGGCTGTTTTCCTTCAGTTTGATTTTATCAAAAAACTGCATCCGAATTAGTGTCAACAATTTTGTCTAAGTCTGTAGTTTGCGGAAGTAGTTAAAGGCAGTTAATGATTTATTATTCAATTCAAAGCTGGGTTATCAGAACACGTGGAACGTATAGCTCGCCCAAATCACTTCATAAATGTGTACGGGACCTGTCGTTTTTATGGGAAGTGTATTTATGTTGTGCGGTGGGTATTGTGGGTGATAAATGTGTGGATGTGTAAATTTCATACGATACAAGAGCAAAAAACTATAAAGGCAAATGAAAAAGAACTTTGGTGAACATGTGTACAATAGTAGGTCGGCATGACAGCTAATACCATTATTGCTCAGAACACGATATGGATGTTCCTTTGGATAGTTTGATTTGTGTTGTTAAAAGGATAAACATTAGAGCAAACAACAATCGACAGTCTTACTGTTCTAACTTCACCCTTTTTGGTTGGACACAAATTTTCGGTGCTTTTTCATCACTATTTGTTCCGTTTGTTGTCTCTTGTTCCATATCTTCAACGACGGCTTTTCTTTTCAGTACTTCCATATACCAAATTGTAACAGCAAATCTTCGTGCATATGTAGGAAGTACCTCGTGTATCAGTTTATCAGAACGGAAGATGACTAACTTTCCTAGTTCTGGAACAACATCGATGCTGCCAGATTCCTTATGTACTCGAAGACAGCCGCCATCTTCCGATGTAAACTTCTCGTTTAGATAAAAGATAAACGTTAATTTCAGGCTGCCATCGGTGATGCTATCGATGTGACGTTTGTACGATGCACCCTTGCCGTCATAACATGATGCCATAATTTTTGATTTGCTTATTCTGTTCATAGAGATGTTATGAACGTGGTATATTGACAAAGCAAGTTTGTTCATCTGTTTGGCTACTTCCGAGGTAAACGGTGTTTCTTCCTTTGACCCATCAACCCACATTACAGAATCTCCTCGTACCTTCTCTAGGCTTCCAATTCTGTTCATAGCCCCTTTGCCAAGTTTTCCTGGTTTGAAATTGTCAGCTGTTTCGTGGAGCTTTTCGACTTCGCTGTACATTTTTCTCGCTGTCTCCAAAGGTACAAGATTTTTTACCACACAAAAGTTATCTTCTTTTAGTCTTTGCAGGACAGAATGTAAGAAGTTTTTTGGCTGCATTGTTTTTCTGTCAACATATTCATCTTCAGCATCTGTAGTAAATCGACTGAATATGCTGCCACTAATCACGTCGCGTTGGCATTTGATACACATATAAACATCCCCACATTGATGACACAAAGGGGCACTTGACTGGTGTATGTGGGTCCCCACAACTCTTTCGTAGAATGGCATTTTCTTTGACTGTATGTCAATGACCTACTATTTACCTTCCTCTCCTGTACTTGATTCCAGTCTTCGCCTTTCCTGAAAAGGTTAATTTATCGCGGCCTTTGATTCTTACTAAAGATTATGTTTCCACCAACAGACTGAACCTTACTAAACGTGTTCTGAATGACTCAAAGTGCGAACATCACCCACCGCCTTGTAATTGAATCTCAGCTGAAGTAGTTTGGGCGTCCTTTTATATGGGACATCTCTCACCCCTGACAGCGCGTGTCCAGTAATTTGTTATGAACTCATTCAAAGACAAATGCGCCTTCGCCTTGCCTCCGCAGATGCTAATGTCGTGATTGCAAGCACGAGCGTATCTTGGCGGTTACTCAAGACAAAACCTCAGAGATTTTCTTGTTTCACCCTGGAGGAAAGTGCAAATCTCTCTGGCAAATGTAGCATGATATGCAAAAAGATTTTGATACACGGAACAGCAACTTCTGTATTTTAGCCGCGTCATGTAGTAACAAGTTTGCTTTTTACAATGCTATTTCACCTGCCTTTCACCTGCCCTTCACCTGCCCTGGCTTTTTGCCCATAAATGCATAACCACAAATCCGAGATGCACCTGGTATCGTGACAGTTCATTCGTGCGGTAAGAGGGCTTGTTGTCATTATCTTTTCGTTGCATGAAAGTACGCATAAAAAGCTCAGATGTTTGATATAAACAAAGCCAAACTAACTTCACGCGAAATGTGAGCCCTCGATTTTGCCCTACCACTAAGGAAGTATCTTTAAAATACTTCCTTGCTTTTCCAGAATTCAGCAAATTTGAAAGCCAAAATGAAAGAAAACATTGACGTGTAGTGATCTGAATTTTTTCTGAATGGCTGCCCACTCAGTTGATAGTTGATTGATTTCAATCTTTAGTATTTCGTTGTTGGCGAACCAACCAACGTTATAATGAATATTTTTAGGATTTATATAAATTTGGTGATTTATTCACCTTGGCATCAAGAAGTAATTTTTGAAAAACCTCAAACCTATTTGAACAGTATATTGACATGTGAAGTAGTTCTCCTAATTTTTCTTATATCAATGTCAAAAGCCGTGGCCTTGTCTTTTGACCCGAAATTTTCCTGTACATTTCTACACGGCCATGACTGCAACCTTTAACCTGTGCAATCCGATGAGCGTGATCTGTCGTTTTTGACTTTTGTACTACGAAAGCTTCGCAAAGTTAACTCAAAAACGTGTTTCCTTCTGCACATCCTGCTTTGTGCAAATGAAATGCACCGTGTACGATCACACGATGTACAATGAAACACAACATTGGCTGCGCATGCAATCAGACACGTAATTCTGACTCACGCGTAAACAAAACAAGGAATCGGCCACTAAAACTGGGCGCTAACAAAGTTTCTTTGTGCTTCAATAATTAATGGGCTTTGATGACACGCATGCAACGCATCTAACCTATTCAAAACAATTTTTATCACTTATTATCTTATTTATGTATGAAAGAAAAGGAAAATTGATGTAAATGGGACAGGGCTATGTTATCTTATTTACCCCGAGTTTCATACATGTGTGCAGTCATGTACAGCATAATGTACTCATAATTCGTGCATAAAAACTGTTTGGCTTGGGACAGCTAATAGGAATTTTTATCTCGTAAATTAGAACCTACTTTCGTAAGAACATCAAATATAAAATGTGTTATTTTAGGCCACTGTGAAAACCATCTTATTTACTCTAGTTTTCAAAAATGTTAACAATTAATAATTGAATTCATTTTTCAGCCTATGTATCAGAAAATAAGAATTAAAAATTCAAAATAATGACATACCAAACAACTGAAAAAAGTATTTAGAAAACACGTTTCCAAAGTTGCTATCCGAAATGAGAGGGTTAAATTCAGAATATTTTACCTTCTGCGAAGGGTGTTTTGGTTAACTTGTTGAAAAAAATTAGGCCACTAAGCTGCACTACGATTTTGCGCCTACACGTAAACGGCAAGTTGTCAAATTGTTGCCTTCCACATGTTCGATTAAATTTTCTTTTTGAGGACATAATCGTAAAACGATCTTATTTGCTCTTATTGAAATCAAAAACTCAATCTTTTGAAAACCTGTCTGTGTATACAGGGCCTCCGACGAAGGGGGGCCGGGGTGGCCTTGCCCCCCCCCACATTTTTGCAAAACAATAGAGTTTTTTTCAAATTCTTTTGTTGTGGGTGTTAAATTTTCCCTTGGTCCCCCCACTTTTCAACCTTTGTCGGAGCCCATGGTATATATTTATGTTAATGAGATTATGGGGCATCTAGGGCATAATTTATGGCCTGAAAGGCTGCCCAAGATTGCTGGGGACATCACAGATTGCTGGGCCCAAGGGGGAAGAGCAGGGTTGCCGTCCTAAAAAGATAAGAAAAGGGCTGTGCTGTAGGCAAATTCATAAGACCACACCCATGACCACACCTAATGTACTTGCATCAAGAAACCATTTAAACTATTCAATGCCACAAAAAGACGTATAAGAAACTGCTCATTCATGAGGTTGCCAACAGAGAATTCGTCAAACCAAATAAAACTCACTAGTTAAGGGGGGCTGGAACCCCCCGAAATCTCTCTGAATTTTAAAAAGGGGGACCGAGCCCATCTCCACGGCACCACTGGGGCACTGATCGGATCTGCAGACAAAGTAGCTGACCATCCTTTATTTGCCAACAAGTCTGAAAATTTGCTGACGAAGCACCACTACATTGCAAGAGAGTTGCAATTCAGTTTTTTATAAGTGGAGAGCTGCAACCCACCACATCCCACTGTAGTGAAGGGCTTTTTCTGGAAGCTTATGTTCCTACACTCTTCGGTATACTGAAAGCGACCTTTTTGTTTACTTTTCTTAATTTTGATTTCCCATTGGTTTTGAATTAATTTATTGTTGATTTTAGCCTTTCTTGGACATTAAATTTCGGACCAATTGGGGAACCATCCTCTTTGCCCTCTACCTCACTAAGCTAGTGGCTATAAAAAACAAACAGGTGATATTTGGAAGGATGTATAACTATTTATTAATCTTGTTTACAGAAAGAAAAGTTCCATACTCATCTTGCACTTATTTACCTTGATGATGTTCTAAAGCTGATGAAAGAGAGAATACCAATGCCAGAGAGTCTCCTTGCTGCAAGGTTTGTTGCCACACAAAGTCTTTTTAGGGGTAGCATTTTCACATTCTCTAGGAGCGATAGATTCTTTAGAAATTGACATCGTAAAAAAAATCCTTCTGGCTTTTAAAATTGTTAGATATATCGCTTCCTTTTAGTTATATCTAGCACTACTTATATCACTGCATATAAGACCTAAGACTTTTATTCGAATTTTTCCGACCGAGGGTCCTGATTTGCCGATAGCGGGCTGGGATCGGATCGAGAATCTGAAAATTGAGAATTAAATGATTCACAAGACAAAATCTAATTACAGATTGTAAAGTTTATCTATTATCCGGTCTCTTTCCGAAGTTGTTCTTTATTCTCGAAGGTCCAATATTTTTGGGGGTAAGGGCATATCAAAACAAAATACTAGGGGGTTTTGCAAGGGTCCTTTATTCTATTAGTTGGTAAGGCCCTAAAAGCATTTTTCCTCTCGTAACTACGCTGAAGCCACAATCCCGGACAAACATGTTGAGACAAAATGCAGATTTTGCAATTTTCTACTTTTTATTGCCCCTGTTATTTCGAACCCCCCTTTTCCCCCGAATCAATGTTGGAAAATCTCGTCTATTTTTCTCCGGGATTGTAGATGAGTTGAATGAACATTGTCAACACTATGTACCCCCATCAGGGTAACTCAAGGGAGCAAAATCACGACAAAGGCAAAATGAAAAATCGCCTTTAATGCCCCCACCAAGCAAGTATTTTTTTGGATGACTCCTCTTTCATGGTTGAGCTACTGTCAACAGTTGATGATTGTTTTGTTGCCCCTCTGTCTGTCCAACACTGTAGGAAAGTTATGACCCCCC